GTGTGAGAGCCGGTCAAAGTTGTTGGGCTTTTTTTTAGGATTTACCCCAAAGTTGTTGAGGGGTAGATAAACAGGCAAGAGCGCCTGCGGGCATGAAAGCAAGCCGCATGGTGAACCCCTGCAAGAGCCCGCAGGCAGGCGGGAGAGCGAGCTGCACAGTGGCCACGATAGAGAGCCACATGCAGGATGCCTGCACAAGCCGGCCAGCAGCCAGAAAACAGAACAGGGCGCAGGTGGGCAGTTTCAAGGGTCGATGCGGGAGAGCTACAGCTCTCCGCTGATGCGTTGACTCCTGGGCAGAACAAACCAAACAGCAGGCACTCAGAATTGTTCGGGGGGGCGGATTAAATTGACCAGGGGGCCGGATTTGGCCCCCGGCCTGGACTTTGGACATGCCTAGTGTACTAACTTTTCTGCTATGTCTTTAATATCTACACAAAAAAGCAAGAATTTGATGTGGAAAGCTTCACTAGATGGATCTTATCGTGTGAAGGGAACAGATGCCCTGCCAAAGAAGAAGTTATCCTAAATCTGGGCTGGCTCAAGACCTGGCATCCTACCATTCCTTGAACCATGTGTGTCCCTGCTCCAGTTCTCCAGTTCCTATTCCTGCAGCCGCAGCTGCTCAAATGCCAAGCCCAGGAATTAAGAGTCTGTTTCTCCTTTCATCCCTGGCGGAAGGGCTGCACTGGAAGTTCACTGGGAGCAACATCCGGAGGTTTGCCGTTTGCTACTGACACTGTGGAAGGGCCAGTGGTGTGCTGATCCCCGTCTGAGAAGTCTTAAACTGCCAAATTGGTTCCCAGCTAAAGTGAATGTTGATCTGCATTATCAGTGGAAGCACTACTTGTTAAGTTGTGGGTGAACATATCAGATGACACAGCGATTCTTCAAACAGCTCTTATTTATTCACAGGCCAGGACAGAACTGAACTGAAGGGCTCAGTCAGACTGCTTATATAGAGCTCTATTACCATGTTACTGTAACAACTTTCTAAAACTATCCAATCACTGAACGTCACTTTCAACCTTTCATTTGCATAACTATCTACAGTATCCCCCTGCTGGCCCAGGGTGAGAACTTCAGTACAGTGGTGCCTTGCAAGGCGAAATTAATTCGTTCTGCGAGTTTTTTCGTCTTGCGAATTTTTCGTCTTGCGAAGCACGGTTTCCCATAGGAATGCATTGAAAATCAATTAATGCGTTCCTATGGTCAAAAAAAGTCCAAAAAAAATCAGTGCTTCACATCCAAAAAATTCAAAAGCACCAAACCTCCCAGAAAACACACAAGCTTCCAGATTCTTGCAAACCCCTTCTCAACAATTCCCTGACCCCCCCAGCCACCCACCACACAGAAATCCAAACCCAGAAATCTTTTTTTTTAACAACAGCAGAGTGCCCCAATGGTCACAAAAAATCATAAAAATGCAGAAAAAACACACACAAGCTTCCAGATTCTTGCAAACCCCTCCCCAACACCAAGTCCTTGAATTCCAAACACCCCAACCCAAAATCCAAAAACCCCCAAAAAAGTTTTAAAAGTTTAACTTACCAAATGGCTGCAAAAGAAGTTTTGGAAAAGCTTCAAAAATCACCAGAGTCTTCAAAAACCTCAAAAAAGGCTACCACACCGCGTGCTATGAGTTGCTCCTCGAACTCAAGTCGCAACTGCACCTCTTCAAGCAATGCACCCTGGGTATTAACGGTTTTAAGAAAAAGGAAACAAACTTGCAAGACGTTTTCCTCTTGTGAAGCAAGGCCATAGGGAAATTCGTCTTGCGAAGCAACTCAAAAAACGAAAAACTCTTTCGTCTTGCGAGTTTTTCGTCTTGCGAGGCATTCGTCTTGCGAGGCATTCGTCTTGCGAGGTACCACTGTACATAACACTACTTATGTGCCTTTACTCCACTGTCAGTTTCGTTAGAGAATTTAGACATGGAAACCGCTGGGCTCCTTTCAGAAAGTGGGCCCTTATATTAAATGTCAGTTTTAATATAAATGTCAATTTTCAGAATTTCTTTAAAATCTGCAACTGAGTGATTTTTTGATAAGATATTTAATAACAATAATAATCCCCCCCCCCCCGTTTTTAAACCATTGGCGTATAACCAAGTGTGCTTCTGTGTCATAAAACTCTAAACATTCTTGGAGCTCTTATTTACTACCAGCTGGATCTATAGCAACATGTGTTTTGTGTATTATAGTGTCTCCTGTGTGTCAATGTTACATATGATTTATGCAAAAAGAATGACAGACCAGGTGAGAAAGAATATTCCCTTTCTGTTTAAAAACTCTGTGACTCTAGATAAGAAGAGCAACTGCGAAGAAGGGAGAAGGAATGTCAGTTATTGATGTTGCAAAATTAATAACGCTTGGGTTATGTCAGTGGGAGGTTAATTTTAGAGGGACTTTCACCGGTTATAAACAGCATGACCAGTCAGGATGTGGCTACAACTCTACTCCTTCCACCATAAGCCTGTGTTTTATTTCAAAAGTCTTCACTTCTGTATTTGGTTTCTCTTTTAGGAAGCGAAACCTGAGCTTATGGTGCCATGTTTAAATTCTTCGGTCAGAGTTCATTAAATAACTTTTTGTGTTTTTCTGCAGGGAGAATGCCTTGGATTATATGGTAATATAATATATTCTTGCTTTCAAACACTGTAAAAATTTTGTTCCAGAATCCCCCTCGGCTCCAGTACTCAGTATAACATGAACATGCCTGGTTCATAGAACATAATATGCTTAACTTGGGGCTAGTAACTACAATCAGTTCAGTATGTGGGGATTTGGCAAAGTGGGTTTATTTTTCAAATGCTTATTATGCTTTTTCAATATGATGGTATAGTCATGACCAGACATCTGCATATGTCTAAGCATGTGCCTCATTCAAATCAGTCCCTGATGGATGTCTTTCCAAGGGGTGACAGTGTAGGGAAACAAATTCAATTCAACTGCCTAATCTGTACTTTCCAAAACAATGCACAAACAGTAACACAGCTATTTAAATTCACTTATCCGAATTTTGCAAAGCGGTTCTCTAGCCAAGTAATGTGTCCAAAAATGCATGTACTGGAATGAAGTGTGTATAAAGATGCATAGTGAAAATTGCTTTGCCAAAATGTGTATAGTAGGCAGAATTGCACAAATATGTGTATAGTAGGAGAAATTCACACTAAAACACTGAATTTTCATTAGGACTTATTTCTTAATAATTTTCAAGCTGATGTGGAACTGAACTTAAGAATGGAAAAAGGAAAAACTAAGAGAAACCAAATTGACAGATTTGCCCATTCCTATGTGTGGAAGATTCTTCCTGGCTTGCTACTGGATGCCAATGAGATAAGAATGGAAAAGAGACAATTCTACCTGAAGTTTCCATAGTCTCCTGACTCATTGCTATATATATTTGAACCTATGGTGAGCTCTCAGCTAACCAAAATAGCACCTATAAAAACAGAGTTGGCCTTACTACTCTTTGCAAACAAGCCTAATTTTGACAAGAAAAGTCAGAATAATGGATTCTATAGTTGTCAGAGGAGACACATAGTTGCTTCTGCATCTGCTGGGCGAAGACCACCATGTATTGAACTGGCCCTCTGTTTTAATTTTAAAAAACATATATTAGATTTAATGAATTGTGAGCAGGGTTCAATGAAACAGTTGTGTGCTTCATTGGTTTACTATTAGTGAAACAGGAAGTTCCCTTCTCTTTCTCCCACTGCATACCCACACCCCCAAATCTGCTCTGGAGGGTTGGAGGACCCCCACAAACAGATTTAGGGGGTGCATGAGGGAAGAGAGGTGTGTTTTTATGTTGTGAACCACCCTGTGATCTTCAGATGAAGGGCAGTTAATAATAATAATAATAATAATAATAATGGAGAAAGTTCCATTATGCAAGGAGAAATCTCTGAGAGATTTAGTGCTATGTTGAACACTATCCACAATATCCAAAAGGGGTGATAAGAGAATGGGAATTTTGATCCTGCACAGAATCCCTTATCAGGCAAAATTAGAAAGTAGCTGGCACCCGAATCTTACAACATTATGACCTGGAAGTAAATCCTGTTGATATAACTGGAACTTGCTGGAGGCAAATGTTTTGTAAATATGTAAGTAAGCAGGTAAGGTAGCCCAACGAAGAGTTCTGGATAACTTGCAAGCTTAGGTGAACAGAAGAGGGACCTACCCTGATATTCCCTTACCTACTTTTAAGATCTTGTTCTCAAGAAACTTAACACAGCAGCCATCTCACGTCTTCTTTAGGTCTAGTGTTTTGTTTTGTTTTTAATTTTTCACACACTAAGTCCTTTTTTTAATGATTTGAATAACTTTATTGAACACCTTCTTCACTTTCCGCAGTTCTGTGTGCTTTCTCATTTTGACTCACAGTGTGAGTGAAACAGTTCCATTTTAAGAGGCCATTCTCTTTCATCGTTAGGTTCTCATGTATTTGCTGCTGTAAGCATATTTCCAACATGTGGGGAAGTTTTACATACTCTGAAAACACCTCTGGAAATCCATAGTCGTTCTGTTTCAAATATGAGACCCATGTATTTCTACAGTCGTAGGCAAATACTTGTAACATGCATGTGTCTGGTTGATATATGCAGGCTAAAATCAAAACTCTCCTTGTTATCAGTGAGATAATCTAGTCAGTGTTTGAGAGATGATGTTGTGTAGTGGCTTTGAGTATCAACTGGGAAGTCCCTAGTTCAAATCTAACTTCAAGTCATAAAGACATTAGGCAGCTTTGGTCAAACCACTGTTCTAAGCAGAGATGAGGACAAATTGGCATCCATGAGACCTTTATATCCAGTGCAAATAGCAGGCTTAGGAGGATATTTTTGTTGGTATTTTGGTGCAAAAAGAACTTCCATCCATCCCCAGCCTATTGTGTTCCCAGTTCAGCTTGCCTCCTGGTTGCTATGCCTGCCTGTTTTTAAAAAACCCTGCACCTTAAGTGATTTAAAAAAATAATCTTTGACAGTCATGATTATTACTGACACTTTTATTTTTATTTGGAATGCTATGTTAATTTTCTTTTATGCATATATTTTACTGTTTTGTAAGCCACCTGGAGAACATATGGAACATATTACAACAGGGACAGCCACCGTGGTGCCCTCCAGCATAGCTGTCAACTTTTCCCTTTTCTTGTGAGGAATCCTATTCTGAATAAGGGAATTTCCCTTAAAGAAAAGGGAAACGTTGACAGCTATGCCCTCCAGATGTTGTTGGACTACAACTCCTATCATCCCTGACTACTGGCCCGGATGGCTTGGGCTAATAGGATGTGGAGTCCAGCAACAACTAGAAGCTACCACGTTGGCTAGCCAGACTTTCCCTCCCAGCAGCCTCTTGTTTTGGAAGGATCTATGGGACCTGGTGTTGTATTGGTAGTAAGGTAAAAAGGTAAAGGACTCCTGGATGGTTAAGTCCAGTCAAAGGTGACCACGGGGTTGCGGCGCTCATCTCGCTTTCAGGCTGAGGGAGCCGGCGTTTGCCCGCAGACAGCTTTCAGAGTCATGTGGCTGACGGAAGCCAGAGCGCACGGAAGCGCCGTTTACCTTCCCGCCACAGCAGTACCTCTACTTGCACTGGTATGCTTTCAAACTGCTAGGTTGGCAGAAGCTGGGGCAGAGCAATGGGAGCTCACCCGTTGTGGGGATTTGAACCACTGACCTTCTGATCAGCAAGCCCAAGAGGCTCAGTGGGAAAGGTGAGGAGAGAGAATGGTCTAAAGCAGTGTGCAATACCTCTAGCTTATCTTCCCCCAATCCCTGCAATGATTCCTGGAATAAGAAAAGGGAAAGCCAACAAGCTGAACAACAACAACAACAACAAACTAGAGTTCTTTCTAAACAGAGAGGAGAAAAGAGGGAAGAAAGTTGTTCCTCTTACCTAAGATGGGTATCTTAAAAGAGGAGACAAGAGTATAATTCTTGAGTGATATGCAAATGAGTGATTTGCAGCACAGTTCTATACATTTTTGCTCAAAACTAAGTCACATCTAGTTAAATAGAGCTTAGCCCAAACCTGAACCCGATTCCACCCTTATTTTCTCATATCTGGCTCTGGCTTCACAGCCCTAGGCCAGGATGACCTGTAAGCTTCAGTCTCGGTCACTTCCTTGTCTCTGGAGCTGCGGCATACATGGCTGTCCACAGCACTTTTTCCAGGGTGCGTGTGCAAAGTTAAAGAATGGGGTGAAGCAGGCTAGTTTATCAGTGTAGTGGTTTAGAGCATCAGCTTAGGAGGCATTTGTGGACTTAAAAAAAAAAAGATAGTGAATACCTCTTGTATTTGACATTACAAATACATGCAAACTGAACATGCAAACTGCGGCTATTGCCACTCTCATTTCCTTTTCTGACAGAATTCATCCAAATTTTTAATCTCCACTGACCAAACGCTTCAGACTCAAGGGCCAAAAAGGGCTATATTCCAGGCACCCCACAGGGTTATGTTAGCTAAGCCATAAGGGCTGCTGAAAACACTCCAAAATCTGGAGATGAGAAACTCAGTATTGTTTGTATTTTTGTCTTGTGAGGGACAAGTAAGAAATACAAGTTGAGTACAAGGATCTCCAGAGGAAGGGTCATCAAGCAAGGGGAAGTGGTAGGTTGTATCTCGGTCTCTCTTTGGCAGAGCTAATGCTCTTTCAGGTACTGTGGGCTGTGAAGCAGATACTCTGGTCGGCAACTTTGAGCCAAAGAAACAAAAGAGTATTTGTTGTTGAACTGAAGTAATGCTTGGTCTCCTAGTTAAAGAGTTACTGGATTTTACATGCTCTTATCCTCTTGCAGTGCAAGGGGCAAAGGGTTTAATAGGTTACCTGGCTTGTGGCCGATTACAATTAAAGGGGCACATTCAAGAAACAGAAATGACATACTTTTTCCTTTAGATCTCCATCCAAAGTCCGTATCACCCTCTTAACTCTAGCAGGATGCTTCAGTGCTCTTTTAATTAAAACAGAAAACAAACCATAAATCCTTCACCCAGACTTGTATCAAAGTTACTACATTTAGCACTGCACGTACAAGCTACTCAGAATAACAAATGTCTGGGTTGTCATTCATGAAGGGCCTTGGCTGCAAAAAGCTATTATTCAAGGAAGGCCCATCGCCATTTCTACTGAGACATAATAAACATGGCATGTGGGGGAGGAAATATGTGGAAATATACCATGATGTCCAACATTTTAAAACCTCATTTTCTATTTTTAAAAAAGAGGAGATGAATAGCCTATTAGAAAATTGGGGAGGTGGAGGGAATGAAGCAAAATGTGAGTGAGACATGCTCCACTAGTTCAAAATCTAGTTTTAAAACCCCAAAGAAACAGAGGGAGCCTCCTCTTAGATTCTGCCCAACTAGATTTTTCCTCAGACCCCTAGAAAATAATATTGTAAGGCAATCCTAGACATGGGAATCATACACCTACTCGTTGATATTTTAACTCCTGAATTCAAACTTCTGAATAGAAACATATTGTTGTGAGTTGGGGACAGGGTAGGCTGTATGCCTGTGCGCAACTTCTAATTCCTGGAACCAGCAAGGATTCAACTGCTGGACTAGCTAGGCCAGCCTGGTAACGGCCCCCTAAGTATAGGTCCTATAGGGTAACAGTGGCTCTGTGGCAGAAGGGGAATGGGTGGGCCTCCCTCCCTCAACTGTCTGTTAGTTAGAAAGACATAAGGCCAGAATTGAGAGTTGAGTTGTGTGAGCTAGAAGCTGGATGCAAAAATTGCAGGCTGGAAACAGAGAGACAGAGCCACATAGGCGTTAATGCTGTGAGACCCTCCATCACAGACTCAGTTTGTATACATGTGTAAATAAACCATATACAATAAAGAAACCACAGTCTCTGCTGTGCCTCATTCTGAAGGAAACACGAAGCCTGGGTATGCGCCCAGAACCCCTGGAATCTCATACTGCTCAGATTGGTGTGGTGTGCAACAATATCACTTCCTTCACTTTGATTGTGATAAGAAAATGCTCTTTTAAAAGATTCTCAGAGGCCCAGGGGGTGGGTGGCTTGCATAATTACCTGAAGCCCCCTTCTTGTTACACCTTGGCCCAATGTCTCAACAGGAGTGTACTTTCAATGTTGGAATGTTCCAGCCTTGAGGGTGAGGGGCACTGGGTACCATTCCTGCCCCTGCACCCCCAACTCACAGAACGGGAACCACACAATAAATATATGTTTGTATGCAATGTGTGCTACTCTCGTTCAGCAAAAAGATATTAACTCAGTTCTAGGATTTGTTGTTGGCATCTGTCTGTCTCGGGAGACAATGCAAGATTGTGCCTTCAGGGGTAAAACCAAACCATTGGGAGAGTTACAGCATCTGCTGTAGAGACCAAATCAGGGAGAGACATGTTTGATTGCAGGTGGGGCAGATGAAGGCATCCGATTTTGCTGCTACGGGTGCACCATGGCATTTTTGAGATTCAGTGCTGATTATTTTAAATGTTATGATTATTTTATGACGCCTCACTGCTGATCATTTTAGCAGATATCTCTAGTTAATGTAATCATCCTCTCTTCCTAAGCAGCAAGTTGGTTGCCAGTTGAACAAAATGCATATTCCTTCCTTGCTACCCTCACTCCCTCTGGTCTTCTCCTGTATCAGATTTTAGATTGTAACCCTCCTTGCGGCACAACCGTAGAGCCTGCCCTGATTACTTAGGAAAGAACCACGCACATTTTTGGCACTACATGAATAATATTAATTGTGATCGTAATCTAACTTTATACTCTGCCCAGGTGATAAAACCAACATTTTCTACAAGCATCTCCTTTGGATCCTTGCTGTAGTTTCTTTTGTGTGTGTCTGTGTGGAGAGGATATTATGACAGGGTTAGGGTTAGAGGAAGGATTGCATTGTTTGATGAGAACCATTAACAGCCTTTTATTGTATTTTATAGTTCTGGTTTGTAAGGAAGGGTGAGGTATGAAGATTTTAATTCTCTCCCCCCCTTTTTTTTTAAAAAAAGAAAGAAATCCTGCACCTGAGGGCATTTCCAACTCCCAAACTTTTGAAAGCTCTTTCCCCTAAGGAGCCTAGCCCTGCCTGCACAAATCTTTGAAGATTTTGCACTGTGCTTAGCAGCTGTTTCCATATTTTCAGTTCATAACAGTCATTTTCTTTGCAAGCTGTAGCTCTGGAATCTGCCATTCGTGTTTCCCTATTCTCCCTCTGCCCTGCACTCCTGCAAATTCCTTCAACCCACCCACTCTCCATTGCATTGTCAAGCTCAGGAAGGGGAAGAAGTGATTCTCACAACCATCACGGCAGTTTATAATTATGTCCCGGAAACAAGAGAGACAAAAACGGTTTGATTTTCTCCTTTCTGCTGACACCCTCCTACATCGGCCTTGACTTACCTTTCACATCTGCTTGGATCACAGCGGCCATGAATATTATTGACTTTTACTGTGACAAGATGCAAGTGGGGAAATCTGAATAAGATTCTTAAGGAAGGGGCCTGCTTGTTGGGTTGCTGTACAGCCTGGTGCAAAGGAGTTTAATTCCATACCAGGCCACTGCTTGCTTGCCTAAAGATAGTGCATCACTGCCACCACCAGGGGTCCTGTTAACATACAGGCCTCTGAGCCTGCAAGACAGTGACTTTCCCCAAACCACTCACATACCCTCCAGCATTCCTCGGATGGAAATAGGGACTTTTGTCATGCATACACACAACTGATCCTCCTCGACCCTCCGTTTTTTGTAAAACAACAAAAACGAGCATTTTCACCACCACTACACCAATGGAACACACACCTTCCACTGTCTTGAAAAAAACCATTAATCCATATTCTATTCTATTCTATTCTATTCTATTCTATTCTATTCTATTCTATGGTAGATTTACAAAAAGAAAATCACACACTAATAAATACATTTTAGAAAGGGGCAAGATTAGACATGGACACACAAATCATTAAAAAAATATATCAAGACTCCTTGCACTCTCCTCTGCTTCCCCTTTCTTCGCACTCAGGACAGCCCTTGCCCATGTCTGCATCTTGGAGCCAGGTGGGGCTGGGTCTCAGCGATGGCTGCCTTTTCTTCTCCTCCTCACCTACTCTCCAGCAGCCGCTATGAGCTGCCTGATGGAGGAGGCCAGCAGTGATGGCCATGGAGAAGAAATGGGATGCCCCCTCACAGTCGCCGCCGTTGAGGACAAGCACCCACTCATCCTCCCCGAGCTCAGCACTGGTGATGGTGAAATAGGACATTCCAGGATCAAATCAGAAGCTGGGATGGTTTTCATAATTCTGGGACTGTCCCTGGAAAATAGGGACACTTGGAGGGTATGCACTCATGATTTCATATTTGAGTAAGAACGTGAACTTTGATTTCTGAGTTCAATGCTAAATTCTTTAGCCACTAATCCATGCTGGCAGTAATACTTCTTTCTAACCAATCTCTAAAGGGTGCTTTTCTCTTTTCTCGTGCATTTCAGTCCATTTGTTGGAAACTTATTGGTTGCAGTTCCAAGATCTGCTGGTTCAGCTCTTCCAACACGTCATTCCATCAGGACACCTAGTGACCTGTTTAATCTCCAGCTCTTCGCTTCTGACTTCTTCTTGTAAATGATTTATCAGCTGGCGTGGATCCCTGTTTGCTTAAGGAGGCGTGTAGTGACCTCTAGCATGGCCTGTGTACAAAGATGCAAACAGCATCTTTGATTGTGAACTTTTATACAACAAGCAGAAGCCCACCTCATGGTAAGGGCTAGAAGTGAAAGCGGACCTCTATGTGGAGCCTCAAGTGGTATTAGCACTATAAACAGGGAGTTGTTGTACAACACTAGTCTTTGGAATGACTAGTTCATCATTGACAACATCTCAAATGCACCAAGAAAGAAATAACCAGGAATGGCAGGAGCAGGGGGCCGCAATGGAGAGGACAATCTTTGAACAAAATTGACCTGGACATGTATCACATATTTAAATGCAGTCTACACCAGGTCAGATTTTAGAAACGTTGATCAGAAAAAGACAGGTTTTAACAACTGGCTCTGCATTAGGTGGGCAGCAAGAGTCACAACTCACCCACGACTGGGATCATGGAGAGGGGGGTAAAAGGAGAATAAAAATAATTTTATCAGTGAAAAATAGAGAGGAGATGGTTTGACTGGGGAAATTAGGATATTTTATCATCACCATGTGGCAGAGAGATGGCCAGAACTCTGCAGCGACTCAAATTCTTTAATGTATTAAAAAGCAATTACAGTAACTTAAAAAGCAATATAGTTATACAAATTAAAACACTAAAATGGACAATAAATTAAAACTATTATAATTGAAACTATAGTAGTTTCAGAACAGAACAGCCGTGTTAAGTTAAATAATAATAATAATCTGGTGCCCAAATGAATTCACAGAAAATGCCTCCTGGATTTGCTTGGGAAGGGAATTCCAAAGTTGTGGAACCCACCAAAAAACCTCCTGGAGAAAGGCATATTATTATCTCAAGGGCAGGCACTTAAATGGGAATACCTTATAACATGCTAATGATGTCCTTTATGACTGTTTGGCCCCATAACACTATAAGGGCAAAAAGGAGCTCTGGTGTATGTATGTATGTATTTATGTATGTATGTATGAATAATAAATACCGGTAAATAAATGATTAAAAATACATTAAAACATCAGTCATTAAAAGCTTCTCTAAACAGGGCTGCCTATAGATGTCTTCTAAATGTCATACTGTATAGTTGTTTATTTCCTTCACATCTGAAGGGAGGACGTTCCACAGGGCAGGTGCCACTACCGAGAAGGCCCTCTGCCTGGTTCCCTGTAACTTCACTTCTCACAATGAGGGAACTGCCAGAAGGCCCTCGGAGCTGGACCTCAGTGTCCGGGCAGAACAATGGGGGTGCAGACGCTCCTTCAGGTATACATAGCCAAGATGGAAGGCAAATTTGGAAGTAGTCATCATAAAAGAGGTCGCTGAGGGTCTGAGAAGGACAGAGGAGAAGAGAATGTGAGGAGAGTAGTTATTAGCTAGAGTGAGATAATTTATATGCGGTGATTCTGAATGGGTGGAACCAGGCAGATGTGTCAAATTCCCCAAGGTAGACTACTTAACCCAATTATCTTCATTTTATAAATGTCTATATACACATTCTAATTGGGTACTATCATTTAGAAATCTTGACTGCTATTCTGATTTTGCTGTGGCACTGTAATGAAAACACAAGCATTTCTTAGGCAAGGCCCCTTAAGATTTGATCAGCAATGGGGCAGAACACCGACGCAGAAAGTTTAAGCCAGGAGTAGCCAACATTATGTCCTCCAAATGTTGTTGGACTACAACTCCCATCAGCCTCCCTTCCAACTTTGTGGATTATATGAACATCAGGAGGGCTTCATATTGGCTACCCCTGGTTTAAGCTATGGGCTTGGCTATTTTGTTATCTAACCCCAGCTGTACTCAGCTCATCCCAGGCTATCAAAAGGGAATCCTAAGAGCTGCTTAACACATTTTGAAATGATAATATCAAATAGGCTTACCTTGTCTAATCAGTTTCACATGATTACTCTTTCTTTCCTTGATTTCAACATCACAGAAAGAGAGTGAGAAGCTTGCGAACTTAGAAGCTTATGTGGTGTGGCATATACGGGTTGGATGAGGGCGCATCCAAAAGAAATATTTGTCACATTAAATTGATGAGGTCAAGCAGTCTCCTTCAATCTCCAAGGACCCTCAGTTCTATAACCATGTTTCCTGGGACGAATGGGGTGTTGAAGTCCAAAATCTGTACCGTTTAATCTATACTGGGTTTTTTTTGTTTAGAACTCTTTTACTTGTGTTTACTTGTGTTTATTGTATATTGTTGTAATCTACCCTGGGACTTTGTGGTGAGAGACAAGTAATAAATTTATAAATACACACAAACACATCATTTAGAGAGTGCCAGGTTAGTGTAAGATTATTGTTGTTGTTGTTGATTTATATTGATTTATTGGTTTGTTTGTGGCTTGTATAGAATATTTTGTTTTTTAATGTTTGTTTTGTTGTGTTTTTATATATGTTGTAAGCCGCCTAGAGTGGCTGGGGAAACCCAGCTAGATGGGCGGGATATAAATTTTTAAAATATTATTACGGTATTATAATGAGGAGTAACAATATTGTGGTAAGCTTATTGCCTCAGAAAGCAATGTCTGGATGGCCTTGACTAAAAGTAACCAGTTCCCCCAGTTCAACTCTGTTCTGCAGAGCACTTTCTGGCCTCTTTCTTGCATGCTAGAATCAGGGGTACTTCCATACCTAATGTAGCAGTACTTTAATGTAGCCGCAAAGCCAAGGATGGGATTACTAGATCAACAGATTATATACATTCCACATCTTCATAACTTCTGGTTGACCAGCATGGCCATAAACATAAGAAGGAACCCAGTCTGAAAAGCAGGGCACCTTGAATTCCTTATAAGAAGGGCAAGACTTAAATGTGGTTAGTGTGTTATGTTGATAATACAAAAATTTAGAGAATCCCATTGCTCCTGCCATCAGAGATCATTATGAAACTGTAACATTGAGATGGGTTGCCATAGCACAGGGTTTACCTTGCCTGGGCAGGTTCACTCCAGTGGAGATCCCTGAGGGCCGGATTGCTCTCATGTGTGCGTGCTCGCGATTTCCGGCATCTGCGCAGATGCGATTTCTGGTGCAGCGGAAGTGAGTCCCCGTGCGGCGCTGGTTTAGCGCAGCCCGCGGGGACTCGACAAGCGGGCGGCTCAGTTTGGGGGCAGCTCATGGGCCGGTTAAACGACCCCTGTGGGCCGCTTGTGGCCCATGGGCCTTAGGTTGCCTACCCCTGCCATAGCAAATACAGTATGTAAAAGTTTTTTCCTGTGTTTCTAGCCCAAAGGGAAAGCTGTTTTAATATAGGTTTTCCTTCATTTATATTAATGTGATTTAATTTCAGCAGAAATCACTGCTTCTATGAAAGAGGAAGATTGAATTGTTATTATCGTTTACCTATACCTTGGTAGACTTGGCTTCCTATTCTGCATTGTTATAATAAAATATGCAAATCAGTTTCCCTGCAGCATGGGCTTATAAACCAAAGATACATGTAAACAAACATGCATTGAGGTAAGGGAAGCCAGTCTTGTAAAGTACAAACAGCAAATTCATTCATGCTCAGTGTTAAGTTGCTTCAAGCAGTTTGCTGCCTTACTCTAAGAAGCAAGCAAGCCCGTTACCTGTCGTAGCAAATCTTCAACAGGAGATGTAAAAAAGAAGACTTGTTTGGAAAGCAAGGATAAATATCAAGCCAAGTGACTGAACAAGATGATTTGAAGGACTTGGGACTGGGCAGAAATACATTTCAGCCAGGACAGATTTGAGTAATTCAAGACATGGCTTGCAGGGTCAGGACAAGGTGAGGCAAGAATTGTATTATGAGTCAACCACAGCAGGAAAAGAGGGAGAGCTCCTGAGAAATTGTCAAAGCTCATTGCTGTGGGATATCCCCCAGTGGTTTAAACTTATAACCAAATACACAGAGAGCTTCCGCGACAGAACGTTCTAGGGAGTAGCTGGGCCACAGATCGGAAGCTGAGCACAATCAAGAGGATGCCATACTGAAGAAAGCAACAAGTCCCAGCCATCCTAACGTCGCACATGCAGAGCTGGATTAAGAAACTTGTTTCTAGTACTCTAGCAAATCCTTTATGACCTAGAACAAACCTTCCCATCACTGAATTTCAGATAAGCAACAGCCTTAATTACATTCAAACAGAAAAGCTTCTCTGAGCATTGGAGAGGCAAGACTCTGCCCTAGATCCCAACAGTGTTGTGTGAAGTGCTTTAGTTTGGGAACTGCATTTACATAATTAACGCCATGTCTAATTTAGGTCCAAGACCAGTCAAACTACAACATTATATATGCCTTTCTCACAGTGCGTTACTTGGAAGGGAGCTCTACTGAACTCAGCAGGACTTGGGTCAAAGTACGTTTGCTAGAATCCTATACTTGGAAGCAAGCCCCATTGAACTTGGTTACTGATGAACTTTGGAGTCAACACAAACAGAACCAGGCTGTATGTGCACATGTACAAATATATAGTGCAGCAGTCCCGCCAAAGTTAAGCATGTGGCTAATTCTCCTATTGCCATCCATGGGACCTGACTTGGGATCATTTTTTAAAACGCTTGTAACAGAACTGGTGAACTTTACAGCCTGCATGCTATTTTTAAAGAGTTATAGCAATAGTGATCAGTCAGCTGCAGCATGAACGCCATCTAGTGACTGAAATGTGCCTTTAGATTTCACCCAAACAAAATTGATTTTCACTCAGGCCTTTCATATTAATGGTTTATTTGCCACTTACTCCCAAAACAGCTTTCTATAAAAACCATCCATTACTTCTTGCATTTTTACCTCCTCTCTAAATGTTATATATACATATGAGATTCCAGGATTCTAGGTGCTTGATATATATCTGAAACCTAAACCCAACTCTGGATTTATGTACCTAAATCTGGGCCAAAAGAATTGCCTAGAAAAAAAATCAAGAGCATCCCCTAGTGGTGTAAATTGTTCAGCACAGCTTCCCCTCAGTGCAAACCTCCCACTCCAAGGTGGAAAATCAGCCTTATTGCTGTTTTTAACAAAATAAGCTGTCAGCTTTGGTAATTAAAATCCACACAATTGCTTTACTGAAAAGAAGTGCAAAGCCTGCACAGATTTACAAAGCAAGTATTCGAACTAAAAGTTGTAGAAGTTTGAGAAAGATGTGCGTATCATAGGTATGTTGAAAAAAGCCTCAACTCAAGAAAGTTTTCCAAAGGGAGAATTAATGTTAAATCTTCAGTGTTCAATATCCTGGCTATATTTGCATGATCAGAAGAAAGCCACCTTTTAAATTCATAATCCTGCAGTACAGCAGGTTCTAGGTTCTAAAAAAGCAATTGACTCAACATATTTCCAATCTGATTTGCAAAAGGGGCTAAGTGTGATTTGAAAAAAATTAGCCACCCTGTTAGATACATCAAGCATTTTATGCTTCTCTGGAGGGGAAGACCCTGCGCAAAATTCAGATACTTTCTCTCTGGCAGTGACATCATCAGCAGATGGACTACATCCTATCCATCCCGGATTACTGGCTGGTGCTCAGCGACTTCTAAAGCAGAGCATTCCAAACTTTTCATGTTGGTGACACTTTTTATACAGACATCATTTCACAACACAGCAGTTCCGTTTTAACCAGAAGTTAAACTAACCCCTTTCCAACCCCAGGAGAACACCCCAAAACACTGCAGCTGACATACTAATGTGTGGTGGGCCCAGGCCTTATCCACAAATTGAGTGATATACAGTGGTACCTCGGGTTACAGACGCTTCAGGTTACAGACTCCGCTAACCCAGAAATAGTACCTCGGGTTAAGAACTTTGTTTCAGGATGAGAACAGAAATCACGCAGCGGTGGCACAGCAGCAGCAGGAGGCCCCATTAGCTAAAGTGGTGCTTCAGGTTAAGAACAGTTTCAGGTTAAGAACAGATCTCCAGAACGAATTCAGTTCTTAACCCGAGGTACCACTGTATATGAAGGAGCACACATTTGTGTATGTAGACGCGCCATATGACCAGGATCACTGTTTGTGTTCCTTGCATATGTCCTGCTCAACACATGAAGGGGATGGGGGAAGAGTACATACGTGAAGGCGGCTAGAAGGTATCATTGTTCTGAATTAGGAGTCCACTGGGAACAACACTGAATCCTCAAAATGAAGGCATCAGACATTATGAGCAGCTACCTCAACTTCCCTTGGGATCAGTTTTGCAGGTTTGGAATGGGATTAAACCACCCCCCTTTCTGCTCTTAGGTACAGTGGAGAAAAGAAAGAGGTACCCCCATCTTTTTTCCTGTTAATAGTAGCAGCATGCATATCAATTTCCAATAAGGAAATGACACCAATGAAAACAGTTAACCCACACACAAAGTGCTTTTAAAAGGTAAGAGAGAGATGTCACGATGCATTCACTAGCTCATGTGTTACATGCAGAAGTCTATAGCCATAAACTGAGATACTGGTAAAAAATGAGTTTCCTGTAGTGTGTATAACAAACAGAGCATTTTGTAAAAAGTTAATCCTGGAGTGTTATGGGTATTAAGGCTGGGACTCAATTATTATAAGCAAGTATTTTTCTTACACAGATAAACACACCTCCCCTAATCTTTCAAAATTATTTAATCCAAGATAATGGAAATAAACACTGGAGAGGAGTAACTCTGTTTGGTAATGAGTCTGAACAATGATCCAACAAAGTAACATTTTATTATGTATCAATTTTATTGAAAATAAAACTGTTGCTAACAAAGAAAAAAGTTTACAAACTTAGCTTTAATGAGCAACACAGAAAGACCGCTGAAGCTGCAGTAAGCAGGGGAGAAACATTTATTGTATTTACTGTATCACACCAATACATTTAAACATTTTAGGGTTCAGTTTACAAATATTCGAAGCAGATTCCCTCATTTAGGTATGTGGAAGCCAGGTAGTTTAGTGATCACAAAGTTGTTAAAGATTAACAGAGTACTACTTACTAACAAAAACAAAATCATGTTTTGTAAACCTAAGGAAAATGCCCTTTTACACTTTAGCATGAATAAATTCACATTACATGAAGCTTGACTGGAAATTTGTTTTGAGTTTGAAAATAACCTTCCCCTATTAAATTTGACAATTTACTGCTTCTGATACTACATGTACCTGCAGTATTTAAGTGTCACACTCTGGTCGCTCTCTTTGTAATATTAAAATAAAAACTTCAGTAAAACTGGTGTATTTTTATTTCACAAAGGGTATCTCTGTAAAACAATGCCTTTGCAAGACTGCCAGGTTAAATACTCTAAGTTGCTGCATTAAAGTATCCATTATGTTTTGATTTTTTATATCATGAAGTGGGTTATGAAACTTTGTACCCTGTCCAGATAAAATTTGGTGTGGAAGATGTACTTCTTGACTAGACCTTACTCTAAAGTAGCATTAAAAATTTCACAGCAGCATCTGCTTAACCAGATAACACATTAAAACACGTTCCCTGGCTTGCTACTTTAAATGTAAATACTCGTTAAGAATAAGGAAAAATATTTCCTTCACAATTCAGATACCCACCTGTGCCCTACTAAAGGATAACTGTATATTGGGAAGTTGCATGGGACTTTTCAAAACAGCATGTTAATAGTCAGCTGAACTATCCATGGTGATTTACTCAATGTTAACTAGAAGATATTCTATGTGCAAACAAGAAGCACAGCCAAAGGACTCTGAAAAGTGGCACCACAGTCCATGTCTTAAATTTATCATATTCAACAATAAGGACAAAACTCCCATTATGTGTACTGCTTGAGTCAGTAAGGCTTCACCTAGAGAAGTACATAGTACATGTGGGTAATTATAATTTGCCGATTTAAATTGCTTTTATTATTGGTTACAATTTATCTAACTCTATAAAGAGGGCAAGTTTACATACTCTCTTCAGAGGTCTATGCTCACCTGATGAATTGTCCCTCCCCCCACCCCCATTTGCATCTTATTCAGGCTTGTAGAAAATTTGACTTAGAAATGAAATATTTATACACCTCTCAAAATACCTTAACTGCGGCTTTCAGCAGAGCTCGACCTAGAGCGAGACCTTTTCTTGGCTGGGGGAGGAGACGGAGAGGAATTTTGCGGGCCAGAGTGGTGGTTTTTCTCTGAGCCCTTCCTTTCAGGTGTGCGGCTTCGAGAGCCCCTCTTTTCAGGGGTACGGCTTCGAGAACGAGACTTGCTTGTTGACTTGGAAGATCTTGCAGATCTAGACTTGCTGCGAGATCTTGAATAACTCCGTGAACGGGATCTGCTTCTGATAAAGATTGAACAGATCTTATGACAGTCTATATCCAGTATTCATAAATATCTTTTTTGTATCCAGTCTTGCATATTCCCACTACACAACTGGGTCGTCTTTTAAAATGCCATCTAAAGTGGTATTTCTCCTCTAACAGTAGAGAAACATGGAACTTTTGACTTCTGTTCATCCAACAGGCAATGTTGCAGCCCAAAGTAGCTTTTTCACCCTGACTCCCTCTCATACTTAAAAGTCTACAAAAAATCTTGAGAATTTCAAGGCTCTTTTTTGATCCCTATCTCAGTGCCACTGTAAACAAGCTTGCTTGGTGTAGAAAGCAGGCATAATACAGATCCCTCAGTCTGTACTCCAATTTCTCTAATTCTAATTTCTCCAACTGCATACACTGGGGTCGCCAAGGTGGTGTCCTCCATCTCCCTTTCCTGCCAAGTGACCATGATGGCTGTGGCTTATGCGAGTGGGAGTCTAGCAAACCTGGGGAGGGCATCACTTTGGCTATCTCCATAAAGCTATAAAATTTAGAAGCTATTTGTTTATACCAAGTGTTGTCACCCTGCATTTTCTGTTACTATCTGTGGAAATACTTGGACAGAGATCCAGTTCAATTGTACCTTGAGAAGGTTTGGGGCAGCAACATTTTCCTAACATCTTGCTTCCCACCCCCTGCCCTGATTGCCATGTTTCTTGCCAAGTCCATCAGATCTTCACATATGGTGACATACCTGCGCCTTTTGCGATCTTCAATTAGCTTAATTCTGCGCCCATTCAACTCGCTGCCATCCAACTTGTCCAATGCACTCTTCATGTCACTGGATGATGCAAACTCCACCACACTGCACAGCCAAAACAAAATTGACATTTAAGTTCAAAAATGATAGAGCTTATTTTCTACTTAGATTACCGAAGAGCAATGATCCTGCCCTCCTTCAATGCTCATATTCAAATTAACAGTGTTATAGTAAACAATGGTGTGAATTTCCCAAACCCTTAATTCCAGATTGTGACATAAAGCTCCTTGTACCTTCCTTCGAACTTCCACATGATCACTTATTCCTAGCCAAATAGAATGTGGTATGGTTGCCTAGGCAACCAATCTGGAAATAGAAGTGCACAGGAGTATAGTGCTTCATTTTATTCTACTGATCTTGTGTATGTTGCAACAACACTAACACCACTGTCATTGCGTTTGGAACCGATCAAGCTAACTACCTTGGGTGCAAAGTTCAAATCTTACCCTTCATTTGGATTGTTTCTGTGTGCATCTACAAAGGTAACTTCTCCAGCCTTTCTCATGAAGTCTTTCAAATCCTGCAGTAAAAGTCACAGTTCAGCTTAGAAAATGATGCATAGAACTAAAGAAATCGTTTTTAAACAGGTCTCCTTGTTATGGCTAACAATTATAGTAAACTCCCATATATTACAGCTATAATGAGAAAAATTAAGCTAATCACATTGCTCAGATATGGCAATATAACATACCATTTAAAGGATTACCACATATATTAACTATGTCACAAATGGTGTTATTAAATGCAAGCATTTGATCATAAATGAAGTCTCAGTTTACTTGTATATTAAAAGGTTTGCCTGCAAACATTCTTCCTCTTGTCTATACAAATTAAACACAAATGTCTTTATTAAGTTAATGCTAAGATTCTGTCACAAGCTGTCAAAAGGCAGAAGCACAACTTTTCTGCTTTCATCAGTTCGTGTCACAACCTCAGTGTTATTTTAACAGAGACTTGCATTTAATGTAATTGAGCTTGAGTCTATGCTGCAACACTACACAACTAAGTGTTAAAGATATTTTAAAATAAGTTGTTTATGACTTATTTCTTAACCTTTACAAAGTGCCCCAAAGAATAGCTGACATTTTATAGCCATAGGCTACTTACCACAACATACCACAAGTGGTCAGATGATATAAGCAGGTACCTTAAGCAAAGAGTCGCTTGTCCAATAATTGCCTAGCAGACCAAGAGGAACTCCCTTACATGGGAGGGACAGAGGAATGGACCATAGCAATGTGCTTCAGGGAGATGTACCAGAGACCCTGAAAGCACTGGACACAGTCTCCGGAAGCGGCTCTAGAACCTGAGGTTGACCTGTGCTAGCCAATCGAGCTGTGGGCCAACCAAGATCTACATCGCCAAGATAGGTGTGTCATGGGTACCAAAGGGAAAACTCAGAACAGGCCAAGCCCTAGAAATTCAGCCACTAGGAACCCCAACCTCTTGGGTTCTTTCTCCTCCACACAAGAGAAACGAGGGCTAACCCAAAGCAAGGCTGTTAAAAGAGGTTCAAAATGAACTTGGTTAGATATATATTTGTGAAAAAAAATACAAACAAAAAGCCTAAAACTGAGCTACAGTTTACAGGATGCCTCAATTACTTTAGTGTTTAATAAAGTTCAATTTAGTTTTTACAAACTAACATGTGAATAAAACAGTCTGAAAACCTGAGCCTTTAACCTAACATGAAACAAGTTTAATAGCAGACATTTCATGGCAGAGTTCAATTCTACAACATACTGAGCACTCCAGCCCAAAATCTGCTTGATATTTATGCATGCACACCCTCTAACATGTAAAATCCAGTGATGGTGAAATTTCTAATTGCACAATGAGCACAAAAGTTTTGCGCATGCCAAGATCAGGGTACTCAGCATCTGTAGGATTGAACTCTCCCCAATACAAAGTTCACAACATACAATACAAAATGATGTTCACAATACTTCAAACTGATTATATCCACAGTAAATAGGAGACAAAGCCAAAAAACATTTTCATTGATCCTTATGCAATTCAATTAGCTTTGATAGTACAGGTGAATAAACCTATAAAGGCAGGCATCTAAATTTAAAAATACAACCATACCATGTATTTGAAATTTGATTTCTTGTCTATTACGTACACGATTATGTACACTATAAACATCAAGCAAAATAGTCTGTACAGATGTTCACAGCTCAAGTATGTTTCTTGAGAACTTAGTTAGATGAACCTTAGATTAGAAGACTAAAGTAGCTGTATAGCAACAACTTTCCACAGAAAGCCAAGGGGTCTAGTTTCCTAGCTTTAGGCTTACGGAGACCTTGCAGCCGTTAGGGGAAAATCAGCAGTAAAAACTATGTGCTATTAAAAGTTACTGGGATTCTAGATTTTAGAAGTCATAATCAATAAGGAAGAGATTGGAACACTTTTAAACACCAGAATGTGCTGGCCTTCAAAAGAAGATGTATGCACTCTCATCTTAAAGCTTGCTTGGTTGCATGCTAGGAACATGAGATGCTAGTTAGTAAGTTTTGAACATCAGGACACAATCCAGCTCAACTTCAACCTTGCCTGCGCTACTGCTCCCAGTTGTACACTTTTGCCACTTTTCGCTCTAAATTTAAAGGGCTAGTAAAAAGACACAGGACAGGCACTTATCTGAGGGCAACTGCTACAGTGGGCAGATGAGTATTAGTTTTCAAAATCCCACTAAGGTAGACAAGACAACCAGAAACTGATTTCAATGGACCTTGAAAACAGTTTTTCATTGATATGGGAAAGGATGCATTAAAAAGTGTTTCCTGTTACTATTCAAAGCTTACGGAAATGATGAAGCCAGGCATACATTATGTACTAGTTAGTGAAGGCAAAGAAATGGCCATGGAAGCAGCATGGCAAATTTTTTTGTTTCTGATCACAACATTTGCCAGAATCTCCTCAGGATAAAGTCATGATGTTTTCAGAAAACATGTTTCTGTAAGCACTAAGTAACCTCTGAGATAAACCAATGCCTGCAATAATTTAGTGTTTCTCATACAAATCGTAATCTCACCTATCCCAAAAGTACAACTTTCCCATAAACCAGCAGGTAGTTTGTATCATGGCAGCAAAACAGATTTGAACAGAAAATGTTGCTTTGTGATGTAAAACCCTCAGGAGCAAAGTGATGACTATTATGCTGTTCAGAACAGAAACATACCTTGTTTGCTTGCCTTGCCTTAATTTGCACCAAGGCCTGATTCACACAGAAGTTGCTCCACTCAGCAAGATGTTGTGTGAAGTACCTTACTAAATGGTTCTGGCTATTTTTAATTTCACCTCTGCAGAGCCAGGCAAGGTTTGAAGTGCCTTCATACAAGCTGCTTTTCATAAACAGCAGTCTAAAAGCAGCGATGGAAGTGCTATCACACCAGTGAATTTTCCATTAAATTAAGAACTGCACCGCACCATCATACACCCACCCACCAGGCAGCATCAGTGTAGCTGTATTAGACATAGCCCACCAGAGCACATACATGCTGGTCTCAAATGACCTGATGAGCTTTCCCAATGGCTGCAAATGATAATACAAGTACAGCATTTACCAACACCAGAAAGTGTACTGGGAAATTTTGTGAGATACAAGCCTCAGAATGAAGCGTCACAAAAGTGACATGCATTTATAACCAATGACAACTGAAACTTGGCTGGGACCAAATAAATGGAAGACTATTCATAGTAGACAGATGGAACCTTCATGTTTAGAGACAGTATACTTTTGATATTGGGAATAAAATAACAGTCTTTGCCTCTGAGAAATATATAAGCAGGGCATGTTGGTATCTGGCTGTCTTCTATTGGAAACTTAATACAGTGGTGCCTCGCAAGACGAAATTAATCCGTTTCGCGAGTGTCTTCGTCTAGCGGTTTTTTCGTCTTGCGAAGCAACCCTATTAGCGGCTTAGCGCTATTAGCGGTTTAGCGGCTATTAAAGGCTTAGCGGCTTAGCTGCTAAAAGGCTATTAAAGGCTTAGCGGCTTAGAAAAAGGGGGGGGGAGCGAAAAAGAAAATCTCAAGACTCACAAGACATTTTCGTCTTGCGAAGCAAGCCCATAGGGAAATTCGTCCTGCGAAGCAACTCAAAAACGGAAAACCCTTTCGTCTAGCGGGTTTTCCGTCTTGCGAGGCATTCGTCTTGCGGGGCACCACTGTACTCAGCGAGATGGCCTCTAGATACAATTGAGTAGTTCTTAAAAATAAGTGGAACTGGACTCATACCCAGGATTTTTCCCAGTGGGCCATTCCACACAGCTACTTGTAAAACAAATGCAACGTATCAGGACTCATGTGTGCTCAACTCTCCTCCCTTTAGTTATTTCTTCCCATGCATCTCTCATATGAGTGAGAGAGACTGGTTCAAATTTAAGCACTTTAATAATAAATTGCCAGACACAGGCCCACCCAGTTATTTTATAAAACTTTTCTAAAATGCAAAAAGGGATCTGTAATGCTGATCTATGGAAAAAGTCCTGTGTTGATATCAAAGGACTTCAGGATCATAAGTCAAATGACTGAAAAACTGGTACCCTATGCATCTCACGTTTTATACTTCTCTGTAGGTTGCCCTGAGCAACTTATTGGAAAGGCAGCAATTTTAATCCTGTCAAATTACACAAGTAGTTCAATATATGTATTTTGTTCTACAGTGGACTCAACTGTTGAGTTCTGTATTTCCACACAAATAGAGAACTCCAAATGTATATGCCAGGCTTCCCTTCATCACCCATGTGGACCTCTCCATCCTACACTAAGCTCTTCATTATTCTTACAATTTACTACATCAGCTAACAAACGCTAACTTGCCTCAGGTTTATTTCCTATATTAGTAAGCCCTGTTTCTTTACTTTCAGCTAAGGCTATTGTGCAGTATGCTAAATAGTTTGCTGCAATTATTCTCTTGACAGCTATCTTGCTCCTGAACTGTGCAATTATTTACAACCTGTTCCTTCCCTTTCCTTCCTCCTTTGGGTTCCAAAGAAAGCCCTGTTTGATGAACACATGTTTAGAGCACTGTTAAAAAGCTAGGCATTCCCCATGTTGAAATTTACAAATGAAAATGAAGACAAAACTGAGGTTAGGTAAAGTGACAAATCATGCACTGATGACAGTAGTGCTAAGATCAAGGTAATAATTGCCCCTCATTTAAGCACAACAGCAACTAGTCAAAAGGAAATTACAAGAGAACTCAGGACACCAGAATCAGCTTTTTTTAAAAAACAAAAAATTTAGTCTTCACTGTGGATGCAACCATTATACCCATAAGTTAATAGGTGAAATATTGTTCAGGGCCTCAAGAAATGTTAGCATACATGCAAGCCAAAGAGCAGAAAAGAAGTATTTAGATTGCAGATTCCTCCTTTGTAGGAAGTGATATACACATAGATATTATTAAAAATGAAGGCTACCAGAACCTAATTTAAAGCAGATTATTAAGTTGACAATATGCTACTTGCCTAAACCTATTATAAATAAATCTAATAAAAATACATTCTACATTTACATTCTACTTTACTGGCTCAATGAAATCTCATTTTTTGTTTCACAACGAAATATTTAGAATGAAAGGTATGTGAAGCAGCTGAAGATTCACTGGCTAATGATAACAGAAGCTGGTGTACTTTGAAGGCTTGCTGCGTTGCTAAAGAGTAGAATCAAAATGAACTTCAGGGATTATTTGGTATAGCAAACCTGCCAGACTAAGTGCCACCTAGCAAATGATAGCAACTTTTTCCAGTATACACCTGGTAAAATACTTGAATAATCTTCACTCAAGATGGTATATATAGGCTTCTCCCTACCCAAGCACATCCACACTTGCATGGAAAACATGCCAGAAAGCTGAAATACTGAAAGTGAGGATTCATTTATCCAATTTCAGAATAAATATTTTGAATCTGCATGTGAAATTGGTGTTCTAAGACAAGGGTCCTGTGGGCACCTGAAAAGCAAACTAATTTGTGGCATGAAATTTTCAGGTTTATGTTAGTCATGTACCCCTTACAGTTAGGAAGAGTAAAAAAGCATTGTCTTTGCAAGGAAACCAAATAGAGGCAATACTTAAATGTGAAGTTATGTATATGTTGAATGTTATTTAACACACACACCAGCTATGCAATGAAAGCCACAAACCTCTTTTAGAATTAAGTAATACATAAAATTTTCTGCATTATGAACACAGAGTTCTTTTAACCACGCAGTCATTCTGTTCATTCTATTGAAGCCAGATACAAACTACAGACCTTCCCACTGAGACATGCCTTTAATTATGAAGATTATGTCTTAAAATAGATTTTTCACAATTCTTATTAGATGAGGATTATAGTTGTCCAAGAAACACTAATCAGCTCTTCAGTTTTAAAAATAAAAACATGCTGCTTAAATGCTTATTTTTTGGTATGCAAATCAAAGAACTTTAAGCCTGAGTTTTAATAAAAAATGTTCTGACTGCTTTAGCTGCAAAGTTAAATTTTATGGTGTCTCCTTCAAGGGGACGACTTGTTTTTGAGAAGAAAGAAGTATTTAAGTTCAAATCCAACTCACCTGCCAGCTAACACGTGAAGAAAGATTCTCAACTATAAGCCTATGTTCAGTACGAAGAGGTGGTCCATACTGGCTACAAGAGAAACACATTTTTCCATTATTTGTTCATTTATACTTCATGCGGAAAATGAAAGTGCATTATGCTGGGACAGATTGCTTCACATTGCTCAGTAAACCAGAAAATGTTTTAGAAATTTGACTGTGTTCTATTTAAATGAGGAGAAAGGCTACCGGGCAGTTGCTTATTGTCTGTAATAGGGAAGGCAAGTGGAATATTTACACAAACTGCAAGACACACGCTAAATGACTATGGGGCAGTTCACGCAAGTGTGTTCATCAGTCAATGACCTCCATGTGTGAAACGGCCAGCATATAAACAGCTTTCAAAGCTATCACCTAACATAACATTTTTCAAAGTCCCTACATGCTGTGAACACACATCAAATGATGAACATACAGGCATGAATCACCCCAGGAGGATGAGGCTGTGGAGACTGCATGCTTACTACAGCACTATAGTACTTCAAAAAGCTGTGGGAGCTGATGCACTATCTACCCAATTTTACATGAGTAAAAGATCTGGCTTACTGTCATCAAACCCCAAAATATTATAAAGCGCTAGTATGAACATTAGTTTGTTCAGGCTAGCTACCAAAATCCACTCCAAATGATGGCTCTTTTACATAATATGAAATTCAACCAACAACAAGTGCATCTTTTGGAAATTTAAGCAGAGGCAACTCCATTTCATTTGCATACCTCTAAATGCCCCACATTTTCAGAATATCCAGATCTTCAGAGCATTTAAAAGAAGTTCCAGAATCCCCCAACTGGAAGGCCGAGTCCCACTTTTCACTACTGGAAATAGTAGTCTCTTCTTGTCTGGCACCATGTGCCTGATGTCATGAACGTAACTACCATGCAAGATGCCCATGAACGTCAGTCACATATCCTACTTTAGTAAAGTTCACTTTTAGCCTCGACCTTGGATCACTCTTACTGCAGCAACATCACTGCACTAAAGAAAAGAGAATCTAAACAGCATACTTCAATATGCAAAATTAGTAGTTTCCAATGTGTTTGGTTTCTGTTTAGCACGAGAACGGCAAGAAGGCTGCCTCTGAATGAAATGCAAAAATGCAAATTTTATTTCAAAGCAATTATTATCAATACAGTGTCTAAACAATTTCATAAACAGATGTCTTAACAGCAGCTTGTAGTAGACACAGTGAAATAGTTTAATGTGAGACAAATATATTTTAAAGTACTATTTCCTCATATATACTGTCCGACATGCATCACAGAAATACATTCTATAATGACTGTGTATTTCAAACAAATATTGGCCTTATAGAGTCTTCTATGTAGACATATTTGCTTTGTTGTAGGTTCTACTGACCTTGGAGCACAAGTAACTTATAGAAGTAGTACTTGTCTATAGTCTCCTAGGCTCCCAGCGAAAGTTTAAGCAAAAAGGGGCACAGTCCATTAAGCACTAGTCACACAAAGCCCATTCCATACAGTAAGGCTTGTACAGGACCAAAGTACTACAGGCTGAAACCAAACTATAACAAACTCTTGCTGTGGGCATGAGAGTAAACTACTTGTGCATCATAATTATATTAATGGGCATGAAAGGTATCAAGTGCTAACCATACACCCACTAGGCAAGGTGCAGCAATAATTAATGACTTCAACAGCACACACCTCTCCTTCTTATAGTTGAAGGTGGTAGTTGGAATTCAGCAATTTCAAAGAAAAGATTGTTAGCCTAAGATTCCTTGCATTGGTCTTACTAAAAAGGTAATGAAAGGTAGGGAAAATAACCACAGCTCATTAAGAACACCTTAAAATGTTATGCAGCTACCCCTAGAAATGTGAACTGTTAAGAATCCTGAGTGTATGGAGAATGTTCATAGTCTAATATAAACTGCTTAACAAGTGACTTTGCAGTAAAAAGAACATATTTCTTACCTAGATCCACCCCCATAGGATTGGTAATAATTGAACCGTTGTGGGTATCTGCCTCTACCCCCTCTTCGGGCTCTGGCATGTTCAATTGTAACCCTTTAAGATTAAATGAAAAATGAAATATTAATATTAAATGAAAAATAGACATAGCTTCTTTAGCACATCAATCTTTTTCTACTGGAAACATGCACAAAGCAAATAGGCATCTTCCTCCAAGCATTTCCATAAATGAAATGTAGCTATTTTGAGGTACTTGAAAACAGAAGCAAATATTTGTCTATTCAGACGTGTGTAACCAAAAAACCCTCTCATTTTTGCCAAATCTTAACTTCCTCACACATCCATCTATTGTACACAATTTAAGATGACTGAATAAGAGAGAATATCATCATAGTTCTTTCAGCTTTTTAATTGTATTAGTTTGGGGGTTGACAGAGGCTAGCTAGAAGGCCAAAGCAATAGCTGTGCTTACCACCAACCCTGCATATACAGGGAGCTGGGTGGGGGTGGCAGGTGTTTTTCTCATTTCTGCTGGGGAATAAAGATAGTTAAGAAGCAGCAGGAGAGACACGCCTGATTCTTCTTAGCTTACCAAGTCTTTGCATACACAGGCAAGACTCCAACTCCCTCCCACTCTAATGCTTGCCTAGTCTGGAGGGAGAAAAGATCTTGCACATGAAAATATCCCTATTTCTTACCTTATGCAACCTGTAGTGCAAATGAGTTTAGGAAGAGTATGCACATGTATGCACACTGCTGGGCATCCTGGCAAAGAGTTCCTGGCAAGTGAATTATGGGTGCCTGTATTTCTTTAAAGTTTGCAATGTAGCTTTAATACAAATACTAGAAAACTCAGTAAAAACAGAAAAAGCTTAGAATGACTTTATTTCTGAAATTACAATAGTAATTTTAGTCCAGTTGCTTTTGGTAAATTACACATGATGCCCAGGAAATATAGTTTCATGGGGGAGACAAGGATGTTGTGCAAATTAAGACTTAGCTTTTCTCATTGCAAAACTCCTCCCTTTTATCAGAACTGACTCTAGAAGGTATTTGAAAACTGAGTTAAATGTATGAAGCTGCTGGTAGCTGTCAGCCATAAAACAAACCCAAAGATGTGCAGAGGTCAAACTACAACATATGGAAAACCAGTTCCACTCTTGAGAAGCTAAAAAAAAGTATTTTACTGAGTGCAAACTTTCCCCTTGCCTCTCTTGAAAAAATGAAATATATAACCTTTTAGTGTCTCAGTAAGGCATATATGTAGACTGAATAGGCACAGGAGATAGAAAGGGTAAGTTGTCCCTGACAAAACACTGTATATTTGGTAGGGTTACCAACTACACAAATTAGAATGCTCTGATCAATATAGGGAGTCAAATCTAGGATTAAAAGATGTTAGTAATCTGCCAAAAACAAAGGAAGCCCTATTTCTTGTGAGGTCTCTTTTGTTAACAGTAGGCACCAGTTTTTCTGCTCTTCAGTTTCAAAGAAAGCAGTTGAAAAAGTAAGGCGGTAATCCTGCATCCTGATCTGCTACCAGCCTTCTGCGCCCACAAGCAGCACAAATCAAATGCAGACCATCCCATCCAATTTACTTGGAGCAGACATACTTGCAATTTATCTGCAATTAGTTGTGTGCTTTGCAGGGGATTGGACTAGATGGTCCTCAGGGTCCCTTCCAACCCTACAATTCTACGATAATTAAAGATTACCTTTCATTACACAGTTCTTTACCATTCAGTTCATAAACAGCATCATCTGCATCTCTGTGATCCTCAAATTCCTAAGAAGGAAAAGAAGGAACGAATCATGTAGTCAGTTCTTTATGAGTGAAATCTCATTGCCCTAATAGGGGATTTTTTCCATTCCTTTTTCCAGCTTATTACAGTCATGACTCTGTAACACAGAGGACTATTAACAATGCTCCTCCAGATGATCTCAGTGAGTGGGCTAGGCTATACATGCTCAAGTGGTTCTAAAGATGTATTGGACCCAACTTGTATATATCAGCACAAGAGTACTGAATATGTGAGAAAGTTAACAACAATTGTAAACCCTAACTTGGAAACTACTTAAAGGAGTGTCATCTCTCCCTAAACGAGCCTGCCCACGCTTCAAGTTCTGTGGAGTTCATCTTACGTGTTCCTCTGGCAGGAGATACTTTTCTGTGGCAACATGGCAATGGGTCTTGTCAGGAATGCCCTCCCCCCTGAGGTACAGAAGCTACTGACTCATTTCAATAACAAATTAAAAAACTTATCTACTTAACCATTAAATTACTAAAACATCTATTTGCTAGGCATTTGTGGAACATTAGTTCAGCTAGCCTACATGTGTCTGCTCTGTAGTTTAAAAGAAATATTTAAATAAAGGGAAGGGTAGAAATATTTTAAATAAGAAACACAATAAAACAAAAAATAGAAGACCACCAACACCCAATACAGTAGAATGCTTGCCTCTACTGTAACATCTCATGCCATTGTACAATGCAAGTTCAGTATATATGAAATCTGCCAAATACAGGTGAAATGATGTGCTATTATGAGAATGGACTCATGATACAGGCTGACTGTGTCCAGCAGCATGCACACCTATGCTGTCATGTCATGCTGTCAAATCACACAGGATGAGAAGTGGTTTAGTGATGAATTCCCATCAGTCTTCAGACCAAACAGCCTCACACAATATGCTACAGCTGCCTAACAGAGTGGTCTGGGACTACAAAAACACCTGATATTTTCCTATGCTTCCCATTTCATCCACCTATGCCTGAAGTTAATTGGCAAGCTTTGGAGAACTGTGCATTCTGCATAATGGCATGCAGGTTGAATAAAGCATTAGTTCTGCTGTTTGCTGCTGTGATTTAGACTTATGGTCAAAAGAAAATATGGGGAAAATCTACTGATGAAGATGGTGTAAGTCAAAAGAAAAATTACCACTCACCTGGGGCAAATAAATATTGCCTCCAGGCAAGAAAACCATGTCAGTGTTCCCACAAGAAGACAGATTTGCTTATGATTCATGGTGAGCAAGCGATGTGGTGGTACATTAAGCCTGACTGCTTTTCCTGATGTGAGTGGAGAAGTAACCCATGAAGCTGTAGATAAGCTTGGCTTTCTGTGATATCTAACTAGAGACCTTGGTTTGTAGTTCCCAAACTAGTCAGGATCTGCAAGCCAACAAAGGCTTGCGGTGATGCTGGCTTGTTTGGGAACAACAAATCAGGATCCCATATCTGAAGTCACAACAACTGCAGCTTCCTGGTTTTTCCTTTCTCTCTCATGTCAGGAGATAAGTGAAGTGGGAGACATCAGGCTGCAGGTACCAGCACAGTGCACATTCACAGTATACCATTATAATCCATCAACCCTTGCTTATTGTGATGGGTGAATGCAGCCTATGTATGCAACCTCCATAAGTAGCGTTCAAAACTCCTGTTGTTCTAGGCACGTTTTGCGACAGGGAATTTCATTAGTGTGAGCAGTTTCTGAGATCTGGGTGCAGTGCTGCACCTAATATTTAAGATTAAAACTGCCGCTGCTGGCGCTGAGGGCATGGGAGGAGAAAATCCTCCCTGCTGGACTTCCAAGAGATCATTACAGGCAAGCTGAGAGGTTCCACCTCTCAGCTGGCCTTACAGAAAGGCAGTTTTGCACTCTATAGCCTCAGATTGATTTAAATAGGTTTGGTTTAAGTAGTGCATTTTAAAGTGTTATCTACCTCACTCTCTCACAGTGATGCTTAAAATCGAAACCAATTTTGGAGTGGGATCACTGAAGGACAATGAAGTCTTAGGTTTGTGAACTGGACACTCAAGGTGGGTGTCTCTGCCATCAGTTGTATAGGCCTGTAATGTGTGCAAATTTTGGTGCCAAAAAGATTTATTTATATGAAGGAAAGGGGGTGTAGGAAGAATCCAGGGCTTGTCTGCAAAGTGGAAAGAAAGGAAGACCTTTTTCTGTCTCCCCACTTCCAGCCACTCTCTGAAGACTGGAGTGACCCACATAAGAATATTAGGAGGGTGGGCAGGAAGTATAGCTTTGTTTTTTGCAGTCTTCAGATGAGACCATATGGAAAATGAATATATGATTTTTTTTGCTGCAGTTCATTCATTTCCAGCTTTGTATAAAAAACACCTACTTAGACATTCTGTTGTGGCACCCATAACCTTAGGCTTAAGGTGCCATTTAACTCCTAGCTTTCACATCTCAGTTTCTAACACTGTTCATGAGCTCTGAAGACCCCGTCTGTGGGATTCAACTTCCTGCCTTGCAGAAAAGGGGAAATAACTAGATTTCTGCTCAGTTTACCTATCATTTTGGAGGTGGCACATGGAACTACTTCTCTCCCCTCCTGCATGGGAAAAACAGCTGCAAGCTAGGTTCCCTGTCTCCTGCTTGTTGAGTGGGGGAATAAAGTCACACATGCTGCCCCCAAAATGGAACTTTATCATCCTCTGTTTGGTAGGATGTGCACTAGTTGGGTGGACTTTTGTTCCCTATCTGTCTATTTCAGAGAGAGGAAGAAAGAATCCAAGTATCCTTTACCCCAGCTAGGCAGAGGCAAAGGGGCAAGTTGCCTAGCTTGCCTAGCAAGAGAAGAGAAAATGCAAGTCCCCACAGCCCCACTGAGTTTGCTTGGATAGGCAAATACAGAAAAGAAGACTGCTGCTTTTCCTTCTGTGTTCCTCTCTCCTCTTGCTTGATAGCATGGGTCAGGAAGACGACACGAGTCCCACCAAACCTGTTGTGCTTCCCACCTAAGCAGAACTGGCTGGCTTCTTTCTCATTGAAAGAAGGATCACCTAATGGTTGCTGGAATTTCTGAATACTAAGAACCCCTCAAGATGTAAGTAATTTGTGTTCAGAGTATGCTCTCGTTTTGTACATGTAACAGAGAATTCCAGTACAAAAAGAGAACCACACAAACCTGGCTAGTTCACCTCTATGAAGAAAGCTGTCAGTTTTCCCCTTCCCTCCCCGACTTAAAACTTTGAGTGTTAACCAACCATCCTGAGTATTTACCTTAAGTTTAAGTTCCATATTTTTATTTTTCTTACGAGTTTGGGGGAGAAAGGAAAATGTAATGGCAGCAGAGAGAAATGTTGGGTTGGAGGGAGAGGCTCAGGTGAGGGAACCATGGCATATACAACCTACGGCTATGATTAATTGCAAAGCTAATTTATTTCATTCTTACCTAAAAAGCAGCCTTCCATTTTACCATATTAGCAATTTCAAAGAGGAAGTTTGCACATATTAAGAGCCATTTACAGAAAGATCTAAAAGGTTAAAGAGAAGATGGAAGTTTAACATTTCTGATATTTTGCCTAATCAGATTTCCTGTGATTTGTACGTTACAATGTAACTGCCTACAGTCATCTAGATTGGGAGGAAAATATTTAAATACGCATATACCTACCACAAAACCAAAGCCATTTTTCAGATTGATTTCACGTATACGGCCATATCCCTTGAAAAATTTCTCCACATCTCGCTCCCGAGCATGTGGACTTAGACGTCCAACGAAGACACGACAGCCACTCATTTTAGCCTAAGCTGCAAAAAAATTAAGTTTTTGTGTTCACGTTAGGTATTTTATTATATCAATACTAAAATTCAGTCCCACAGATGTTGGACAGAAGAGACAACTGAAGACAGTGTTTAAAACATATTTCTTAAAACACTATATCACGCCAATATAGATGCAAACAACTTTAGAGTATAGTTTTATCACAAATGTACCCAATGCACACTCTCAAAACATGTAGTCAAACATCCACTGCATAGAAATAAATAATTAAAACCACCTCTCACTTGGTGCCAACTCCCACTGGTGTTGGAGCATAGAAACCCTTCAAGCTGAGCTCTTGTGTAACTCAAAAGCCACTACCTCCACCAAAAGAAGCTGGTAGTAGATAAGGCAACACCTTAGCAGATAACAAGTTTAGGATTCATGATGTTTCTGCATCAGAGGCCGTTCAGCCTCCTTTTCATAACATACCTACCAAAAAAAAACCGGGGCGGGGGGCGGAATAATAAAGACATTTTCGCGTGCACACAAAAATATAAATGTCCAGAGAGAGAGAGAGATCGTGAGGAGGGTTAAAAACAAAAACAAATGTGCTCCCTTATCGTCCGTCTCAATCATTACCTTTTGAGTGGAAATGGATGAAAAGTTCGGCTGCTGAGATGCGCTTGCAAGGCCCGATCTGGAGGGATGCAAAAGCGGTTCGGGAGCAGAAGGCAGGGAGGGAAAAGGGAAGGGGGAAAGAACGAGAGTGTTAACGGCAGTGGCTCGAGAGAAGTGGGGACGAAGACGAGGGGGCGCCGGGGCGGGGGATGCGGAGAGGGAGTCCTCACCAGGGACCCAATGAAGGGAACGGGCGCCGCGCAGGGCCCAGGCAAGGCGGAGCTTCGGCCTCGCAGCCTGGCTCCGCTCCGTTTACCACAGCAGATAAAACGGAGCCCGCTGGCTCTTATCCCCCGACGCCACGGGCCGCCTCGCTCTCCCACCCGCCCCTGCTCCGGCTCGGTCCCTCTCCCGGGTGAGGAAAACCGCACACTCGCCGGCGGTGCCAGCGTCCAACTAAACTCGCTTACCTCCCGTGCGCGGACGCGACGCTCGCTTCAGTCCGCCAGAGAAAATGGCGGCGCTACTTCCCTGAGGAGGAGCCGCGGAGAAGGCGGCTGCGGCTGCGCAAAGGCCCCTTTCTCTCCAACCGGCTTGCGGACTGCGACTCCCAGAAGGCAACGCGCCAGAGGCCGCGGTTTGAACGCCTTTGCTGGACGCGATGGAGGGCCCGCTGCCCCGCTTGGGAGTTGTAGGCGGCTGCCGTTCCGAAGGGGCCTCGTGGAGAGCGGGGGTTGGTAGAGAGGCAGGCCGGGAGGTGTTGTCCTTCCGAGGGAGAGAGTTAGGCGATCAGCTCTCGCGAATGGAGATCGCGCCATTTCGGGACGTCAGTGCGGGCGGGGATACAAACCATGCTTCTCTGCCAGGCTAATTCATCCAGAGCAGCTGCCGGGCTCTCCTTGTAAACAGTGTTTACGTATGCAAGCTGAGGTCCTTATCCTTCGCTGCTGTTGGGTGTTTTCAAGCCATAAAATAAAAATGCACACTTTGAATTCTACCCTGCTGAAAGCCTGAGCTGCGTTTTCTTCCTGAAGTGATACAAAGGGCTTTTGTTTATAATACTGTAGCTGTTTAACTACCAGAGGCATGGCAGATTAATAAATATATTGTTACTTGCCCCTTGCTCTTGGGGAAGGGGTGGGGGATGGGATTCTATATAGTTCTATATAACTATACCCTTTTAAAAAAGAAAAAAGCTGGGAATCTAGTGATTGTGGTTCATCCCAGGGAGGAGGGAGTAACTGCCCCCCTTGCAGATGCTCACAGACCAATAGCCTAAATCAAAACAAAGCAATTTCATTCAAATGATTATAAAATGCCTTTCTCTCTATTTTGCATTAATGCTTTGAGGGTGGTGCAGGAAGGCAAATGCACGAGAATTGTCACCTGTCTGATATTTTGATCTGGGCTAAATGTTGTGCAAGAAAGATTACAGGGTGGGGGGAGTAGAAACAAGATGTTGTGCCTCATTACATATTAATGAACACAGTTGGCACACAAGCTTTTCAACATTTCCACATCACTAAAAGCTAAATATGCAACACAGCATTTCCTTATCAAAATAGGTCAGAAGATTTTTTTTGCTTTGTTTTAACAAGACTACTTCAGATCTTTCTGAGGTACGTGGCCTCTGAGGAATGGTTTCCCCAGTTTTGGCACAAGGCAAAAACAGTTTTGTTTTCCCAGGCATTTCGGCAACGTCAGTGATATTGTATGATATTGTGACATCACTTTTTAAATACCATTTAAAAAATTTCTTCATTGCATTTTTTTTTACTGTAAATCACTTCGGGATTTTTTTTAGTGGGGAGCAATATACAAATTTAATAAACCTAAACCTTGGCTTTCCAAAACATAACTGGTTGCCATATATATAGCAGGTTGCTCCATAAAAGGATGCCACCATATTGTTTTTTCCCAACCCATTGCAAACCATTGCGTAAGCTGAGGATGGCAGAGACTTTTCATATCACTACTGTGCCAAATGGACAATAAATGTAATAACTGGTGTGTGGTGTAATATTCACTTGGCCCACATAGGTCCTGCCAGTCACAGACTGTACTAATGCAGCATGTGATAGTACAACCACAATTAAGTGGCTTCTTCTTTGCCAAAGTTTATATGAATTGGCTGTGATAAGAATCTCTTGTTGATTCCCTGCACACAAATGGCTCCTTTTCTTTTCACCAACGTGTGCAGCCAAGTACTCCGTGACTGACAAAGGTGGCCTTGTTTTTATAGGCATTGGGGAACGACCACAGTGCTGCTTGCTATGCAGAAGTTCCCAATCTCCAGGCAGGTCTGGGAAGGTGCCTGTCTGAAACCCTGGGGAGCTGTTGCCCTGATAGAGTAGCCGGTGCGGAACTGGGTGGACCAGTGGTCTGACTTGATAAGGCAACTCCAAACATTTCTAAGTCTACATGACAAATACCACAGAAACCTGTTACACATTTTCACCTAGTCATAATATTGAGGGCATACGTGGAAGCTTGCTTCTTTACTTCCATGCCACCAAATGACAGGCTGCAGGTGAGCAGAGCGCACCAATGTGCTGGGATCTTAAGAGAGGATGTGTGCGGTTTCTCTGGCCTCAGAGATACAGACAGACAGACAGACGGACAAGCACTTTATTTATGCCCCATTGGGGTAACTGGCAGTCATCTATCTATACTGGGAAATGTAAATGCTGGCATTATAGCATTGCCAGATTTTAAATTACAAAATACCGGTCTATGATTGGTGCCTGGTAAATCATGGGTTGTAAAGATAGAATCTGGTGGATCAGGATAGTGTGGAATGAGGAAAGAAATTGCTGGTTTACATAAGCAGAGCCAGGCACCTGGAGCAGACAGTGTGTGTGTCTCCCCCCCCCGTTTACCAAATTTTCACCCCAACTTTACTGATTGTTTTATAAAAAGGTAAAGCACCCCTGACAGTTAAGTCCAGTCGTGAACAACTCTGGGATTGTGGCACTCATCTTGCTTTACTGGCCGAGGGAGCCGACGTTTGCAGATTTTCCGGGTCATGTGGCCAGCATGACTGAGCCACTTCTGGTGAAACCAGAGCAGCGCACAGAAATGCTGTTTACCTTCCTGCCGGAGCGGTACCTATTTATCTACTTTGACGTGCTTTCGAACTGCTAGTTTGGCAGGAGCAGGGACCGAGCAAACAGGAGCTCACCCCGTTGTGGGGATTTGAACCGCCGACCTTCCAATCGGCAAGCCCTAGACTCAGTGGTTTAGACCACAGCGCCACCCGTGAGGTTAGCAAAATTCTGCCCAACTGGTAACACCAACATACTTGGGGACACTGTTTAATAGTGGTTACTGCTGCCCTCCGTCCAAGAGACCCCTTTGACTGATACTGCCTAATCCAGTAAGATTATCTGTACATGGTGGGAAATATTGTATCCTCAGCCTCCTGTGCAGCCTGTCAGCAAAGGTGCAACAGGGTCCTCTGCCTCCTGAGGGGCAAGATAGTGGGAGTAGAGAAGAGCTTAGGCTCTGCTCTGGGCCTGCAAGTTTGTCTGCTTGGAGAACATGTGTGTGTATGTGTATGTATTTTTTGTTATTATGTTATGTATTTTGTATTTTTATACTGTAAACATCCGTGTGTTCTTTGGGTGGAGGGTGGCATATAAATTTTATGACTGATAATCAATAAGAACAACAACTATGGAGTCTCACCAAACTCACCTTTCAAAATAGTAGTGGGATGTTAGCATCCTTGTGCTCATCTTCTCAGAAGATGGGTAAAAATGCATGGCAGCATATGGCATGCAACAGTGCCCACCCACGCTCAGTAGAACCAGCTCAGCTAACATCCTTCTGGCTCTTCCACTGTTAGTTCTAGCAGACAGGTCTGTACTATTCAGCTACCTGGTCACCCAGCAGGACCACAAGCTGCTGCTAACCCCCATCCTGTCCCACAGCTCCTAGAATTCCCTATCAGCAACATCTCAGCTTCTGCTCCTCCCACATGAATAGGCCTCAAACCAGTTCTGGCTACTACTCCTTTTATCTACCTGCCTTTCTCTGCAGCTGAGGTTTATCAGATGATACTCCCAGTTTCCTCCTCTTCTGATGCTCAGCCTTAGGGACTGCCGTTCCCTCTCATTCCCCCATCCCCAATCTGCTCCAGAGGGTCCCCCAACCCTCTGAAGCGGACTTTGAGGATGAACACGGGGTGGCAGGCAGGAGAGGAAGAGGAAGCTTTGTTTTGCACACATCTATTGTGCCAGTGGAGCTGCAGCACTGAATATATATTTCCCTCCAAAGGGCCTTTTGGATGCTTAGACTTCATAATGGACAGGTGAAAAAGAGGAGTGTTTCTGCATCTTTAACCGCCCTGAGACCTGTGGGTATATACTGTATACACATATACATACGTGGGTGGAAATGGGAATTTCAGCAAGGTGCAGATTACAGAAAATAAGAGATTCTCCAGTACTACTAAAGATGTGCGTTGTGCCTTGGAGGAAATTTATATTCGACCTTATAGGCTGCAGACCAAATGCCAATGAGAGCAGAAAACATTTTGTTCACCTGAGATACATACAGTATGAAAGTAAAGCAGCTAAAGAGGGTATGTGCAGAAAGGTAGTGAATTGTCAAGAAGCTAATTTCTCAAAGATGTTTTAAAACATGCATAAAAAGCCTGCTAGAAGCAAAATATTTTAATTTTATTGCTGCTGCTGTATTTGTATACAATATTGTAATGACCTTCCAGTTAAATAAAAAACTGATACCATAACAGCAAAATTTAAAAGTGAGGGTACTCTGAAGCAAAGTTCTTATTAACCAGCCTTGGTGCTACTTGGATAACCACAGACAAATATAGGTGTCCCGTGTGAATTTGCAGATTATTGCTCAATAGGGATCTTGTTCTTGGAACAACAATTAAATTACAGTACTGCAGCAAGAATCCCAATCATTTACACAGGCTCAGATACCTTTGGGGGAAAACTGGCAATGGAGAAAAACATTTGTTCCTAACAAAGATGAGAGAGAGAGTGTGTGTGTCTTTAAAGAGACACTACAGCACAGTGCTGCCAGCTTTTCACAGTAGCCGCCTGTGGTACTTCCTCTTGTAAAATCTTCAGGTTTCTATTCACCGTCCTTCAAAGCTTCCCTTTCCCCCTCACCCCTGTGTTTAAGAATATGTTGATACACCTACAGAGATGTGGATACGAGAACAAAAACATACACAAAAGCTGGAAGAAAATCCCAAGACAAACTAAACACACAAAATTTATTGGTTTCGAAAACAATTGCTTTAAAGCCAATTGTACATTGGGGGCGGGCGGGAAGATGTGGATGTCATATCTTCCAATGCCTAGGATTGGAAATAATGCAATGGCTCATCAAATAAGATGAGAGTATTTATAAAATTAAGGCTGCAATCCTATGCACACTTACCTAAGAGCAAGACACACTGAATACATTCATACCTCGGGCTGCGAACACAGTCATGCCTTGGGTTGTGATCCGTGCGGGAGGCATGTTCGCAACCTGCAGCGCCGCATCTGCGCACACGCATGACACGATTCGGTGCTTCTGCACATGCACAAGCACTGAAACCTAGAAGTAACCCATTCTGGTACTTCTGGGTTTGGCTCAGTCCACAACCCGAAAATGCACAACCCGTAGTGTTCGCAACCCAAGGTATGACTGTACAATGTGGCTTAACGTTGAGTAAACTTGCACAGGAACATGCTGTAAGACTGCAGTCCTATACCCACTTAGCTGGAAGTCCCATTGAACTCCATGGACTTCTGAGTAAGACATGTATAAGACTGTTGTCAGTCACTTAAAAACCTTTTTTAAAACAGGAAAATTGACTGCTAATTATTTCTTTGCTGGAAAAAAAGCTGCAAGTTCCAGCAATCTGCACACTTCATGTTTGGTCCAAGTTTATCTTTCGTTATCTTAAGATTATCTCCATTTGAAGCCACATAAACATCAATACAATTCCAAAGCAGAGTGGAGGAGGGGAAAGCACTTTGGTGTCTTGCATTTAAGAAAACAGGTAAAAACATGAACATCAGAATAATATACAAAAAACCCTCCAAGCTACCAATGCATTCTGAATAGTGTTGGAAAGCCTTTCTGGTTATAGAGAAACAAGTTAACTAGACAAAAGAATGAAGTCTAGATTTGTTATCACAATAAGTTTTCTTTTTAATATGGTCTGTGACAAGCAATATCAAAGATGCCAACTCTCAAGCGCCATGTTTGGAAACCGGACAACTTTCAGCTACAACACAAAGTAGGCATATTGCAATTTTAATTAAATATGAAAACATGAGCTGTGTACATTATTTTTCCCTAAAAAACACAGCAATTTCAAAAAGTTTTATTGTAAAATATTTTCATGAAACAAGTGAACCAGCAATACATGCACTTGTGTGCCTCCGCCTCTTAAAATAAATGTGATAAGGAAATAGAGACAGGTGGGGGGGAGTGGCGCTGGGCTTGGGAATCTTAGGATGGAACACTGAACTCCATTTCCTATGTCTGAATGGCAAGAAGAAGAAAAACAAACCGTATACATTTTGTGTAATACTTTTAACATTTTCTATTTACGCTTCAGTCTTGGAGAAAAATACTTTTTTTCTGTAATAAAATACGTTTGCTGATATGTAACTTCTTTTTCTGCAGAAAATAATTTTGTAAACCGTCATCTTTTAGGGGCATGATAAACTGTTTCATTTCAACATTTCCCCCTCTGCTGCCCCCACCCCAAATGGGATCTGGGATCTGAAGTGGAAACAGGAAGGGCGGAGGGGAGGGGAGAGAAAAGGCAGAGCAGAGCCCGCTTTGCAAACAGAAAGAAAAGTGCTCCTGGATGGGAGAGGGTAAGGATGTGTGGTGGATAGATAGGTAATAGTTAAAGGTCACTTTCGCCATAGAGAGCTGTAGAGAAAGACATGTAGTCCAGGGCACCAGGTACAGAATCCAGCCCGGTATAAGGTGCCATTCTAGCAATGCAATATTCAGCTTGATCAGGAGGCAGTTCCCGTCGCAATTCATCCACAGTGATATAATTCTGTAAGAGAACAGAGGGGTGTCCTTTTTTATTTTAACTAGATGAGGCAGGCACAATTTTATTAATGTAAATTGCACTTATTTCCATATAAATTAAATACAGTCATATTTTGGAAGTTGAACAGAATCTGTTCCGGAAGTCCATTCGACTTACAAAACATTCGAAAACCAAATTGCGGCTTCTGATTGGCTGCATGAAGCTTCAGAAGCTGCGGAAACCCCGTCGGACATTCGGGTTCCAAAAGAACGTTTGCAAACCGGAACAATCACTTCCGGGTTTGTGGTGTTCAGGAGCCAAAACGTCCGAGTTCCAGGGCGTTCGGGATCCAAGGTACGACTAGTGGTTTTATTTGATATGCATTTTCTGAGTTTCTGTTGCTTCCCAATTGGGGTGCAGCCTATTTTATAATTTGTAGTATTAGGACAGGGATGAGGAACCTTTTTGGCTCCACAGGCCAGATCCTTATCCATCAACTAATGTCACAAATTACATCAGGGGATCTGGTGTTCTGAAGTCCTGAAAGCAGCAGGTAGCAAGGTGTAGCTAACGGAAAGACCCCCCGCTTCATTTCAAAGGAAAAAATCTTCCTGTTAGCAGGATCTTGCTGTCTGCCATGCGGAAAACCTACCTGAACAGGTTCAGGTGTGTGTGAGAGAGTTCCCTGCAGAGAGTTCTCACACGCACCCAGACCAGTCAGGATCACCCTGCCATCAGCCAATGTGCATATGGAGTACTGCTTATTACTGGAGGCTGCCTTTGGAAAAGCGGTGTTTGCAAATGCTCCTCCTTTTAGCTTGTGGGCAGGCCATCTCAGTGGGGTGGAGGGGGAGACTCCTCTCCCTTATCCTGCTGCCATGACCCCACTGGAGTAAAAAAAGAAGAAGTGTGACCTGCTTCAAACAGCGCTTCTGGAAAGAGCTTTAAACTCCACCCATCAGCTAATGAGTAGGGATTAAAGCCTGCTCCCTTGGCAGTATGATCCTGTTCCCTACTGGGAACAGGGTGTACGGCCTGTCTTCTGACCCATCAGCTGACGACACTCATGACCAGTGGTTGTGTGGGTTGGAGGGAAATGGCCTTGCAGGCCAAATTGGGCCAAATTACCATAAGCAAAAACAGGTTATATGTATGTTTCAGCCAACCTGAAATAAAGGGTTTGTTTCATTACAACACATTCCTAAAATCTTTATTTGAAAAACCCAGGTTATATTTTTACATTTCAGCTGTCACGGGGAAGCGCTGACATGTAGCACAGTTCAGCGAAGACCAGAGAGAGACAAGGTCAGACAGGAAACTTGCAGCTAGCAGTTTCATTAAGAATCAGAGTCATGGAGACTCATGACATATGCTCCCTCAGCATAAGCTGTTGCTTAGGGTGTCTTCCTCCTCCCCAGCTAGTCTATTTTCTGTGTATCATATCCTTCCCTCTGCCTACAGTGAGTTCCAAGGGACCTTCTCTGTGTCTGCCTAGTTTTCTGCTCTATTACATAAAGCAAGTGCCTTGTTTTGGGAATGGGAGAAGGAGCTGGCAAGTTTTCAACTCAGTATCTCCCAGCTCTCCTCCTCTGGGGTGTGTTTGGTCATGCAACACCAAGACACCAACACTGGCTCTAAATTGTCTTCCACTGCACTCTCCCTGGGGGGCATCTTGGTCAGGCTGTTTCCACCACTCCTGACATCACCAATCCTAAAACCACATAGCGCACAAAAGTCTGAACTCACTTTATCTCCAGCCAGGATCTTGAAAGAAGCCATAACTTGGTCAGCTGTGTCAGTATCTGCAGTTTCCCGGGACATGAAATCAATGAAGGCTTGGAACGTCACTACTCCGATGCGGTTGGGATCTACAATGCTCATAATTCGAGCAAACTCTGCTTCGCCCTGGACAATGAAACAAGAGTTAGCAACAACTCAATCTACTGGTGACAGGAAAGGATGAAATAGGCATTTGTTATGGAAACACACCATAGCCTTTCGCAAACTGGCCACCCCACCCCCAGTGATGTTTTGGACTTTTTCTTTAACAATTTCTTTAACAATTTTCTTTAACAATTGCTGCTCTGGTTGGGCCTGATGGGAGTTGTAGTCCAATCCATCTGGAGGGCACTAAGTTCGGGAAGGCTGTTCCAGAGGCATTGAGGATGTAGCACATGAAGAATTAATTGAAGTAGTTTGACTGATTTGAAGTTATAAGGAAGACAAGCTCATAAATGTTTGGCACCGAGTAGTATTCTCAGCAAAGACACCCAAAGAATGGGGCTGCTACCCCTTATCACAGGTCTGATAAGACAGCAACCAATGGAAGCCAATGGCGTAACTGCTTCAGGTAGAGACATTCCTCAAGCTCCAACCAAACACCGCCCAAATGCTATATTATTGTGATGCTGCTGCTGTTGAGTGTGGGCACTGCATGGCACCAAGTCCACAAGAAGCTGCTGTGTAGAAACACCCTCTTTATAGGAAGGGAAACACAATAAAAGTACCCTTGACAGTTTCATGGTTAGGAAACATGGTTAACGAAAGCTGATCTCACTGGAGATTAAGATTCACCAGATTTCACATCTTAGAACTGGGTGCTTGAGAACTGTAATGTGTTCACTAGCAACTTCCTTTTCCCTCTTTATAAATTTTGTGGCAAGAATAAGCCTAGGGGCCGATTTGCATGTTATTGCTGAATCCCCCTCCTTTTTTCTAGCCCATGCAAATGGGTTATGCACATGAGCAGTGTAAGATGTGGGGTAGCAAAATTCATGGAATTCAGTTGCAGCAACTTACATGGATGGGGCAAGCTCCAGACCAAAGATTTGAGATCACAGAGTCTGATGAAGATAAGCTCAGTGGCCCTGTGACAGCTAAAATTAGTAGTACTGCCAGATATGAGATTATATTATGAGGCATCCTGTCTCTGTTGATTGAAAGAATGGATAACTTTGGAAAATACACTTCTTTGGAAAATAGCATTGCATTCTTAGTACTACTAATTTTAGCTGCCATGGGGCCACTGGGACTGATGGGTGGAATATAGGCAGTATGGGAAGGCACAGACCGTCACCATATCCTATAGCCCTTCAGTTGATGGCTATAACTAATTTCCCTTCCAACGACTTCTATCAGCATACCTCCAGTTCCAGAAAAATGTGAGTATACAGTTGCCCTGTGGGATTGCAGTTCTTGTACACTTTCCTTGGAATAAACCCCACTAACTACCGTAGGAGTTTCTTCTGAGTAAAGATGGTTTGCCTTTCACTGTGAAAATATGAACTGTTCACAAAATGGCAAAGACATGCCTAGTGAGAGCTGTGTTGCTCATCGACATTGAAGTCACAGAAAATATGCATAGAGTATTTAACAGAAAAGGTGCCCAAGACTCTTGTGCAGTTGCATCCCACACTGCATAGTTAAATGGTTTTCATCTGTTGGTTGATATATTGCTGGTTTTGCTGTTTGTTTTTATTGCGAATAAATCCAGTTGTTTTTGTGGATTTGTGAGACCGACACAAAATACCATTTTTGGCCAAAGGGGAGCTTTGAAAATGTTTGAATAAAAAATCCCCTTAGTAGAAGTAGAAGCCTTCAGCAAGGACTTTCACATGTGTCATAGGGCTTTCCCTGCCTTTTCTCCCCCCGCCCCAAATTGGCTCTGGGGGCAGGGGTTGAGAGAACCTCTGCGACTGAATGCGGGGGGGGGGGGCTTCTGTCTGGCAAGCCAAAATGCTAGCCCTGGTCATTGAATTTCTTCCGTCCCCAATGGATGTACATAATGAAGAAGAAAAAAATCATTTTTTGATAAACCAAATCTCGCAGTTTAAATGTGGGAAAATGGACTATTTTTACAGCAGAAGGACAAGTGTGAAGGGTTGTTGTGTGGGCTGCTCACAATGAATTAGCAACAAATGCATAATTATAATGCAAAAACAAAGCAAAATGGCCATGGGAGAACTAGGCTTAGACATTGTTTTGTTCTACTTATTCAGAGGTCAACCAGGAATCAGTTTGGATTATATTCTGATTCTTCTTCCAAAAATAAAGTATGAAGTCAATCCGGTTTGTAAAGAAATATGCCACTGATGCCATAGATTTTATTCACAAGTCATGGGACTGACAAAGCTTTACCTGGGTTCACTAGCAGTATGCCCTTTTCTCATTTAAGGGTCAAATATACCACTGTGAATATAAGCGGCAGATGCTTCTACCTTACCATATTGTAACCAATGGAGATAAGGCAGGTGCGGAAATCTTCAGCATCCATCATGCCAGTCTTCTTCTACACAGTCATAAAGGGATGGTAGAATGAAAGGGAAAAGAGAGGAATAGAAAGTAGAGACGAACTCACGGAAGGTGTTAAAAGAATGGATTTGCATGAAGGAAAAATGGAAGATGAGATATATTGAACAACAAAAGAAATTACGAAAATAATTTGAAGAAAACAAAGGGATGGATTCATTCCATTGAAAATAAAGGAGCAGATGAAAGTTTAAGGATCAACAACAAGAAGAAAAAGTTACCGATAGGAAGATAATTTTTTAAAAAATGGAGAAGAGAAAGGAAGGCAAGAAGAGTTTTAGGGAATCAAGCAAATGGAATGTGTAACCGAGAAGAGAAAAATTGATTTGACAATGCATAAAGAAAAGAATGGAATTATGACAGAACATACAATAGTATGCAGAAATATGCACAATAAAATAGAAGAACATTGACAAGACGGATTAAAACAAAAAAGAAGAGAAGGGAGAAATATGTTATTCCCTTATGGTTTGATATTTGCCTGAGTTCCTTGCTAGCATTCAGTACCTGTGCATCGTTTCCAATATCGTAACCCAAGCTGATGAGGCAGGCTTTGAATTCCTCGGGGCCAAGTGTGCCGGAGTGGTCCTGGTTAGGCAGTGCGCCAGCCAGCAGGGCATGCAGTGCCAGTGGGGTGGTGGTATAAGATGAAGAAGAGAAGGAGAACAAGAAAGGGGCAAGGAGAGGAGGAGGAGGAGGTGCACCATGCAGCAGGTGGGGAGAGATTGGGGGGAGAATGGCATGCAGGAAATAAAACAGGGGAAGAAATAAAAAGTGCACAAGGTTAGATACTGTGCTTACATTTTGTATCGTGCTAATGCTGCCTTTTCTTTTTTTCTTTTGCACTTCTTTCTCACAAAACATGACCATGCCAGGGACAAATGTTTGCTTTGAAGACTGCTTTTCATTAGAAACAATTACATTTTCTTCAACAAGTTTAGAAGCAAAACATTTATTGAGCCACCTGGACTGCAGAGAAGCATTGGACACATTTGGAATATCCTGTTGCTGAAGCATCTTTGCACTTAGAGGAGCCTTGGATTTAGAAGAACATGTGAGTTCATGTAGTTTAGAGTGGCCCCAACTCTGCAGCCATTTTTAGTCCAGAAGTTTATCCTTGCAACAGAACTTGGACCAAGTCTCCTGCTTGATGCTCCCTGCACTGAAAACTAGACCTTTGTCTTTAACTTAGACGTTTACCCAGAGATATGACGCAACATTAAATTGCCTTTGTATTTTCTAAATTGTAAAAAACAAACAGAAACAACTCACATAGTGAATATAAGCTACATTAAAATGTGGTGAGATAGAAGACTTGACAGAGCACGCCTAAAAGCTACACACTATTAGCGCATGAAGTGACTACATTTTTTACAGCCATTCCGTACAGCCAAATGTCTTCCTTTGTGCTGTTGCTGACATAGCAGTATTTTGTCTGGATTCAGTGGCTTGAGCTGAAGATTGTTCCATGCAAGGTTAGCCTCGGTCTTTTTGAGGCAAAAACCGTAAGAACAATCCAGAAGGAAGAATGTGAAGCACAGACAGTGTGGCCTGAACAAGAGGCTTACTGACAGCAATACCTGACCTGTGAGCTTACACATGTAGAATATTTGTACTGCAATGAGTTATCACTGTACATTTTCTAATGGATGGATAACATACAAGAGCTTTGCTAGGAAGTGGCATGTAATCAAGTTCAACAAACAAACAACCCCACAACCATTAGCTACTCTCACGGAGGCTCATTAGGTTAATGTGAGCCATTTCTATTAAATCTGAGAAGGGTTTGAAAATCAAAGAGATAAGGTTTTTAAACATTTGTGTTAGCATTTCCTTTGAGTCCCCAAACGCTTTAAAGTTAATGGACTCTGCCACATTTTTAAAAAGTTTTACTTGAGCTGTCGTTTCACAAGGAGAATCTGAGCCTTGGTTTCCATTCGCTTCTATGGAGAAACTCTCTGAAGTTACAGGCACTACTAATCTCCACCATCCCAACCACCCATGCCACTTACCCTGTCAAAGTGATTGAAGGAGGCGCGGAATTCATTCATCTGCTCCTGGCTGATTCCTTTGGCATCCCGAGTCAGAATCTGGTTTTCCACTTCATTGGTAGTCCTAGCAATGGTTGTGAGGAGCTGCTCCCAACCCACTCTGATGTGCTGGAGGAGAAAAAACGATTTCCCGCCTACATTTTAAGTTGAGAAGCAGCATCTGGAAACTAGTCAAAATGCAGTAAAGTGATTGTAGACTTGGAAAATGTGCTGCTCAGTAGGGAGAGGAAGCACATGGCGATGCTGGTTGAAGATAATGGGAGTTGTAGTCCAGAACATCTGGAGGGCTCCAGGTTGGGGAAAGCTGACCTAGGTTTTCATTTAAAACAAGGGTAGGCCTAATCCAGCCCACTAGACCTTCCTATGCAATCCACAGCACTCCCTTGGCTTCCCCAGGTGTGTGCACATTGGCGTGGACCATTGGAGAAGTGGGGAGGGCATAATTTTCATCCACCGAATGGTACTTTGGGTGGAAGGTTTTTCCTCTACATGGGAATGAAAATTGCCTATTGCTTCTCAGCACTCCAATCAGCTGTTCTTCCTGATCAAGGTATCCTGGGTAGAGAGGTTTAAACTGCCTGGCACCCTGTGATGGAGAAGAGAACCACCATCACCCACAGCTGATGTGTGGGTCAGCCAAGGAGTGGTAGGCAGTTTTCATCCCTATCGTCATGCACTGGAGGTTTAAACCTCCCCACTCAGCTGGATGCAATGGGGATGAAATCGGACCCTCCATGCTCCTCAGATGGTCTGTGCCAATCAGCTGAGAAGTGAAAAAAGAATGATTCTCATTCCCATCCTGGCACTGCAGTAGGTACGGAAATATCCTTCCTAGCTGATCTGTATTGATCAGTTGAGGAGCTGGGGGAGGGGTAAGCTTTCCACTGGAGCAATGCAGCCCCTAGCCCCAGTTCCAACCCCACATTTAGACAATGCTGATAAGAAACTGCTTCTAACACAGAATTCCTTATTGATTGATTGAATTTACCGTATTTTTTGCTCTATAAGACTCACCTTTTCCCTTCTAAAAAGTAAGGGGAAATGTGTGTGCGTCTTATGGAGCGAATGCAGGCTGCGCAGCTATCACAGAAGCCAGAACAGCAGGAGGGATTGCTGCTTTCACTGCGCAGCGATCCCTCTTGCTGTTCTGGCTTCTGAGATTCAGAATATTTTTTTTCTTGTTTTCCTCCTCCAAAAACTAGATGCGTCTTGTGGTCTGGTGTGTCTTATAGAGCGAAAAATATGGTATATACCGTCCTATACCCGGAGGGTCTCAGGGCAGTTCACAGAAAAAATCACAATATAAAAAATATATTGTCATGCTATCTACTTTAATAGGTAATTCTTACCAATTAAACAGCTGGCGAGCTCCAGCGACTGCCCACTCACATTTGCATGGACTCCTCAGACTTGTCTGCAGTGTTGTTCCTACACTTTTAAGGTTGTTGCCTCAAACCTGTAACCCCTTATGTGCCAGCCAGTCCCCATTATGAGAGGGCCTTATTCCTCACAGTCAAAATAGTCTATCATGGCTGCAAACTATGGGCCTTAAGCGAAGGTGAATCCGGTGGGTCCCAGACTGTGCTACTGAACGTTAAATCAGTCACCCTCTCTGTCATTTGCACAAGTGAAGGCTTTAGCCAGAAGTGTTGTATGTCAATATCTGTACACATCTGCATGGCTAGTCAGTGCTACTAGTTTAGCACCCTTTCCCCCAACATCAGTTTAATCAAGAGCAGGGTTGGGTGGCTCAGGGTATTACTCCTTGCATGCCTGGGCTATACCAGCACAGACTTCCCCTGGCCTTTACCTCCATAGTGTAGTTGGTGTGCTTGTTGTCAAAGATGAGCGCCTCTTGAATCTGTTGGTGATCTCCCTCCAGCTGATCAATCTTTGGTTTGTAATTCACAATGCTCTTCTCGTATTGCCGCAGGTGATTGAGTTGGTCCTCCAGAGTCCCGTGCATCTCGATGGAGATGCGGCCAATCTCCTGCACGAGCCCAAAGGAAATGAGCAGATGAGTGACAAGTTTCAACATGTAAAGCATTTGTCTGCAACTGTTCCCTAAATGGACTAAAACATGCTTTAACCACAGGCCTTGTCATCTCAAGGGGAAAAGAGCTTTGCTTGCAGGTTTTTCAGAGAACAGGTAAACAAAACCGAGTCGCTGGAATAATTCACTGCAGCTCTACTGAGTTAAATATTTAACACCAACTGAAGACCTGCCCAGCTGTGTTAAGGGCTTTCAGAAGATAAATTTGTTTCCTTTTTAGCACAGTTACAAAACTATCCTAATCCCTTGCTCAGTGCTGCTGGTGGGTTTAGGTGGAGGTGTCCCTCCGCTGACAGGGGCCATTGCAGAAATCTTCAATATGGCTAAAGCACAGGCTGTTGGTAAGCTATCATTGGTGGTGTTCCCACCAGTGGTAACTAGTATAGGGCTCTGAAATGAGGCATTACAGGTGTGGGGTGGAGGCAGAGTCGAGGGGGGGGGTAGGCAGTGATAGATCCACTGGATCCATTTCAAAGAGGGGAGATGATCTGGCCCAAAGCCATCCACTGTGCCTAGAAACATGGCTCAAAAGGAAGTCAGGAGGAGCCCTAAGTTAGGGCTTCGCTTCATTTATTGGGTACGTATTACAGATCAGTTATACCTGAGCCTAGCAGATCTGGAGCTACACATTGTTTTAAAACCATGTGTATTATGATTGTGACCAGATGCCCCTGCATGTACTCAGACTGTAGGCAAGTTTAAAAAACAACAGCCAAACAAATATGCACAGCTGCACGTACAATGTGGTCTGAAGCTACAGTCAGTTGTGGTGTATGTGTTTTAAAACCAATCTGAAGCTAATTCTGATGGAGCAAGTCTGGAACATGCACATGCAGACGAAAAATGCAAAGCACAAACTATTCCTAAGGCACATCTCAGTTAATTTAGTACCTACTTAATTTAGCATTTTATTATAGAAAGCCACCCTCAATAATTTCTTGTATAAGATTGGTTTTTAAATAAGAAGTAACCACTGGCCATTGAGTATCTTAAACAAAGAACATGTGTATTTATGAAGATTAGTAAGGAGAGAGAAAGAAAGGCCACTTTGCAAGTATAGCTTAGCGCAGATATACTGGCTCGGGGGGGAGGAGGGGGAGATTGCAGCTGCTTTGTTCTTCCCCAGTCCTTTAGCTCAGCACAGTGCTGCAGCTAAGCCAAGATCATGGTAAAGCTCTCTCCTTCTTAGCCACCGTCTGTAGCCAAGGTTTGTTCTGGAAGCTAGCACGTTTGCAAAGTCCCAGTAAGTAAGTCATGGTTTGGCTTTTCATGCTGTGCAAACCAGGCCAAAGAGAGTGGTGACTTCTCTCAGCACAAGTCCTTTTCACTAAAAGGATGAAAAGACAATGCCCAACTAGGAGGCTCTTCAACAGAAAAACGGCAGTTTTAAGTATTAGCAAGTTTTTACCTCCATCTTGGTTTGGATCCAGGGCCCGATGACATTGGCCTGAGCCCCAAACTGCTTGCGAAGTCTCTCATTATGCTGCTGGCGTGCATGTTCTTCCATCAAAGCCTGGTCCCGCCTGGGAACTAGTTGTCTCACCTTCAGCAAATATGAAAAAGCTTAGAAAAATCGAGCTTACTGCTGTTAAGCCTTAATAAACACAAAGCGTTCTGAAGTCAGAGAAGCCAAGTTCTGTGCACTGTTAATCAAAAGGATAAATCCAGCCCTCTTCTGAACAAGTAGGTATTAAAATAAAAATTTCCATTTAAGTGGATTAATGTCCACAAAAGAAAATTAACACCTCCATATCTATTATAGGTGAGACGCAACGTAGGAAATGTCAGCAAATCATCCAAAAGTCAAGATGGAATGCCAATATTTCTGTAAGTGCTCCAAATAAATTAATTCTACTTGGTGGGAGCATTGGTGACTTAAGTCACCAGGCTGCTCAATAAATATATATTTCGCAGGCGGAAATTATTTCCTACAGCACAAGAATAAAACTGAGTTCAGAATTACCTTTTATAATCTGCACTGTGGATTACTTGCCTGCAAACCAAGAGTCAAGATATTACATTGCACATCTATGAGAATTTCAACTAAGGCTGCAATCCTATGCACCCTTACTTGGGAGGAGGTTCATTGAATTCAGTGGGATTTACTCCCAAGTAAAAACGTCTGTGATTGAGCTGCTTGCCAGAATTCTAAAAGCAGGTTTCCAACCTAGAAGAATAATTGCGAAGCCTAGAAAGCAACTCACGTGGTCCCATTTGCCATTGATTTCCTGTGGGGTGATGGTGGTGTAGGGGTTGGTTCCTGCCATGTTGACATGGTAGGTCTGAACGATTTTTGACACTTCGTTGTGGATTCCTAGAATGGCCTGTCGCTCCTTGTCTGCATCTGGCAAGGTAGCTTTGAACTGTTCATGGGCTGTGGTCAATCCCTGAAGGAAACAGAAAACACAAAAACAATTTTTAAAAAGAACAAGCCCATTCCCCATAATGCTGTGTTATAAAACGCCAGCACAGGATGGAAGAATCTGTGTGTGCAACAGGACATTGGAATAATTTAAACAGTGTCAGGGAAAGACTCTCTTTTCTACAAATGAGAATTATAAAGGCAAGGAACTGCACTGGAGCAGTGGAAAATTAAATTGTGCAGCAAATAAAACTTCCTACTGCATGACCACTGAAGGACACGCTGGAAAGATTTTAAGGCAAGAGTGCCAAAAGCACATTTCCTTTTTAGTATTCTTGGAGGCCATTTTCTTACATCAGTTAGGGGTTGGGCTCTGGCATTTCTGGGTTGCAGGCAGGGATGGTGAAGGCTCCCCTTTGGTAGTAGATGGTTTAGCATAGGAGAAGGTAAAGGAAAACTTAGTCAGAGCCCAAATCTACACCTGTCTATTCAGAAGCAAGCCCTGCTGATTTCAACTGGGCTTCCTGTTCCATATGTTGGTGTGAGACTGCAGGCTTACTTACTGCAGGCATTACTTACTTAACTGTTCCGAATACTTGTTTTCTAAAGAGAAAGATGCCTAAGCCCAAAGGGATGGCAAACTCTGGCTCTCAAGATGTTGTTGGACTACAACTCCCATCAAGCCTGACCACTAGCCATGTTGGCTGGGGCTGATGGGAGCTGGAGTCTCACAACACCTGGAGGGCAAAGGCTCCCCACTCCTGCAGTATATCAGCTGATCTTCAAAGCCTGTTATTTTATTACTTTTATTTTATTATTTATTAAAATTGTTGAAGGACGACAGGGCAGTTCCTCAATCCTTAGCACAGGGAATGGCTATGACTAACCAGAGGTGAGAAAAGCACTTTTTATGTGTTCAGGAGGCACTTTTTGCTGCACATTACTAAACATACGCCAGGTATTTTTGCCATGCTGCAGAAAACAGATTAAGTTGTTGAGACCTGGAATTAATGTAGCCCTGATCACTGAATCAAAAGGGTTAGGTGAGAACAAAGTGTTTATTTTTGGAACAAGACACATAATAGATATAGGCCTGGGAAATGGGAATGTATGGGAAATTTTAATTTTTTTGGTAACCATTTCCAGAGGCGTAGTTGTGCTACTGCAGCAAAAATATCAAAGAATCATGTGGCACCTTAAAAACTAACACATATATTATGGTCCTTGAAAGCTTATTGCCATAATACATTTGTTAGTCTTTAAAATGCCGTAAGACTCTTTGTTACTTTTGATTTTTGTGTTTCCTTTTCTCTTCTCCTCACTTCATTTGCTTCAGTTTGTATATCTAACAGGCAGAGGGAACCATCCAGTCTTTCCCACCAGTTTACAGGTAGTTGCTGTTACCTGCCTGAGCTGTTGAGAGAAGGTGATTTATTTCTATTGCTAGGGTTTGGCAGGAAACATTAGTATCAGCTGATATTTTGCACCCTATGAACAAGAGCCAAAGATGAATATGGCTTATCCAGTGAGAGAGGGAACATACCTGGATCTCCTCAATGGTATGGACTATGAAGGTGTCCTGAAGATCTTCCATGGCTCCCTCCATCCAGTTATTGAAAGGGGCAGCTCGTTTGGCATATTCTAGATACAGCTGATCAATTGTCTCCAGCAATTTTTCTGTTCTCTAGGAAATCCCCCCAGATAAAGAAGTTAGGTGCTCTGAATTTTCCCCACACTCCCCCTGTCCTAATGACCCACCAAACATGGCATTTCCTCTTTTGTTACTCCTCACAGTCCTTTCTCCTAGTTTTCTTTTTTTTTAAAAGAAGCTGTGATTTGCGTTTATATTTATTTAATTTATATGCCACCCTTCTTCTCAAAGCAATCCAAGCAGAGGACTTAACATTATTGACATTTAAAACAGTATACCTTCCCTTTTCCCACAGTCCACAGAACCACAGTTAGGAAGCAGTTTCAAGTTACAGATTTTATTTCAGGCTTTTTAAAAAAAAAAAATTAAAGAATTGATCGCAAAGCAGTTCCCAACCATCAAAATAACAGGAAAATCAATGAAAAAATATCATTTGATTTATGATACAGCATTTAAAAGCAATGGATAAACCATTGTAAAACATCATAAAATCTAAAACTAGAACATCACAAAATCTAAAACTAGGCCTTCTTGGTAGTGGTGCCAGGCATAAAACAAAGCAGGTCCATCATAAGCCTGGCACCACTACCAAGAAGGCCATATCTTGCATCCTCATGCAGAAAACAACACTCACCATGGGAACAACAAGAAGGACCCCCTCTGCTAATGTCAAAACCTGGGCAGGTTGGTGCTGGGAGTAGGCCTAGGCGATATATCAATATATCGCCCAGGACTGGTATGAGGAGCAGACCGCGATGTCGGCTTCACTGAGTGAAACTGCCACCCCACGCTGCCCTCATACGACACAGAGGGAGAAACAAGCTGTATATGAAACATATGAAGAACCTTTTACCTCCAGGGCTTCTCGTCGTTTCTGGGTCAGGGCCCCAAGGTTATCCCACTGGTCACATATTTTCTGGCACCTGGCATTGACACTTGGGGAATCGTAATAATCCAGCTCACTAGCAAAAAAAGTTGAAAAAGTGGTTTACCAAACACATTGGTAAAAGTTGGAATCTATTCATTTTTTTTTAAACCCAAACATGTTGAAACTGAATAACCTGCTAATGCTGTTACAATGATGAAGAATAGAACCCTGGCTGGATCAGATCAAAGGTCCATCTAGTTCAGTATTCTGATTCTAAAAGTGGTCTCCCACACTTGTTTCTCTGCCCCCCCCCCCGCCCTACCTTGACCTAGCAACTCATCTTCGGAGGCATATAGCCTCTGCACACGGATGACAACTCTTATCGGCTCAGGTAAGCCTTGAGCTTGCAGGCAAAATGAACATATAGATGCAGGTATTCAAATATGGATCAATGAAATCTATGCACATCAGTTGTTTAAACCCCTATTGCATTTTGTTAGGTGTCATAGTGAAGAGGTCCCTTTCTCCCCTCACCAGCCTACACCCCTCTTTTTGTGCTTTCATCCTTGTCAATGTTTTCTTTCAAGTAAGAGTGCTTCCCTATAGTCCTTGTGTCTAAAAAGAACTAGATTTGCCTTTGAGCTCAACGGGTTCCCCAGGCTTGCTGACTGTTGAAAAGGCCACTGTTTGGTTTTGTGTCAAAAGGTGAAGCCCATTTGCTAGGTGAAAGCCGTACTTGAGTTCTTGTGCAATAGCAGCAATCTGTTCCACACGGTCCTGATGAGCAGCAAGATCACTTTCAAATGCTTCGTGCTTCTTTAACAGGGCCTTGATCTCTGAGAGGGTGGCAGTTTCATAATCCTTCTGCTGCAACATTGCCTCTTTACCTGAAGGGGGTGCCAAAACACAGGAAAAATGAGCAAAAGACCAACAGGTAAGGAGTTTCGAGGAGTTTTGATAAAGCAGCATTTCCTTCCTTCCTTCCAAAATAGTTTTATTAACTTCCAATATATAACAATTACAAAAAGGGGAGGGGATTCCAATTTGCCTAATCTAGTTAAATTTGCCCAAATCCAATCTGTGATTTTGGTAATTGCCATTCTTCAGGGTTCTTGGCAAAGTATTTTATAAAAGGATGCCATATTTCAACAAAATTGTCCTCATCATTTATATTAGTCAATGCATGTAATCTTTGTGTTCCTTCTCCATGAGAGGTCCAGAGGGTGGCAATATGAGAACAGGCATTTTTTGTGGTAACTCCCCACTTTTGCAATACTCTCCCAAGGAAATTTAATAAATAGAAAGTAATAATAATTAATAACAATTTAATCAAGCCCAATCCTCAAGTTAACATGAATAAATTTTACCATTAACAGAGATTTCTTGCAGGCTGCCTTTATTTTGACCCATGGGGAAAGCCTTGGATTAAGAACAGGCAATTTTGGGACTGCATAAATTATCTGAGAATTGTAAGCTTCCATATTTTTGCAAGGATGTTTATTTTAAAAAAAACATCTGTCTGCAACCCTACAATTTAACACATGCACAGAACAGAAACACAGTATGTGCTAGTGGACACAAAATACAGCTCTCTGAGAATCTTTGTTTTAATTCTTTAAAAATAAAAATAAAAACAGATCCCTAATGACTAGAAAGACAGGCTTGAAACGCCAAGTAGATCTTAGAAGCCTAGAGATCAGCCAAACAAGATCTCCAGGAGTCCCAATATCAGTAACCCACGTGGGGAGGAGAAGTGGTTTGCCAGGTGGGTCAGAGGTGCTGTACTAGCTTCCTGGCAGATGGGTTGCTATTGTCTACCAGGAAGGAGAGGGCCAAGGTGGCAGGAAGGTTGATGCAGTGCAAACTCACTGACAGAAACACCAGGTTAGCCCTGCTGTTGCATCTGCACCACACCTACTTCCTGGCTGCCTCAGTCCTTTCCCTCTCCCTCCTCCTGGTAAGCGATAATGATTCCCCTGCAGGGAAGCTAACACAGTGGCTGTGCCCCCACTCAGCAAGCTGCTTCTGGTGAGAAGTATTGCTCTTTGGCGTTAACTAAAGCAGGGGTAGGCAGATTTCCAGCTTGCAGGTTCTACCTCTCTCACACACATAAGCATTTCTGGTTTCTCTTCTAAGCTTTATTCATTGCAATTGAGAAACAATTAAAATTCAGAGCTGCCCAGAGATCTATTCATCATCAATTCTCCCTTCTACCTACCCCCCCTAAAAAAAAGTATGAAGAGCATGCTAATTTACTAATAAAGATGAGAATTTAGGCTACCTTGGCATGGATCATCATCTTATTTCATAATAATAACGATGCATGAATTTATTGTTACACAGTGCACACAAAGCCCTGGCAATAGGACACATTTAGGATCTGTTTTACCGTCTGTCCAGGATTCATGAATGCAAGCTTTTTGCCGGAACTTCTCAGCCAGGTGATCCAGCCGTTCCAATCTTCGGATTTCGTTCAAAAGCCACTCCTCATAGCCTTTCTCGGCCTGTTCTAGGCACCCCCATGCATTATTTATATCCTGTAGCGATCAAAGCAGAAGCACAAACACGGTCAAGGAAGGATGAGCAAGTTCAGAAGAAGGGAAATATTCTGAAACGTCCTCAGATAGTTTCCCCAAGCTGGCTGGCGAATGGCCTGTGCTAGCTGAAGGTCAGCATCACGCCAGAAAGAGATGTGAAAAGGAAGTTCCAAGTGGGCAAGTAATTTTGACAGAATGGCAACTGCTTGCCATTACACTAGAGCACAATGGCATTTTAACAGAAAAACCATGCAAACCACTGGAAGGTCCACAAGCAATTTAGAAAACAAGTGTCTGCAGAAGCCTGCCACTAATCCATTGAGGAGGGCTAAGGCTCTGAAGCACCAGCAGTCCTGGGCATGGATGGGCTGCAGAGCATGGCAAACTGATAGGCAGACAGCACCAGAACCAGGGACAGTAGGAACTAGAGGCAAGGCTTAAGCTAACTAAGCAACATCTGGGGAGAGCAGTTGACCTGGACAGTTGCTGCTGCACTGATCTGCCACCTACCAATGGCAGCAATGCTCCCCTGCTCAGCGCCTGAGGGCCCCAGTCCTGCCACTCACCACCTGGCCCAGGGCGGGGCCTGATGCGCTCTGTAAAGGACTGCTGCTGCTGCTGCTGCTGCTGGGCAGAGAGGGCTCCATTTTGTTTTGTTTTTGTTTAAATTGCTGTTATTTTTTACCTATGTCATTTTAAACTGAAATTAATGCTGTATTCTTAGTTTTAGATTTATGTGGAAATTGTTTCCCATTTGGCTGTGTATTTTTTTGATGTGCTTTATTTATTGTTTATGACTTTTGTAATTATGTAAATCTTGTTATGCTGTAAGCTGCCTTGAGCATTGTTTTTTAACTGTGGAAAGGTGGCATACAAATAAAAAATGATGATGATGATGATGCAAGAGGTCTGTTTTCTAGTCGCTACCTCCCTGTCCCCAGCTAAAAAGCCAGCTCTCTGATACGAAGATGTGCAATATGATATGAAGATGTGCAATCCTGCCAAAGTAGTGTACTTCCTACTGCCTCTGGGACCAGTGGTGAAAGATGTATGGAGTTGAAGAAGTTTTGGGATCTGAGAATATCAGCAAGGAAACATGATCAGGAACAGCAGAAAGAAAGCACAGGCTACTGGGGCTCTTCTGCCTCTATCAAAACATGTCAATGCAAGGAGTGGCCCCTTCCTGAGATGATCAAGTGGAAGGATTTCCACTGCCTTCAGGGTCCTTGATGCCCCAAGATTTCTGTGTTGATGCAGGGGTGAGTGGATCCTGAGCAACAGCAACCTGGGACACCCATAATAATCGTTTTGCATCCATGTTCTATAGTGGATGACAAGAACATGCTGTCAACTTGCAAGAGCTATGCCATTCATGAATGGTTATCTCTGTGGACCACAGGCTGTGATGAGAAAGTCCACTGAATACCAGGATGGGATACATGGGCCACTTGAAAGTGTCAGCAGCCATAGAGCATGTACCTAGAAAACTTGTATTTTGCTCAGAACTCGGCCAAACACACTCACCGATACCATTTTCCCTTCAGAAGGCATGAAGGCTGGCCTGTTGCTAAGCCGCAGCTTAGTCTGCAACGTATTGAAGTTGATTTCCAGTTGGCACTTCTCTTGGACTTTGGGAGGCTTGTGAAGGCGGCGGTAATCTCGGAAATCCTCCAGTTTCTGCTGCATGGCCTGCATGGTGTTCTCTGGAGCCCGATTCTCCAGCCAAGGTATGGTGCGGCGGATCCACTCCAGCAACTGAAAAAAAGAAGAAAGTCAAAAAAGAAAGCGGGAACTGTGCTAAGATTAGAAACCCATCAGTGCTGACATTTAACAGGGACAAGGGTTTGATTTTTTGTTATTTGTGGTTTTAGTCCTACAATTATCTTGCCTTTCATGACTGTAATTTTATTTGCCAGCAAGGTTCAGCAACTGGCAGAAATCTAGTTTAACAGACTTGTATGTTTGTGTGTGTTTTCACACCTTGCATCTCTAGACTTTACACTAACAAGCATATTTAAGGATCTGAAACCTCAAGTAAGATAAGCACGCAATCCAGCTTTTAATTTTCAACAGGGCTAATGCGTATTTCTACATCATGCTTCTGAGTTTATTTCTGCTGATTTTTGGTGAAGGACCAATTCTGAGGATAGTCTTCCCAGGGCTGCATATATTCCTAGCTCTTGTGGCTTTTGAGTTAAGTTCATTTTGTGGTGATATTACTACTACTACAATTGGGGTGATTATAGGTTTCCTTTGACAATTTCTGCAGTAGCATTGGAGTTAATTTAACATTTTTGTTTTGCCCATGCCTGCTGCCACCACCTGCAGGCCACTATTCCACTCACATGTCAGGAGCAACTTCTAACTATCAGTTAACTATCAGCACTCTTTCCTATAACCTAAGTCATCAGTTTCTTTCCCCTATTAGTGTTTAGTTTCTTAGCCCCAGCATTATACAATGCTATTTGGGTTTTTAAAAAAAATAATAATAAATAAATAAACAGATCACTAAAGGAACATTACTTACATGGACCTGAAGGTCACACCAGAATGAATTTAACATGACTATAGACTCTTGCAACTGCATACTTAAAAATATATGTTGCTTTGATATCTGGGATCCAAAACTGAGAAATATATAGGTCCCATAGCAGTCATCCCCAATCTGGTGCCCTCCAGATGTTTCAGACCATAGTGCCCATCATCCCTGACTGGGGTTGATGGAAGTTTATAATCCAAAGCATTTTGAGAACCAGGTTGCAGAAGGATGTTCTATGGAATATCTATCTTTCCATTTCCACATAGCTCTGTCAAGAAATTGAAATCAGGAATACCTACATCACTGGCCAACTTCTCATAGTCTTCCATTAACTGTTCATTCTCTTGATTAACTGCCAGCACCTTGCAGATACGATTGGCTGCTGTTTCCGCCTACCGAAATTTAGAAAGAAAGAAAAATACATTGTTAACAAAGATGTTTCCTTCAGCTTCTTGATGCTTGCCTTTTAGGAAAGGCACAGTTCACTCTGTGTCTAAGAGAATGTTACTGGTCCAAATTTATCTCCACACTATGAAGATTTTGAAGTGCTCTTGCTGTCATTTCTCTTCTGAGAGTTTTGATGTGAATGTACACTTGCAATGCCTAAGAGGTTTTTTTACCCTCTACACTTGCCCATATCCATTTAGGTGCACATCCGTATCTATGCACATCAATGTCTGGTATGAGATAGAATGCATAAAGTGGAAAATTATTCTTTGAACAAGTAAGTGCCTATCCAAACCTTCTCTAAGGCCATCCTATAAAACTAAATGAGGTAAAAATCTAACCCCATTTGTCTCGATGGATCAATGGTTTCCATTTTGCTTGTAGAATAACATTCTTCCACCTCAAATGATCAATGTTTTCCATTTTGGTTGTAGTTATTCTTCCACCTCTGTTTTGAGGTGCTACAAGGAATCACTTCTCACCAAAACTAATTTGCCCCTGAAGAAAGTGTGAAGCCACAGGTCTACTGTTGACATCTATTCCATACATATCCAAATGTTCAAAGCTATCAAAGTGTTCTCATATGAAACTGTAGCTCTGCTGTGATCGTCTCACATTCTTAGGTTTTGGAAGAAACATGAACTTCCCTTAATCTTACATGAGTTCTCATTATTACATATATTGTACTAGATTTTTAAAAATAGAATAACTGATGTATACTTTTAGGAATTAACGCCAAAGGTAGAATTGGGTTTGAGTAGTCTACAGACTCATCCCAACCTGCCAATTCAGCCTCAGAGTTACATGAGGACAGAGGGCCTAAATAAAAGAGCAGACTGGGGGCAGCAGGAAGAGAAATAAAGCCTGAAGTCCAGAGTTGTACTGCTCAACAGTCTTAAGAGGCTACAAAACTGTCCCTTGTATCTTTCACTTGAACTGCAACAATATCAACTAAATTATTTTTCAGATCTTCAGAGGGTAGCAACATAATTTCATTTTTTTAAAAAGCTGAGCCATTGCTTGTTAAAACTTTGAAACCCTTTTTCTATTTTCCTTTTACACTTCACTGGAACTAGCAAAAACAAAAACAAAACCAACCCTCTAGTGCAGCCTTCTCCAAACTGGTGTCCTCCAGTTTGATTTGGACAAAAACAGGGGAGGGAAACTGATTTCATCCCAAGGGCTGTGTTTCCTTCTGTAGGCAACATGCCAGCAGTGGGCAGGGACAGTCAAAACTAGGTAGAACAATTTTACCTTTGTACAGTAGGCTTAGTTTCTACATCCACTTAACACCTTCCTCTCTGTCTTGCAGCCACGCCAACAAGTCATTATCAGAATCCAACACCACTTTCCAGTCAAGCAAAAACTCTCAGGGGGGTTGTGAAGCAAGGCCAGAGAAGTGGTCTGGCCTTGGGAAAGAGGCTGTGCTTGAGGAGGGGCGTGTGCCTTCAGGAGAATCCTGCATTTCACCCCCAGGCCTGAAGTTCCTTGCCCCTGGACAATGCTGGCTCTGGGCTTATGGGAGCTGTAGTCTAAAGCATTTTGAGAGCAGCTGGTTAGAGAAGGCTGCTCTGGCCCAACATATATGAGAAGTTCTACGTGCCTCATCACAATCCCCCAAGATGGATGAAACCATCTACCTGCCAACCCAGGACATCTACAGCATGGAGACATTTTTTCCCAGCAGCTTCCTTGCTGAGTTCTTGCAGTGAAAGTCTTAGTATATTTCAAAACCATTCTAAGAATTCCTTTACTTTGGCAGAGAGTTGAGCATTCTGAGCATCTTGATATAGCTATCTTGGGCAGATTTAGGGATGAAGCAGAATAAAAATATTTATAATAAATAAGTAAATAGCTTTTAAAAACCCCTGCCAGGCTATCCCATCGGAAGGCAGGGAGCTTCCATATCAAAACTGAGAGGACACCGAAGCAGTTTCCCACAATGCTGATGCTCACATTCAACACTAAGCTTTTGGCTCCAGAGAAGATAAACCAAAATGACAACATTTACCTTTTTTTTGTTTAGGGGTGTGTGGTGTTTAAAGTAATAATAATCAATTTTTTTATGCCATTCTGAAACATTACGAAAATTAACTGAATGTGCATTAACTTTACTTTCTCATTTTGCATATTTTTTTGTATCGACAAATCACAGAACTAGAAAGGGCACTGAAGCACCATTCGTTGGTCTCTAGAAATCCTATGATTTTGGGCTTGCACAGAATTCTGGAGCAGAAACAACCTGCTTTCTCCACCACTGAAAGGACTATGCAAGCTTTCAAACTCAACAGGCCTCTTTTAGCCACTTCAAGTTGGCAGCACTTGAACATTCTCAATATAAATTGTTCTCTTCTGGTGCTGTAATTAAATGTATTATATTATACATGCGAATTGCAGAGGGAAAAGGTTGTATTATGCCGCCACTATCTGACATCCCTAAAGTATTGATATTAAAGTACTGGTAAGTTCACTCTACTAAGAATCTTGCTATTTTCCCTAAAAACTTGCAAGTACAGAGACTTATAAGTTGTTTGGGTAACTTGTTCCACTGTCCAGTAACAAAAGGGGTATACTTTCATTAATGGGTCCAAAATGTATCTTAAGCAAATACATGCCCACAGTATTTTCCTATAGGTGGCTAGACTGTTAATCCCAGATGCTACCCACAGAACAGGTAAGGCTAGATAGTGCCAATAATGCCTCGCCTCTTTGTCTCAACATTAAGAAAGAACAGCATAGATATGGCTCCCTATCTCCCCTGGTGTCTAAATGAATGAGTGTAAGGCTTAATATAATAGGTATATAAAACAATGTGGACATTTGTCTTTTCATCACAGATTAATGATGGAATCCTGAAATGCTACCCATCAAACGGAAGCTTAATCAAAATACTTGCCTATAATTATTTCCAGGAATCTCCTTCAACAGTGTATTAAAAACACATTATTTAAAATCATCTAGTAATAAAAACACTCATGCAGTTTAGTGTTATTAAAGTTGGAAGCAGTTAGGGCGGGGGGAAGAAAGCAAATGGACCAAAGCAAGTATATGTGTAGAAATACATAGACACACACGCGCACACACAAAATCATATGAAGGAAAAGCAGCCAGTCACATACACGTCATGGCAGGCTGGGGCCCCTGTACCTTTAAAGACTCAGTATAAGAGAATGAAAGAAGCAGAAAGTTGATCATGTGACCTCCCCTTCAGGGCTGGTAGCAGTAATGAGAAATCTGAATGAGAAATGGAGCGACATCACAGTAAGTCACCTTGTCAAGTAAGAGGGCAGAGCTTGAAAAGACACTCTGTGCTCCTGGGCAAGGCCAAAATGCATGCTTGCTAATCACTCTGCAATAGCCCCAGATTTGGACTGCTACAAAGGGAAAGGGACCCTAATTCTTTCCTCCAGGTCATGAATTCATTGCTGGGCTGACTGGCTAGCTAGCTGACAGTGCATTCAATTTTTTTAAAAAAATATTATAAAACTTTGGATTCTGCTAAACTTGAGATTATATATTGATCTTCCGAGAACTATCTAGATGTTGTGCAACTGATGTTCTCATTTGTATCTTATCAGCCATTTCAAGGCATCAGGCACTAGGCCCCACCAGTGAACAAAACTCTTGTGCCCCATTCTAGAACACTACAGCACTGAGATCCATAGTCTATGCTGTCTGCTAGATATATATTAAATCCAGAGTAGTGTTACATAATTTCAGGGTAAAAAAACCTGGAAACATGGCCTTTGAGCAAAGTTTGAACACTCCCTGCAGAAACACTCATGTCCCAGATTTTCTATAAGCTTGTGCTGAAAGGGTAATTAGTGAATTAAATGTATTCTTTAAAAAATACATATTTAGAAGGTCTGCTGTCACTACATATTTTAAAAACTACAAAATATGTCATTTAGTACTTTCAGAGAACATGCTTGTAAATATTGGTGACATCCGATGTTGTCTGCCTGCTTAAGCAACAGAAATTTGCTTGTGGAGAACAGAGGAAAGAGAAGCCCCACAGCAATGGTGGATATCCTTTCACACTATGTTGCATCTCATTCAGTATGGAGAGTTAGGCCCAAGGGAGCAGGCCACAGTGAAGTCAGTTTTTCAGCAGCTAACATGGCATGTCAGTAACATATGAATTAGGCCCCAGAACGAACATTTTCAACTTAGTTTGCAATATTTCAGTTCAGCTTAGAGTTACACCTGTGCCTGAGAACCCCTGTGAATCTACCAACAAATATGGGATAGGAAAAAGTTATGAATGCAATGTGACTGCAGAATGGAGAATAGGGTCCAAGAAAGAAAACTTTGTGGAATGGTTATCTGGTTCAGTAAAGGAGAGTCTTGTTACATTACCAGCTATCCTTATCAGAGTTTAATTGCCCAATGTGTGCCCAAGGAGCCTGGACTAAGGTCTGTTTTCCCCTTGGCATCTTTTACTCAGGTATAGATGCACGATGTCAGCGCCAGCGCTAATGACACACTTGTGTTTGAATCAAGGCTTTTCCACAAAATGCATCTAAGCCGTGATACAGAACCAACAGAAGCCAAATATTTTGCAGACGAGTACAAAATGTCAAGGGAGGATAAATCCACTGAGAGATGATTACATAGATAAAAAAGCCGTAAGGGTAAGGGGACACCGTAAATGGTACAAGGAGGGAAAGCAACAGAACTACTGGCAGAGGAAGGACACAGATGGATGGGAGCAAAGAGAAGCAACATGGGGCAGAGAAAAAGTTAAAATGTGTATGCAGAGACTGTGATAATCAATTGGGGCATCAAAGGCTGGCTGTGTGAAAAAGATGTAAGAGAACAGCCATCCCAACTTACACAATTCACTAGAGTTTGGCCATGAAACAATAAGTAAACTGAGCAGGAATTCCATGAGCTTGGCATCTACAGAACAAGACCTTCTGAGGTCTCCCATTGGGAGAACACCTGTCAAAGCAGAAGTGACCATTTATATATATCCACGTAGACATGACCAGATTCCACTGATGGTAAAGCAGCAGCAGCGGAGGGATTTTGTTTTTACGGCCACATAAAGGCTGAATGGCAATTTTCTGACTTCACTTGGAAAAGTAGCTGCTCGGAAATTAACGACCACTGTTGGTCCACTGCCAATAATAACGGAGACCTCTTGCTTATAAAATAAACCCTGCTGAACAATTGGTTTTAGGTTGCATGAATGGGGAGCAATCTATGCATGATGCTCAATCATGCATAGCTTTTTTTGAACATGTTCTTAACTAAATCCAGCTGCAGAAATTACAGTCTGGAGCAAAAGATTAGTATGGAGGAAAATATCAGAGAACTTCTGCAACTGAGCATCATTTGGAGTTTTGACCTCAGTTGTTTAGCCCTGTAGTAATTATTACTGATGGCTAAAAGCAACTCTAGAGCTGGGTCTTTAAAACACTCCCAAGAGGCTTAGCATTGCCAATGGTGGACCAGTGTTGTATCAGCCACCAAAAATGACTGAGAACAGAGCGCTCTAAGGAAACCAGCACCCAGCTGAAACTAGCAATGCACTTTCCAATAGGCAGCCATCTGATCTGTCAGCAAAGTATTGAATATATTCTACAGTATTAATTTGAACCAGTAGGCTGCAACTTGGGTGTTCTAGGCCAGAAATATTGTCTGGGAAAAAGCAGAGACCCACTACATTGAAAAAAAATCCACTGAGTTCTCAACAAAGCTAGAGAGTGTTTTTCTAATCACCCAAGATGCTAAGGAAGTTGTGACAATATTAGATAGCTCAATAGGACAGCCAGCACTGGATTCCATACCTCTAACGGTTTAGGGTATCTTCCTCTAAATTTGGTGGGCGGGAAACAGAAGGAAGAGGAGGGGGTTTGTTAGGAGTAAAGTCTCACCTTCTGCGCACCTGAGAAGGCGTGGTAGTAACATGAAACATAGGTCATAATGGCCTTCTCATCCGGCCTTAGCGTGCCTATAATATCTGTGCAAAGAAGGAGAAGAGGTTGAAAGGATAAAGTAAGAAGCAGCACACAGAATAAAATAAAACAGTCATGGGTGGTAAGAGAGGGGGAAACTTCCCATCATGCATTGCAGGACAGGCGAAACAGATTTCCATGCGGAGAGCTGGGAATTCGGATCAGAACGTGACCGGAAGGGTTGGCTTTGTGGACTCCTGTGGCACTCGTTCCCACCTCCCATTTTCAGCTTTGGTTTCCAAGCAACCAGCCTAGTCCACACTGCTTTGACACAACTCCACAGTCAGTAGCCTCAACCCACTTGCAGATGGGCAAATCTAGCTTTATCTGGGGGAGTAAACAGCCAGTGCCATGTGCCCGTTCTACACACAGGAATAAAGTAGCTAAATTTGATGAAGACACTATATAGAAGTTAAAAGGCATGACAAAACCCAGATGCAAGGCAGAGAAGATCTGTTCTTGCAGTGCCAGTGCTTGACATCTTATTAGGGCTGTCCCATGTGCGTTTTCTGAGCATACAGCTCTTCCCCTTGTGCTGTGGGCACAGCTACCAGATATTCCATCTATAAAACTGCAGATTAAAAATGGATGACTTTTTTTTTTAACTTCAGCTGTGTGCAGTGGAAAAACATGTGGAGTAACCCCTTGCCTGGTACAATGGCATGTCACAGGGGAGTTCTAGAAATGCAGTTTACATCTGAAGTATTATCATACTGCTCCCTGTTTCACTTTAAAAGACACAGGCATGCATATCTGTCCATTTAGGCAAGGCTTCAGTATTGCATGGTCTACTTTCTATCAGACCCCTTCTGGCCCACCAAGCAAGAGTGTATGCTCAGGATCTCTTAAAAATTAAGGCATAATCTAATAATGCACAATTGCTTAAGAACATGAGGAGTACCCTAACTAGAACCATCAGGTTCAGCATTTTCTGCAAGCATCCCAGAAAAAAGTAGGTGCTCCACAACTTCTATCCACCACTGTCTTAAGCTGTAGCTAATGAAAGGTTAGCATTCAGTCTACTTTTGAGGGAAATGACATGATATCTGGATCCACTTCCAAGCTTCGGCCTACTTACACACTTACTTGGGAGAACACCTTACTGAACTGAGAGTGACTTAACTTCTGAGTGAACAAGCAGAGACTTGTACTGCACAACCCATTTGCTCTACGATGAGTTCTCAGATACCAAAGAGCAGTTGATTCATCAAACTGCAATGCTCTGTGGAAACTTCCTGTTTGGGACATCCTGTCAGTAATGTTTTCAGAGAATTTGGCAAACAGAATGCACATTTTCTGTTCTGCGGCATCCAGGCCTTATTTCTTAAAATTGTGCTCTTTTGCAAAATAAGGAGGCTCAATCGCACAGCACTGTTGCTGATCAGCAAAGCAATTCAGCATGGGTTAGCTGGCATGTAGAATGTTATGATGCTGGATCACTATGCATGACAAATTACTATGCAAAATACTCCCCCCCCCCCCGAGATTCACCTCGAGAGAGATCTTTGTGTCCTGTGGATAAAAGCAGAGCTCCCGATGCCATGAGAGTGACCCACTGACTTGCACCAAAGTACAGATCTGCACTACATCACTGACTGTGGGATTATGTTTGACCCCATCTGCACCCCCAAAATGATAAATACACAGAAAGCCATTCGGAGCCAACAAGCCAACTCTGCCAAAAATAATAATAAAGATGCCCGTAGCTAGATAGGAGAGAGAGAGAAAGAAAAAAAGGTTTGGACATTAGCAAGAGGACCAGGTGCTCTGTGTGGAGGGAGCTTGGAATCCTGCGATACCTTCTGGGCTCCTGAGAAGGCGTGGTAGAAGCTAGAAACATAGGTCATGATGGCCTTCTCGTCAGGACGGGCTGTTCCAACAATGTCTGTCAAAGAAAACCTGAAGTTAAAGAGCATATCAACTCATGGGACATGAGCAAAGCGAGATGGATCACCAAAAGGTTATGGGGACGCCAGGTGAGGGGTGGGAGTGACTATTAGAACCTACACATTCTCTACATATAGGTCTTTTAGATACTTTCTTGGAAGATGATTTCCACTCTTGGTTAGGGCAATTGTCCCTGTCCTCTTCTCCTTACCACAAAAAATACATATTCTTGATGCAAGTGCCCAGTAGGACACAGAAGAATTGTGTGTGCTAAATTGGGAAGTTGAAAGACGATCTTAAGCTGCTGTTTCAGTGAATGAAAGCAAATGGCCACCTTCTGCACCATTCTCAATAGGCTGCTGGTCTGAGTTTTCCAAGCATCTAAGGAAAGCAGGTGCTTATCACCTCTCAAGCTCAGGCCATGTAATGTTTTCATAGTGTTTCCTTGCTGCTTTGAGGATGATAATGGTGATGGAGAACAATAGTTGCCACAGCACAAAAAGAGAACCATATTGCCATGCACCTAACCATCTGCTTCTTCTGTGAGCTTTCATGGGACCTACATTTGTCTCAGTAACCTGTGATAGTTCAGTTTGGTGGCAAATCCCAAAGGATAAGAAATGCCCTTTGTAAAATTCAGAGCCAGCAACTTTGGGACTCCATCTGAGGCTACCTGCTGGGATGAATTAGGTCTCATTACCTAGCTGCATCTAACACCATACTATGCATATGAAAGAAGCCCTGATAAAGATGATTTTTTAAAATAAAAAAAATCTAGTTGAATACACTGTCCTCTTTAGCTCACAAAAGCTCCCTGGATAGAGGTAATGAGGAATGGACAGAGCATAGCCAGTACAAAATGTTCTCCCAAATTTTAAGGGGGGGGGGAGAAAGAAAATGTCACAAAAGGGAACAGAGCAACAAAGGCAACTTGAAAACTGTGGATTTCAGAGCCAGTGTAGATTTTCAAAATGCAAAAGCAACAATATGGCAAAAGGGGAAATTTAACACATGTTTCCAGGAATCTAGCAGCTGAGAACTGAATTTTATAATGGTCACATGCTAGATCCCTTGATTAACAAGTGTGGTGGCTCAGGATATAAAATGCCCAGAGAAATGTAACTAGTATGTAAGAGACAATGAAGGATGATCTGCCTTTGTTTCCACCTCTCCTTATGTACTGTAGAGATACCATGTCATTTGTTGTTTGTTGAGAATTCAGCTTGTTTGTTCATGGTGGAGTCCCAGCCCAGTCAGAAACAGGTGTCCTGTTACTACTGAATTTACAAATGAGCTCCACAATAACAAGCTACGGAGCAGTTTTGGGAAGTACAGAGAATACTAGGGAAATTTGGGAGAAAGTATAAATGCAGCCATGCTGTTATTAATCTTAGGCCTGGCTTATACAGTTCTGGTGATGCATGGAGACTACTTCATCAAGGTCAGATCTCACGTCAGATTTATGTGGCAGATCATGTTAGAAGGTTCCATTATCCATGCTGCTGCTCCCTAGGGGCCCTGACATAGAACCTTCCATTATCCACACTTCTTGTGCTGTTATTCAAATGTTATCAGGATCGGATCCAGCCAACAGGAAAAAAAATTGCAGTTATTCTAGTCTAGGTACCTAATAAGAAGGGTGGGGAACTTTTGGAAGAACGAGTTAAGTAGAGGTAGAAAGTTTGTGGAACTTCTTGGGTGTGTGCGGGGGGAGGGGAAAATAAATCAAAATTTGATTCTACTTTACCTTCTGCATCCAACATCTTGGGGATATCTAGGTACCTTTCAGCCACATCAAAAGCTGTGTTCAGGTTAGTGAGAGGATCATCCTAGGAAATAAATAATTTAAGTTAGCAATACGTAAAAACACGGCAGGAGAAACAATTTATATACCATACTAGGGCATTGATCAGTGAGATCATTAGAGTCATATTCTAGACTAACTGATAATTACAACATTAATATGAGATGCACATACCACAAAAATATGCACTTAACACCCCCAGGTCAGATTGTTTCTACTAGTGAACTAGGAGGTGGAGTGTTGACAGGACCTCCACTTCCCACCACCACAAATTCAGTAAAGGGCAACTATGAGGGCTATGTGCATTTTCCAAAAGGCCTCTCTGTAACATCTTCTTTAAGGACTTTGAAAGGACATCACAGATTTTGTCATATCCCCTTTCCACTAGTCTGCTTACTTCCTGGACCTGTACTGAGCAGGAGAGCTGTCAGCTTAAGACGTTTGTCCCTGATTTGTGTAAGTTGCAACTAGAGAAGGTGCAAATCTTTTTAAGGCCCTGTCTTGGTAAGGTGCAGTATGAGAAGCCGCCCTCTACACATATAGAATCTCCACTATACTCCACTACACTATATAGGGTTTTTGTTTCAGTGGGTTCTCTTGCGCTGAATGTTAAACAGGTTAGAGAAGATGAAGCCCACCCCAGTTTTCCTTTGTTCTGTCTTCTCCTATCCAAAATTGTTAGATATGTTAGTTGAAATATCTACCTTTGTTTTGTTAAAATTTGAGAATACAAAAACTATTTTTTCATGACTTGCAGCCTGTAGAACTGATCTAAATGAGGCCTACACCAAGATAAGGGTGCAAATAATTGCACCAAAAGGGAGGACAGCTTGGGACTGTCTGTCTGAGACAAGTATACTTGTTGAGGTATCTTTCTCAGAGTACCATACAGCATACACTATAGTTATTAGGAAGTTTAGGTATATACACAGAGCCAGGCTGTGCTCAGGTATAGTCATGAGAGGGGTCTCTGTGTGTGGAACCTTAGTTACTATAAGGATCATTTCACTTTTGGTTGCTAACAATATTATCACAAGCATGCTGATTTTGCTGACATAAGAAATGAATGCTAGAGTCTCTTACTGCATCTCGCCTACCTCAGCATAAAACTGCTGACTCGCACAGACATCTTCCCCTCCTAGCAACTTCATATGATGTTGCCATGGCAATAATTATAATGTCACCAATCACCACCTTTCTATCAACAGCGAATCAGCAAAACTGTTGAAGCAGGGTAGGAGGAATGAGCAACCACTGTTAGCTATGTCTGTCAGGGATGCAAGGAACCTCACCTAGTAAATATATGGTTTTGGTTACTGTTAAAATAGTCAGGGCTGGAGGTGTCAGTCACAAAAAAGATGCTATTTTTACTGACCAAGATGACATGCTTCTTAGGTTACTAGAGAAAAAATGTTACACTTTTATCCAGTTTCCTTAATGAACAAGGAGATCAGATTCATGGCTTACCATGGGACTATAGCAACTTAACAGCTTTTACAAGACAGTGGGAAGGAATATATGATGCCTCTTTGAGCAACCACATTCCCAGATCTGCCCAGCAGCAGAATTTAGTTTTCCTGTTACCTCTGCCTATCATGATTTAAGCTGGGTAAGCAAAGGGGTATTTATCTGAGCTATGCCCTACCTTATTGCGTGGCTCACAGCAGCTTGCAACAGTATTTCTGAAAGTTATAAACCCAAGGGGCTTACAATTGTAGCTTAAAGAAGTAATGTGGACAACCATGCAGTTTTGTACAAGCAACAGATGACTCCGCTAACTATGCATTCCACTATGGAACTGGAGCCATGCTTTCCACTACAGCTTCCCAAAAGACATTGCTGGGCTTGGTCACCCACATGCTTTCTGCAAGGATGTCAAGCCCAATTTTCACCTGATAAGCTCAGTCAGCCTAAGAAAATATCAGTCTCTAATGTGTCTTGGCTGAATGTGCCAGTCTAACTTTGGGAATTACCTGAGTTGTGTTTCCAAAGTCCAAAGACTTCCTTACCTGCTGCTAGTCTAAATCTCCACCAGGAACTAACAGACAGAAATCAAGTAAACCAAAACATCTGAGCTCTTCAGAGACCTCCTTTCTCTCATCTTATGGGCAAGTTAGTTATCCAAGTTGCCAGCACAGGTTTCCATCCTCCCACGACATCTGAACTTGGAACATCCCAAAACATAAGAAGGTACCTTTCTTAGTTTTCCATAGTCAATGAGTTCTGGACGATGTCTGTGAATCAAGGCACAGAAACCAAGGCCATCCTTCCAGCTGTGAGAGAGATAGGACACTATTAAGTATACTCATTCAGGAATGGGGTTTGTTTTTTGTCCTATACTCAGTAAGAATCAGAGCATGAGTAAGTTTCACCTCTGCTTCAGTTGAAGCCTTTCCACAATGCCAACTACAAAACTTTTCAGTATGTAAAAAAAAGTTCTGAGGTTTCTGGTGCCAAGTGAATAATAAAAATAAATAATATATATTATTTTACTGATCGCTATTGGATTGGCTCAATAAATCATCCTCTGCTAATGACAGGCCAAAGGAGATTATGTGTACAAGAACAGGATTACATGCCATTACATATTTATACAGCCACAATACATTCCCAGCTTCCTAAACCATCGTTTAGCTGAAACTACAGTTAGCTTAAATGAGGGTTCCTCATCTGAACATGGTCTAAAATCCTGGTTAGTAAATCAGTATTAAGGCACCATTCCTTGTTACAGACATCGATGTTTGGTGCATCAATTATGGGAATGAGGTGATATGCAGGGGAGGTTCGGGGGGGCGGGCAACACTCATTCCTGGCTTGTTAAACTATGGTTTAAGAAGCCATGAATGCAGTAATGTTTGAACTGGGCTATGTATCCACAAACTTGGAAGTACAAAAGTAAACAGCACAAGCACTTTAATTTACATAAGATATGAGGATAATAAGGGCATTATTGTGTGCCGAGTATAGTGTGGGAAGAAGCCTTTCGTGGCCTCAGCCCTTTCCCCTGAGCTGGTAGGGCAGCGTTCAGAGTACAATTGCTACACACACACACACACACACAGCCTTTAATGGACTGTGATGGCAAGTCCACTGCAAATGGTCTTAACATTGCTGCTAAAACAGCTGAGGTAAGGACCAGGCAGCATCCAAATCCTCTAGGCCATGCAAAGACTACAAGTCACAGGCTGCTCCCCATCACCTTTATATTACCTAATATGGAAGTTTTGGATGTTCACATTTTTGTATGGGGCTGTCTTTCTCTGACACCACAACAAAAGCCCTTCTTTAGCAGATGTCTCTAGGGAACAAAAAGATACAAGTATTAGCCAACCTCTGTGAGGCTCTTTCACTAGGGTTTTAAAGCTGCCTCTTCATCATGACCATTAATACGTCAGAAGCCACTGAGGAGGATTTGAGCAACTCTTTCCATTTACACCAGGCATAGGCAAACTCCGGCCCTCCAGATGTTTGGGACTACAATTCCCATCATCCCTGACCACTGTTAGCTAGACCTTTTCTTCCAGTTGTTAAAGATCAAGTGCTGTACAGAGTTAAAAAAACCCCAACAATATTTAGGATTACATAGGCTCCAAATCATAGAACTGTAGAGTTGGAAGGGACCTTGAGGATCGCCTAGTCCAACCCCCTGCAATGCAGGAATATGCAGCTGCCCCATACAGGGATCGAACCTGCAACCTTGGCGTCTTCAGCACCATGCTCTAACCAAGTGAGCTAAGCAGGCTGCACAGAAAGTCCACAAAGGACTTAAGGGATGTGCTGGCAGAACATGTTATTTAGCACTAGCATTACATTCGGAAAGGGTAAACAGTTCCCTAAAATCTCTATGCTAGAACTATTGCTTTTCAAATCTAGCCCAGAGGATGTTTTTTCCTAGTAGTTTAATCAGTCAAAATAGCTCCTTCCACAAAGTAAGTAATTTTGCCCATCTAATTTTGCATTATGTGTGAGGGAGGGATGTATCGATGCAAAAGAAAAGGAGAGGTTTTGCATTGTAGGCTAGCAGGAACATAATTATCTCAGTTGTTCTCAGGAACCCCTTGAGCTCAATTCATGACCTCACATTTCTGCCTTCAGGACACTAGTCAATATGGCCTTCCAGATCAGGAAAATGGTCTGCAGTGAATTGAATTCAATAAAATGGAGGTGTCTGAGCCCTGGATTTTGTCACTGTAAATATGGTCGGCATCGTAGTAACACCAACAAGCAAGCAGAAGTACCACCTGCTATTTCCTGGATCATGCTCTGGGAACAATATTTCCCTTCCTGTAGACAATAGCCAGCTATGACAATCTGTACAGGAGCTTCGTATGCTATCTATTTTGGAAATACATAACACACAAAATATTCCACAAGTGCTTCTGTGAGAGATGGTGGCCCGTTGGGATGTACCTTCCACTGAGATATCCTGAATAGCGAAACGGAGGATGATGGTCCAGATCATTCCAAGGGTCATTTTCGCATTCCCATCAACAATTTCTGCAAAAGAGAAAAATACCCTCTCAGCAGCTGCTACCGGTGCTCAAAACATCTTTGGAACTTTGGTAGACAAGAGTCACAAGTGTTTCAGAATTAGGAAAACAAGTGGGGCTTGCAAACAAAATGTTGCAGAGTGGACTGCTCCTTTTCTGGGATTCCATTATAATCCCACTTCCCATTAAGTCTCTATCCCCTTACACACCAAAATAAAAAAATCCATGCCCACTTCTCATTAGATTGTTTTGGGAGCTTGCCCCAGCCTCTTGAAAGGTTTTCCCCCCAACAGATTTTGTGTGTGTGGGGGGGGGTACTTCTCCAGTTCTTGGGATTTCCCCAAGTCTGCTGATAACTCTCTCTTATGTGTGGTTGGTGCTGTTTTAGTTGCATGAGGACCAGCGCTAGGCAAATTGAGATGGCTATCAGTATATCCAGGTGGAACCTGCAACAAAATGCTGCAATGTGGAGTTCTTCTATTTATAGAGATCCAGCCGATCCACACCATATAAACTTCTGAAAACCTCAGGGTTCCCCAGGGTCTGCTTATAACTTCCTTGTGCTTTTAGGCGAGACTATTTTGGTTGCTATTTGGATTGGCACTGGGAGAATTGAGATTACTATTGGTTGAGGATAACAACCAAACACAATGATTATTTTGGGCATGCGTACCTGGGCAACAGCCATTCAAAAATTGCCTTCACATTCACAAGAGAACAAGTGCCAGGTATGTGATGCAAATTAAACCGTAAATAGATAATGCTATTGCACTGAGTTACAAACAATAGCAAATACCCTCATTGAGATCAAGATCTGCACTCATTAAGTTGGGAAGGAAAACATCAAAGGGCTCAACTGTATATTACTAGTTCTGTTGCAATGTGGTTCCTTTGTCCATTTGAATTTTCTCCCTCTTTGGGACAGCCTTAATGACTGTTTCCTGTTCTCAGAGCATTAACTGCTAGAAAGACCTTCTATGGTCATTATTCTTGAAATGTGGATTAGCATCATATATTTGTACTTTCTGCTTGCTAATTGATGCCATCCCAAGCCTCTCTACAAAACTGCACTTAATAAGCAGTTCAGCAGATACTATTAATGAGCTCATTATTGCTTGTGGAAAGCATTCTGAGGATATTGGGAGAAGTGGAGGCCAGAGAAGGTTGTGTGCACTGTCTTTCCCAATCTGCTACTCAGGGATTCCCACTAGTTCCTGCCCCCTTGAATAAGCTCAAGACACCGCCTGTGGTCTTCAAATTACCAGTGGCAGCAGATATAAACCGCATTAGCAGCATGATAAAACTTAGCAAGCAATTCTGTGCCAATGCAGCGGGGGCAGGGTTCATGATGATCCCTAAATGCTTCTGGTGTATCTGTTGCCAAAGCCAGCCAATCAGAATCACACCACCATGCAAATTGTTGGGAGAGCAATATATATAGACCCACACTGCAACCCCTTAAGAAAAGAGGGTCTTTTGTGTTGGGGGAAAGGGGAAGGAGTTTGTTTTCCTAACAAACATCTGCTAGAATGCAACCCCTTTCCAATTTAAGTGATATTAGAAGGGGTGGGATCTAAAACAAAAGCATTCCCCATCCTTCAGAAAGTTTAAGACCCTTGTTTGCAGGAAAATATATTTTAGTCTTGCCTCAGAAACAAATATCCATATATACTTGAAGAAGGCTGTTTTTTGCAGCACTACTAGCAAGCAGAGATTCTTAGTGAAATGCACATTCAGTGAAGGAGGGAGAGTTGTTTAAAGAACCAGAACAGAACAGACACACAGGAAACAAAAAACTGCTTTGCTCAAGTGAATTTGTTTCCATCCCATTGCTTTTATTACAACTATTCTCTGCTAACAGGCTATGCAAATAAAGACAGTATTTTCATGTCTTTGGCGAGCAGCTGGAGGAGCAATAAATATTTAATATTTCAGAATTAAACCTGGTGGCTGGAAAGAACAGGGTTCTGAAATGCCATCACATTCACAATCTAGTAATCCTAACCCTCTGGAGTGTAAAATAGTCTCCTTCCTCTATTTTAGTCTTAAATGACAAGCTGAAAATTCACTGTTAGGATCTATATGATTTTTTGGCTGTTTGAATGTACTTTGAGAGGCAGCCCAACCTCTAGCCACGCAGAAGTGGAGAAAGGAGGTTGATTCTACGCAAACAAGTGTCAGGAGGACTAAATGGTGGGTAAGAAAACAGAGTTTTGCTCACAACTGAATACGTGTTCAATATTCATTCAACATCCTTAACACATTTAAACTGCTGTGTATTAACCACACTTTCAATTCCAAAGGAAGGCAAACATTAATATACCGTATTTTTTGCTCTATAAGACTCACTTTTTCCCTCCTAAAAAGTAAGGGGAAATGTGTGTGCGTCTTATGGAGCGAATGCAGACTGTGCAGCTATCCCAGAAGCCAGAACAGAAAGAGGGATTGCTGCTTTCACTGCGCAGCGATCCCTCTTGCTGTTCTGGCTTCTGAGATTCAGAATATTTTTTTCTTGTTTTCCTCCTCCAAAAACTAGGTGCGTCTTGTGGTCTGGTGCGTCTTATAGAGCGAAAAATACGGTACCTCCCACCTAATAATAATAATAATATAATTTATTATTTATACCCTGCCCATCTGGCTGGGTTTCCAAAACCTAAGGGCAGCGAAAACCACAAGATCATTAAGACAAAATAACTGGTAGCTTCATTCCACTGGTGTCAATGGGACAAGGACTTTCAGGAACCCAGCCTATAGGGCTGCTGCGCCAGCGTTTCAACTAGTACAAGCTCCTTCTTCTCATTCTTATGGGTAGCACCACCATTCACTTGTCCAGTCTCTGCCATGTCCCCCTTCATTCATCTAAAAACCTGTGCAAGAACTTTCTCATCTCAGCACTGTTGTGCCATCCCTGTTTGCTGTTGCAACATGATAACTCTCAATACTGCATGAGCACAGCCTTCACTAACCTGATGCCTTCCAGATGTTTTGAACCACAAGTCCCAATAGCCCTGATGTGGGGCTATAATAGGAGTTGTTGTAGTCCAAAAGCATTTGGAGGACCAACAGGATACCAAAGGGTCCATTAGCATAAGGCCTTTGTACCTAGTCTTATCCCACTCCTCGCCTTGCACATTGCAACATCCCACTGCATTGGGATGTTAACTATCCAGTGGCTGCTTTAAACGGTTCATGGACTGCAGCTGAAATAAAGAGCATCCTTCTAGACTGAGAACTAAATGAAACATGAGAGATAGAGCTTAAAAACATTATATATAAGCTTATGTAAGCTGGAACATGTGTTTGTTATGGCTTCAATTTCAATAGGTTTGGCTGATGTATAGAACTGAGGTAAAACAGACCATAGCCCTGTCAGTCACTTCCGCACTTCACCAGTTATGAGTGGGAAGAAGACAGAAACAAACAGCTGCCTGTTTTTAATGCTGCAAGCAATACGTGTCTTCTGCCCAATAACAGCCAGCCCTGCATATTTGCATAGCTCTCTATGCTGGTTGTGATCAACCAACACTGTTTCATTATTACAGGCTAAAAGCTTAAGTTTTCTCCTTGCTGACATAGTTGGATTTCAGATCAGTGTTATACCATGGAAGCAGGGCTCAAGAGTCTGAAAAGCCGATAGCTATTTGATATGTTGGAAATGCATGAATGGGAGAATAAAAATGCTTATCTCAATAATTATCCCAGTAGTATCTAACTCTTAACTGTATGTTGCAATCAAATATGAGCTTCTGGTGTGCAGCTAATCAGGATCCAGGAAGGATGAAAAGCTCATTGGCTGGTGGAAAATAGTTTGTGAACTACACCAGCAAAGAGCTTCTTTTAAGCCAATTTGCACAGGGGCCTGGGCTGTGTAAATAATTATTTTCATAGTCATTTCTAATTCTCAATAGCCATTTCCTTGTTCACCACACAGAAAGCCATTTTGATGTTGCCATTACTAGATCAATTCTGCATTCCTGTTTTCTCAAACTTGTGATGCTGCTGTTTTGGGGTTATATGATATACAGCAGCCTGGTGCTGAAAACTTTCAATAGGCTGAATGACACTGGAGAGCTTTGGGACAAAAAAATTATGGCTAAGGTTGATTTAAAACAACAATAACCCCGAACTTGGTACTAACTCAAGATGATTTTCTCATTAAGTACTACCTGCCTGATGTGGCATTTCCTGCCTGAGCCACATTAAATACATTCTGCCTGCCTCATTAATTTTTACTTTCTAGTTTACAACAGTGACAGCTATTTAAAGCCTTAATTTGAGTCCTTTTAAAATTCATAGTCTGGAAAACTTTATAAGCCTTTTCATTGGGCAGTCCTCGCACCAGAAAGCTGTCAGTCAACCCCAGATGCCCACTGAACTGCTATGATAACATCTTCATGCAAAACAAAATGCCTACAGTAGGGTGGAAGCCACACACCAGGCATGCATTTATTCTGACATGTGGATTGATTCTGTCATTCATATAGGCAGAAGTCAGAGGAAACAAAGCAGATTCATGAAACACATTGACCAGGGTAGACTCCGCACTCTTGCAATACCTCATGCTGAAGTTAAGGACTAACGTATGAACTCCTCAGGCTCAGAGAGAAGAAACATCATGGTGCATCCGGAGCAGCACAACCAGATGCCTTTATCTGCCCCAACTGCAACAAAACATGTCTCTCCTGCATCAGTCTCTACAGTCACAGCAGCTACAGAGAGAGCCAGTGTGGTGTAGTGGTTAAGAGCGGTAGTCTTGTAATCTGGGGAACCGGGTTCAATTCCCCGCTCCTCCACATGCAGCTGCTGGGTGACCTTGGGCCAGTCACACTTCTCTGAAGTCTCTCAGCCCCACTCACCTCACAGAGTGTTTGTTGTGGGGGAGGAAGGGAAAGGAGAATGTTAGCCGCTTTGAGACTCCTTAAAGGGATTGAAAGGCGGGATATCAAATCCAAACTCTTCTTCTTCTTCTTCTACTGCAACCATTCAACAGCTTGACCTCACCGCCAAAGGTGCACTCCTCCATTGTCTCCAGAGACAGACAGATGGTAACATATTTTAACCTTAAAGTACCCCTTAACCTTACACACACCCTCGTTATATTCCCCCATTCCTAGCCCCTAGACCATTCCATAGAGATGAGAGCCATGCCACTTCAGGCTACATAAGCAAATGAGTTTGTAATAACATATATCATTAATGCTTTCACTGGAGTTTTAGTTTTGAAAAGCTGCATGATCTGTAAGCCAATGTCCAGATGCAAAATGTAGATGTCGTTCACCATGATTGTGAATTAGTGGATTATGGCATAATGTGAAAAATTTCTCTTTCGAATTGGACAGAAGCACGTCCCCTTATCTGGTTTCCTAGCCCACAACCTCAAGTACAATCAGGCAGAATAATTATCCAGGAAGTGTATGAAAATGTCAGAAGGAGCATGGAGAACACAACTCTTTCTGAAGCTTTACAGGGATAATTTCCAGGCCATCTCACCCTGTGTTCTGCAAGTTTCTAGCCAACATAAATCACAAAGGGATTCAAAATAGATGATCTACCTGTAGTGCACTGCATCAAATATCCAGTGCAGTTTTATTCCACACACTTTCTGGACTTTGGTAGACATTACTTGTTGGGGAGCCTGGTAGAAACCAGACTTGCAATTGGGCTCAACGTGTAATATGGTTGTCTGCAGTCCCCCACAGGACTCAAGAGTCTTTGCTTGCTAAACACATATGTCGAACTTAGGGGATTCCATAACAATCACCACCACAGTAGTACAATCGTCACCTTGTAGTGGAAAAGTTGGTCAGTTCCTGTAATCATTTTAGTAGCCTTGTGACCCATTTATATGCTCCCACTAGTGTGGGTTCTGACTTACCTTCTGCTCCAATGGATACCAACTTGACTCCTTTGCTAGCAATGAAATCCAGGGCTTTGTTGACATTCGAGATTTTGTGCACTCGCATTTTGCCTCTTTCTGGCTTAGCCAAACGTTCACCTAGTCAGAAAGAGAAAAGAGTTATGTTCCACTTTTTCAATGAACTTCTTCATTCCACTTCAGTAAACAACTGATATACAACCGAAAGAACACAGTCTACCTTGGGAAACTTTCCATTTGTCTTTTATTGCAATACCACAACTGCAATCTACAGAGCTGTGTTCACAGTTGAGATGTTATGCACTCGCAAAGACCATATCATTTCAGAAAGCAATCAAAGGAATCACATGTCTGAACGCTTCTCCACATTAACACCCCGCTCATAAGAAACTGAGAGAACACTAAGCTAAAATCTTCATTCATAGTAGGAGGGAGCTTTTCAGCAAAGAAAGATTTAAATATGCAGTAAGAACACATGTACCCTCAAGTGGTATAGTTCCAGGAGGACAGTATAACATGTTTATCCCCAATGCAAGGTGGCTAATCTGTCACCCTCTGTATTTTGCTAGACTGTGAATCCCTTCATTGGCTATGCCAACATCTGGAAGATCACAGGTTAGCTACCACAGCTCTAATAATCTAAATATGCCTCAAAAATGAAAATGTTTTATTTTCCAGTAAAATTAAAGAGCAATTCTCTCATGTTGGACCAGTTATAGGAACCCAGCCAAATGAAAAAAAAGTGCTTTAAATATTGCACTCAGTTGTCTTCAGACAGAGCACACTTCTAACTAAATGCAAGATTAACACTCGTATATGGAGGCTTGGCTCCACATGATTTTTTTTTGTATGAAGTCTATGCGCATATTTTCACCAAGATCACTTTTAAATATGTCCCAGGACAAATGGCCATCAGTAAAAAATCTCGTAGAAGGGTATGAGCCCACCTGCACTGCAAAGGATTCAGGGCACCACCACCCTTGCTTTCCTGCTGTTACTTACCCTTTCGTTTTAAATTACTGCGTGCCCAGCCTTTATACTTCGTGTTTACTTTGAACTGCAGCCAAGAGCAATGAAAACTGAAGCTGAGAGAGACAGAACAACAGCCCCATTTTCTTCTGACAAGACCCTATTGACTTCTTCTGTGGCCATGGCATTTTTTACCACACGATGCCACAACAAAGTGGGCGCTTGTCCTACACTTTCAAAGGGGATCACCGACACTTGACAAGGGTCTATGTGTGATCCTCTTTTGCTAAATGGAAAAAAGGGGTTTCCAAGCTGGGATTTTTTCCTACAGGAAAAGAGGAGTCATTGTGGCCTTGAAGAGATCAAGAATGCCCTGGTCCCAGCTACAAGACTGAATATGCCACAGTGCCAGGCATGCAGCAAGGGACTTTCCTAAAGTATGTTGGCTGGGTTCAAAAAGATTGCACGTTTTAAAAAAAAAAAAAGCACAGAAAGAGAAATGAATGTCAGGAGACAAGAGATGTGTTCTGGGCAGGCACATGCCACTTCTGAACAGAAAAGCACCCAGACATTCTCCCTTCAGTCATTTGTGTCCCTCCTATCATGCTCTCTGCACTGCTTCCTTTCAGCTTTCACCGCCTTGCCTATGCATGAGTGAGCATTTCACTAACAAGATAAACAAGACAAAAATAAATAATGCGAGGGACTCGACTCAGCTGGTTTCTGGCAAGCATCAAAAGAAGCCACGGCTCATGGATTCCCTTCTCAGTACCTCGCTTCAGCATTCTGCAGCCTTTCGAACCCTGACCCATTTGTATCAGGCATGGGAAGGAGGAACATTCTGCATTTCCCCAAGGATATAAACAAGGACAGAAACAAGCACCTGGGAAGCCCTATAGGACAATATAACAAAGTCTGAGAACGGGTTCCTTACAGGAACTGCTACGGTGGTGCAATGTGGGGAAATGAAAGTTACCGTACTTTGCTAATTAATGGCACTGCATGCCACTGGATCCCCATCTTTTGTATCTTTGAGGTTATTTTCCTCCTTCCAGCTGAAATTTCAAACCATGTCCTAAGTCCATGATGCTAGTACACAAGATGGCCACACATGCTTTTTCTTCCTTACCTTTGTGCAAGCTTGAACTATTAGCCCCTGTGCTTTAGCAGACTCACTAGATTGGAGTTTTCCCCCAAAGCATTTAACCTTTCCACAATGGCTGTCTTACCCGATATGACTTCCAGGAGTAACATAAGTTTAAGGCCATCCCTGAAATCTTCTTCTATGTTCTCAATCTGCGTGCCAGCTTTGCGGAGGTGAGAGTTACACCAGGCTGTAAATGTCTGGAAGAGAAAAGAAAAGGGAATAATTAATCTCCAAAGAGAACATACCGGGCTGCTGAAAAGGAACTCATATTTCAATAGCACCGGTGCTGTGATTTACTTGGTGAGTGTCAGGGAATAATTATATCAAAGTTCTGCAGGGCAGAAACGTCCTGGAAATAAAAAGGCCATCAGTGAGAATGAGTGCTGGCAAGAAAAAAAATTCAAGGCAATTTGGCCCATGCAGCCTGAATGCACTCTACAGATCTGAATGCAAGGATACCCTCCCAACAGGGTTCCTTCATTTACTGTTTTCCAATAGGCTTCTGATCAAAAATAGAGAGCACACTCATTTCCCCCGAACAAGGCTATGATTTCCAAGCCACAGCAGACGCTGTAACCCTCCAGCAGTTTGACTTCACCCTCAAAGGCGCACTTCCTTCATTGTCTCCTGAGACAGACGGATGCCAACAACAACAAGATTGCAAGAAAACCGCCAATATCTTAAGTGGCTGAATGGCAGGATGAAGGCTAGCAAGTGTAGCTTTTGCCACCATACTGCTTCTGTAGAAATGACAAATCTTCTCCATGGTGTTTGCTTTCAAGGGTTCAGAAGCTCCCTTCCAGGCCAGAGGTTTGCAAGCTTGTCTCTTTATCAAAGCTAGGAAACAGGTAGGTTCTTTCTCCAACTCTTGCGTGCTATCCATTGTATTCTACAGCAGTTGTTCTCAGAGTATAGGGCAAGCCGTCTTGGACTGCGTGGATCACCTAGAAGGGGGAATAGGATCCTGACGCAGTGGAACCTCTCCTCTTACCAAGCAAGTCATGTTTGGGCTGAATGCTCTTTAGCAACAGATATTATTGATTCACACTGGACTGGGGGCAAGGACTACTGCCCCACTTACCCAATCACCTCAACTTTGTTACAGCATAACAACTGCTTGGTTTGTATGGGGCATTCCTGTGTGGTTTTAGGATGTGTGTGGGGTGTGGGGTTAGGGTAATATGACTCCATTCCCCTTTCTAATGCCAGAGTTGGATTAGTTCCCCAAAGCACAGAGTGCATGTGCATGAATGCATGCAAGGATCTATGCATGTTCTGCTATGGAACAGACAGCTGGTGCTGGGATGGATGGAAAACTTAGAAAGCGGACATGTAGGAGGGAAGGTCAGGGTCAGAAGGATGGGGAATAGCTGCTGTTTTCCAAAAAAGCAGAAGCTAGAATCGTGGCAAACGTCTTGTCCTTTGAAGAGGACAGGCAGGTTGGCTTTAAGTGTTGTCTCAGTCATTTCGGCTGGCTTATTTGCAAGGGAAGGAATTAACTTATTCCCAGTTGTCCCTCTTTATCCGTGAGGGCAAACCTCAGGGCAATGCTGTTCTCCAGACAGCTGCGTGGGCCACTGTGTTAGGATGCACAACCCACCCTCTTCACAGATGGCCAGGCTTTCTAATGAAGTCAGCACCATTTAGCAGTCATGGTTTCAAAGTAACGGAGGGCATGCATTTGAGAATGTCTCTCTCACACATGTGAATTTGGGAACAGTTTTCTTTTCCTTACAGGTGCAATGTTGGGCAATCAATTCACTTAAAAAACAACAACCTTGATTTTAAAAAAGAAATCAGGTGTGCTTCTGCCAGGGCAGGGAAGTAGATAAAAGTTGCTCTAAGAGCCACATTTTGCACCAGGCAGCTGGCTTTACATATTTATTTATTTATTTCTATTTTAAAAAAATATCCCATACGTTCAGTGCCAATAGTATGGCTCACAATCAAAAAGCAAAATTCCAAAATTCCAAGAAGAACAATGCCACTCACGATAAAAGAACAAAGAGGAAAGTAATACAGAAATACAGCCCCAACAAAATCAATAGTAAAACCTCCCAAGAACTTAAAAGCTGCCTGAAAACAAAAGGACACCCTTAACGGATAGCTTCAGTTGTACGGCTCAATCAATTTATTGAACCAGTCAACAGACTTCACAGTAGGACTCAGACATCTGTTAACATACAAAAATGAGATACAATATCAAATGGCTCTATTGACAGGTAGGGACCCTGGTTACATTGGCTTGGGAAAAGATTTCAGCCAGTGTCCTCCTTGCACTCAACATAATTTTAGCTACGGTTTCTGTTTGTAACAGAGAAGAAATGAGAAGTGTAATATGCAATCCTGGGATCCAAAATGGCTATTATTGGGGCAATCAGCTCTGGAAATCTCTATAAAAGTTACAAAGCAACAAGATGTATTTCATTTTCTTCTGAGCCACAAAGACATCAACTATCAGGTTCAACTGTACTATTGTTCAACAATCATGTTGACTCTTCTGTATATTAAGCTCTGAGATGGCTACTGAAGGACAGTGTCGCACACACATAACACGCAAGGCTAGGAATTACTGTGTGCACCATCCACCTTATCTCTATTTCACAGCGGTGAGAGCCACTGGCTACAATTTACCATCCTGTGAGCAAGCAAAACTGTTGTTTCAATGGCAGAGCCAGTGATTTCTAACCAAGTGGGTGGAGAGGAATTATGCCACGTAGTAGCTAGAAATAAGACAGTTTTGCTGCACTGGAGAAAAGCCGTCAATCTGAAGCTGATCGTCAAGTAAAGGTTCCATACAGAGAATGGTTGGGAAAACAGTAAGAGACGTATTATTGCTCCATAGGAAGCAGGCGTAAGCCTGTCTCAGCCTATGCAGCTTTAAGGAGAGGAAAGCACCACGAAATGAAAGTAAAGCATTTGAGCTGGCAACTCATTAGCTGGCTCTTAATTAGGAGAATGATGAATGGACTAAAATTTGAGTTTTCTGCCTCTGACTAGCATTAATTTGAGCGCGTGATATGAGATCTGAAACAGCACCATGTAACTGAAACCTAGGATTTTCCCTTAGAAAAAAGGAAAACACATTTGCTTCACCTGCTGATACAAGGTAAGAAAAAAGAAAAGAGGGCTGCATCCCAATCAAGAAAAAAGACGAAATTGTGGGCAACCACCCAGGTGCAGAATTAGTATTTTAATAATCTTAAACCAAAAATGTTTAAGGAAAATATGGAATGAGATACAATACTCCTACCTAAGAAACGCAGTACAATAATCTCAACATGTTTTATGGATCGCTGTTCTTCAAGCTACTCCTTAAAAACAAAAGAAGAGACAAACTTTCTTTTCAAAGGCTAAGAGAAGAATGGCATGCTGATAGCAAGGTGTTTTTATGAAGTTACAGCTACATTCTGCAGTCTAACCACACAATGCAAGGATGATGGTTTAGCCACAGTGTGGTCAAAAATAGGAAAAAGCTCCAATAAAAAAACTGAAGTGCAGGTTGCAAACAGGAACGTGCTATTGTGCTCTTCGTTCCCTGAGCAATGTGAGTGTTGGGATAGCCTTTGTACTGTTCGCTTCCTTAACAGCAGAGAGGCCAATGGTGGTTATTGCAGAAAAACTACAGACAAGGTTGATGGAGCAGACAGCATAGGTAATGTCCTGCTCCAAGGCAAAAACTCTGCCTGTTCCAGAAGCCACCAGTGTGTGCTATTGCTACTAATTTCTGTAGTACAATCCCCTATGCCCTGGTTTGCATGACCCAGGAAGCCAAACCATACATTATTTGTGCACTGTATGAAGAAGTGCCTTCCACCTTATCTCTGCTGCCACTCAGTTTCACCAGATGACCCCTGGTTCTAGTACTTTGAGAGAAAGGGGGGTATATTTGCTAAAATTATACATAGAATGAAAAAAGTGAACAATCTCAGTAATGTCTCCCCTTATTCGTCTTTTTCCCCCCTAAACAAGACAAGAAAGCCCCAATTGTTGTAGCCTTTCCTTGTAGGGAAAGTGCTCCTCTCACCCCCAATAATTTCTATTGCCCTTTCCTACACTTTTTCTAGCTGTTCTTCTGGAGATATGGTGACCCAAATTTGCACACTATCTCAAATTTGACTCCACAATAGATTTGTATATAGAGCATTACAATACTGGCGATTTTATTTTTTTATCCCTTTCCTAGTAACTCCTAGCTGTTTTAGCCTAAACCAGATTTTTCACTAAGCTATCAACCATGACTCCAATATAATTTTCCTGATCAGTAACTGGCAGTTAAGACCCAGTCAATTTATACTGTGAAGACGGGATTTCGGTTTTTTGCCTCCCTATGAACAGCACTTTACTTACCTTGAACTACCTTTGGCATTTTGTTGCCCATTCACCTGGTTTGGAGAGTTCCTTTTGAAGCTCCTGGCAGAAACCTTCCATTTTTACCATCTTAGTTTACTTTGTGTCATCCACAAATACCAGTATGGTATAGGAGAGTGTTGGGCCAGGAACTGGAAGACCAAGGTACAAATTGCAACCCACCCATGAACCTTACTGAATAATCCTGGGCCACCATAGACACGAGTGATCTACCCCACAGGGTTGTTGTAAGGATAACATGGAGACTAGGGAACCATGTGCACCACTCTGAGCTCTTTGGAGGAAAAGCGGGTCTATAGATGTAATAAATAAATAAATAAATAAGCAAGCAAGCAAGCAAGCAAGCAGCCAAATGATTGATTGGAGGCCAACTGCATTAGAACTTATGGCTTCTAAGACAAAGTGGTCAATCGACACTGTTTAACATTCAATTGACTTCAGTCAATAATGTCAAATATATCACAGCAATCCAATAGTACATGCTCACAATTCTACTTGATTTTGAACAGTAGCTGTGTCTCCTCATTTAGTTCATGTTGTCATGTGTCAGAAAGGGCAGGAGCGACTGCCCTTTCTATGTGTGTGTGCACTTGCTTCTATATCTGTGGACTCACAATCAGGGGCGAAGCTGCATGCTCCGGCACCGGGGGTGGAGAGCAGGTGGGGGTGTGGCTGGCGCGCATCCCAGGGGCATGGTGCGCGGCGCTTGTTGGGGGGCAGCTGCGATGGTACCCCCTCCCTGATGGTGCTATGGGCAGTACATTCCCCCGTCCGCCCCCGTTCCTCAGCCAGTGCTCACAATGCGGCTCACTCAGCAGCAGGTGCTGCCCCTTCTCTCCTCCCTCCTGCACTCTGGCAACTTGCTTTCCATTTCCCTCACTGCCCAAAGAAGTTGGCAGCTGTATGTGAGAGGTTCTTCTGCTAAGTTCTGCAAACCACGGACTCTTCTGTGCACCTCAAACAATACTGGCATGCAGACTACGAAACAAGGCCTTACTTTACAAACTGAAGCAGAAACCCACGTTTTCTTCACTGAAAACTAAAGCAGCTTGATTCGGTTTGGTGCCTCCCTTGTACGTGCCGAACATGTCCAACACTGCCTCTAACCGTAGATTTCGCTTGGCTGAGACATTTCAAAGTCCGGCTGCACATGGAATTACAGAACCCGACCATAACATCCCTCTTGACAACAATACCACCCATTATATTGTTTTCCCCGTACAACACTAAATTACACCTAGCAGAAGCCAGTCAGCAGCAGGAAACCAGTAAGTGCTGCCACACTTCCTATGGGAAGGGGTGTTGTGCTTGTGTGGGAGGGGAAATCTTTTGAAGAAGGAAAGTTTGCTGAAAGATGCCGAACTCACTTCCTTTACAAACACGGACAGGGACAAGAAGAGGTGATAAACGGAATACTAGCACCTGTGTTTCCTGAGATTCTTGTGAGCAGCTGTGTAGGTTCTTCAAGAACAATAATAATTATTCGGCTACCAAACTCAGCTCAGTCATGAAGTTGACTTTGGGGCCGACCACCATCTCTCACACGGATTTACCTCGAAGGACCGCTAGGAGAATAAAAGTAGGAGGAGGAAACAGGCGCCCCATGTACACCGTCCTTAAAGGAATGACACTAAAGTGTAATCATAAATAATGGGTTGGATCCTGACATGTTCTTCATAGAAGGAACCCAGATCCAGCAGAGGCTCCCCCTGGAGGGCAGGGTAGGAGTGAAGCACGCTCATTGCCACTGGGATTCAGCAGGTTTGTGACAGACTTAAACCACACGCAGTGTTGATTGGCTGGCAGCTGTGATGTCATGATCCCATCTCCCCATCACCATCATCCACATAGGCATTTTACAGTCTTTGATGGTTTAACAGCGGTGGTTTGTTGTTCAAAAATGAATAAATAAAAAGACAGACAGCCTACCTAAAGCATGGCGGCAAAGGAAGAATTAACCCCAAATCAGGGCTGGACTTGCTGATATTCACATCTTTCAAACTAAAGGATAGTGAAGGTGGCAGAAAGCAGAGTTGGGCCATGGCAACGGCTCTTTTGATGTGTACATTTGTGTGCACACCTTATTGCCATGGCGTGAATGAAAAGTAGACTAATGTATTTTTGTCGATTGCTGAGCCTCAGTAAATTTTGTTTTGGTTAAGCTACAGAGGATTTTGCAATAGCTACTTTTGACTCATTTGGTTGTCTGTATCCTAACCTCCTCTCAACAAGGCATCATCCAGGCAGGGCTGAGAACGTGCCCTGTCTGAGACCCTGGAGACTCACAACCAGTCACTGAGCTAAATAGACAAAAGGTCTGGCTCTGGATATGGCAGCTTCCTATCTTGCTCCTATGTCATCGCTGAACCAGCGGATGAACCGGATGTCCTAAATAACTGTTACACACAAGCATCTTTGGGAGCTCCTCCAATACCACCTGACTCAATTTTTTAAATCTACCAGGGTGGGTGTGTCTATTTGCAGTCCTCACTAGGATTTGTGATTTGGGAACATGCAGCAGGGCCTTCTCCGCAATGCCACCCTAACTGCGATGTCCACTGTTGTCCTACTTGTTTGCATTTAGACATCAGTTGAAGGCGATTTCATTTACTCCAGCCTTTACAATTTGCTCACGAATGCCTGACCACAGTGGACTATTCTGTGTTTGAATTATTTTGTTCATTTACATATATTTTTGGCTTTCCCGTGCATTTTCTTTATTTATGTATTTTATTGTTTTATCTTTTGTTGTATATTGCCCTGGGCTTCTTTTGGAGGAAGGAGTATTTGCAATAAATAAATAAACTGATAAATAAATAAAACATGATACTCTTTTATTTTGGAAAAAGCTGCTTCTAGCGACCACCACCCTGCCCCGCCCCTGCTCACATCAAATCACATTTTCCCCATGCAGGGTTCCAAACATTTTTTATAAGAGTAACCGAGAAATTTGTCTTAGGAGACCAATTCTGGAACAGAGAATTGGTGGCAGGCTCCTCAGTCTTGCAAAACTAATCTCACCTGGTATAACTGCTTGCAACAATGGAATGGAGGAGTGGTAAACAACATACAACCAAACCAAACAAACACAATGCAAAGGTCAGCTTTTGTTGACTCTTTATAAAATAAAGTTGCCACTGAAGTTTCCAGTTTTGATCTTAGCAGTGGCACTGAAAGAAGTGGTGCTTAATCCTTTCACTCTATGCCATTTCCCAAGCTAGATCATGCCCCTCCAAACTTGCCATCAACCTGATGCAGGGGTGCGTGGGAATATAAGTCCCATACAGGGAGAAACGTCAACTTTGAGCATATCAATTTGAATGGAGACAGAAATTGTTCCGTCAGGTTGGCTGAATCCCACAGCTGTTGAAAGGAGTTGCCCTCTCTATGGGAACAAGACTGCTGTCATCTGACTTCTTTGCATCCTGCCCTAGAACATTGTGTCTTTGATGCAAACACTTATCTCCATAGGGCTTTAGAACAAGGGAAATGTTTTGCAATTGTACAATGGGCACCCAACTCTGTTTCATTCCAACTACTGGTAACAAGTTCGGTCAGAACCACAAATATGAAACATGAACTTCAAGGCAATACAACTCACAATAAGAACCATGACAGAAGATCATTCCTAGCCGTTTCTGCCTTGGGCAATATTGCAGTCCAGCCAACTGAAAAGCAAGCCTTCCCACTCTCACAAAGCAAATGCCATTGTATTAACAGGTCCGTCAGAGTCAAGCAACAAAACTTTTGAGTGTTCCACATGCAAAAGAAAGTCATAGTGTCACAACTTTCATAAGTGCCCAGTAATGAAACAAAGACAAGAGTAAAGATAACAAATATGCCATGCACCCTTGATACTGCTGGAAGCAAAATTACCCACTCAGTAGATATCTCGGAAGGTAAAAAACAACCATCTCAAAGGGATGTTATAAATTCGTCTTCCTCTGGCTCTATTGGTCCATTAGCATAGCTCTTTGGCTTGACTAAGGTCAGCATCATGGCCAAAGTATCCTACCTCTGAATGAGAGAGCCTGCAACTCCTACCTGCTGAAGACATTCTTGGCACCTCACTCAGGGCAACTGAGTGTTTGTTGTAAGCCATCCCTGCCTCTGGGTTTTCCCAGCCCCCACATCACTGGCTGTCACTAGCAGGAGTGGGCAAATGCTCTGGGCAACAATAACAGGAACATAGGAGTAAGTTGTACTGCACATTACAGACAGGGCAGGACAACCTCAGCATAACGTAGCTGCTTTGGCTGTTCTGCCCTTATTCCTACAATTTTATTACAACTCACTTCTCGACACCATTTTTAAGAAATAAAAAAGGTACAGTAAATTCCTGTATTATGTAAATCCCGCCATTATGTTGCTTTGTAAAAGCTGCATTAATTCATCACTAAGTAGCAGACCATCAAACAGTTGTAATAACACTGAGGAGCTCACCACTGCAGGAAAAAAAAAATACTGAAGTCATAATTCACTTGAGTCCTTTAACAGTTTTTGCAGTCTAAATGTCGACGTCGCAATCATACAAATGCCAGTTATTTAAAAAGACAAATAGGCAGTTTGGTCTCCTGACGGCTTTCAATGTGACATTCGGGTTTTAACTGACCTTTACATCTGCTCTTTTACTCTCTCTTTACCTCCTTAATATTTTGTCTGCCCCTCCTTTCACCTTTTGGCCCAAGCTTCCTGTCACTTACAAGAGGCCACCATATTTGTAAAGCAGCTGTTCAGTCAAGCTAGGGCTAGCTAGGTGTCCTTGCACACAGGAAAACAATAAGGGGGTGGAGTCCCTCCCCCAGCTGTGTGTTAGTTAGTGAAAGATTATAGCAGAGTTGGGAGGGGGAGGTTGCCAGGGTTACAGGGGGTGTGATGTTACCACGGGGGGGGGGGGGAATGTCCTTTTTACTTGAGGCATGGGTTGCATTTTTAGCAAGGGTTTGGGGACGAAGAAGGGTGGAGCCAGAGGCCATGCGGGCTGAGGGACAGATAAGCTGTGAGGAGGAGACAGAGAGATGGCGTTTGGGCTGCTTTTGAATCCAATGATGCGCTGTTACAGGGAGGAAGCCCTTCATGAGATGTGATGCTCTGATCCCTCACTCCATCCAGACTCGGGGCTAAATATGTAGAAGTAAACCATATTTCATAAAGACACTACAGCTTCCGCCATGCCACATTTCCCCTGAAGGAAACACCAGCCCTGGCTGAGCACCAAGACTGCTGAAATCTCGAACTGCTCAGCAGAGATTGGAGTGTCCAGTAGCAATACTTTGGAGTTACAAATACCAGAGCACATGGCGAGATGATCAAATAATAATCCCTAAGCCAGTTCAACTAGAATGAACCTGGTGCAATCACTGGGCAAAGTAGAAACTGTGCATTTCTGTAGAATCATAGAATCAGTATGAGAATTAAGCATTCTACAGTCTTCTCACTGGGCAAATCAAAAGGGCACTCCTTATCGAAAACAACAACCACCTGAAACAGTCAAAAGCTTCTAACCCAGAAGGGCTAAGTTATCTTGCTGCCGTAAACAAAAATAAGTCCCCCTCCAGGTATATCTTCTTTTATTCACGTTGTAAGATGGAAATCGTGTTTCCTGTGTGAGGGTTTTCCTGATTGTATTTGCAACCCCTTTCCCCTGCTCCATAGAAATGAATCAATACTTTTGCTTCATTCATTTCTATGGGGTGAGGAAAGAAGATTGGTAATCAGGAAAACCTGGCAGGGGTGAAAGGCATAAATTCCTGAGGAAGCTGATGAAATCATGATCTCTTTGAATAAGGTTTCTGAGGATCTTAGAGCCTTGGAATTTTGCCTCCCCATGTGTTGTCTGCTCCTGCCCCATGACAGTACTATTAGTTTATTGTTTGTGTAACTGATTCAAGACAGAGGAAGGGCAGTGTATCACGGCCCTTTAAATGTTTACACCTCCGAATTTTCTTTCAGTTGTGAGCCAAAACCTGGAACAGTCAACTTTGGACTGATCTCAACACAGCTGTTGTTTACATAGGAGCTCTGGGGACCAAGTGAGCTCCTGCCACATAAATGTCTTTCACTCGTTGACATATTTTGTGTGTTTTAAATGCGCTTCATTCAGGATATTTTGGATGTTCCACAGAAGTGCTGCTAGTAAATGTGCTTATAAAATGTGCATCCTATGTTTATGCTTCCTGTATGTACAGTATGTACACATACACACATCACCTGATACAGCAGAGAAGCTGGATGATCTCATTAAACTTGATCAAATAATGTGGAGTCTGAAAGAGTTATCAGCAAATGTCCTGTTCCAGGTGCCACACAGGAAGAACAGCTGGGAGCTCACAGGGCCATCCCAATCTTAAAAAGTCCAGATTTAAGACTAGCATGAGAAGCAAGGTCAGAGCCAAAATGCAGGCAACACAGGAACAGTCCAAAATCCAAACACAGGGTGTGGGGGGATATCTAGTGACCAGCTAAGCTAGATAAACAGAAGTCAGGGAACTGGAGCAAAGATGCTGCTCTAGCACTCGGTCTGGAACTAAGGGCTTTTAATTTGAGTCTCCACTCATGACACAGCTGCAAGCCATCTTTATTGCTTGCAGATTTGGTGTATTCACATACAGTAGCTTACTCACAAATATTCCTTTACTCCTAAAGTGTCTTTGGACACCTTTAGGCACCTCTGTTCCCTAGGGCTTGGTGCCTACCTGGCATCTGAAGCTGAGAAGGGGTTACCCGGGTTGTGAATGAAAGGATGGATCGCTGAGGGTCTGGACCCCACCCCCGGTCTACCTCACAGTCCCTTGAGACAGGCTATGTTTCGATCTGGGAGCTCCAGATCATCCGCTGAAGAGGATTCCTCAAGCTGGGGCATGAGAGAAAGCAGTAAAATTTTAAACTGAGTTTTTCTTCCTCTAATGCTATGCTGTCATGAGCCCCATGGCCCTGTCAGAATTGGGCATGGATTGGAGGAAGAGGAAGAGGAAGAGGAAGCAGAATTACTGAAGTAATTGATCACAGCCTCAGGGTAACTAGCAAACCTACCACCAGTAAGGGGCAATATCTTATAAAACTGCCAAAGAAAGTAATCTAGATAACAAATGCCCTAATTTATTTCCACATGCAACCCATGTATTTTTCAATATAAAACTGATTTGGCAATGCAAAATATTTGTAATGCTCCAGTCACATCTGACTTGTTGGAAGCCAAAACTGCAATTAGCTCTCTTCTTTGCAAAGCAAAGCTGTTTTGACAGTTAACTTGATTTTTCACACCTTTTCAGTTTCGAAAACCTTTCTTGGGTCAGCATGCTCACCAGGCATACCTAATGTATGGCAGAGACAGGCAGAACAGTTTTGCCCAGTTAGGAAGATTTGTCATAAGTTGCCTGTGATTCAGCTTTCATTCCAGAAAAAGGCACACAAGAGAAATTCTGAAATGACTAACTTCGATATGACTGCAGACTAACCTGCAGCTTTAAAAGATGGGGGTTAGCTAGACATATAATGCCCAGGTCTTTTATAATGAGCAGCACCAATTTTAACAGCATTTTAAGCAGACCTCCTTCCCCTCACCCATGCATAAATCTTCTTAAGGTGACAGTTTTCAGTTTAGAGAAGGAGAGGCACTGATTCCAGTTACTGAAAGCTGAGTTGGAAAAGGTGAAAGGCTGTACCAAGACCAAGTCCAATGAAATAGGGGAGGGAACATTGTGGAAAGTGGACTAGAAATACGAAGAGAAAATAATCTTGGCTGACAGGATATTCAACGGCTTAATAGTACTCTTAATTTCAGTAGCATGGCCAACTGGTCACCTGGAAACTTTTGTCCATAGTGTGTGCTTGTCACAATAGTATCCAACACTCCAGGAATGGAGAAAATTCAAATGGTTAAGCATAATGTTAAAGCAGGGTTCCCCAACCTTTGGGGGTTGATGAGTACATTTGGAGAATTTAAAGTGTTGCAGGTTCAACCACAAAATGGGAGGGGGGCATTACCAAAATATTGAGGGTGTTCTGTCCCTGTGTTCTCTCTGTCCTTCAGGTTGTGTTCAAGTGTTTGCCTGAACACTTGAGGGCTAAAAGCATGAATGATCTGCCCAAACATCTCCAGGCTCCTGCCAGTGCTTGGAATGGACTAAATAGAGTTATTGGAGAAAGTGACTCCAGAAAAGTCCAACATCAACACTGAACTGATGCTGTTTCATCTTAAACAAATTTGCCAGGGGTCATTGGGAAAATAAATGAAAGCAAGCAAACAAAAACAAATCCAAAATATCAAGTGGCCAAATCCAGCTCTTCAGAAAACATTTTCATCCCAGTGTGCTTCAAGAAGAAAAAAGTCTAAGTTTTCCAGGAACAAAATTCATTTAATTAAAAAAGAAAATTACTTGTGCTGGATCCATGAAATAGTTCCATTTACTCAAAGGTTTTTTTTGTTTTTTTGCCCAAGTCCCACTTTTCTGAAGTTTCCAATCATTCCTCTCTTCAGATCTGACAGACATATAACCCTTTGACTAGGTTACCAATATTGTGCTACTGTATCCGGCTAAAAGAGTAATTTAACATATGGCACAGCAGGGAAAGTTTACAAATACTAGAAAGGAAGGAGTTTGAGCAGCAGTGGCTAAAATTACAGCCATAAGATTTACAAGACCAAAGAAGACAGAAGAGAAATGCAGAAGGCAACCTTGCAGAATGCTAGGTGTTAAATTCCACAGTCCTTCTGGATTCTAAACATGACAAGACAGACACCGTTTGAAAAACAAAGCAGAAGTGAAGAGAAGTGTGACTACAGGACAAAAGAAAAGGGAGTGTAGCACACGTCGGGAACAAAGCCTCTGCTTTCCTATATATTAACAATCTTGGGTTCCCTCCCCAGTTTTACACAGTTAAAAAAGTCGTAGAAGGCAAGGCTGGGGAGAAGCCTTTGGACGAACGTTTGAACTCCAATTAAATTTTGCACATGATCAGCATACCAGTTTCATGCTGATCATGAAGCACTACGGCAAATGACACACGGTGCCCCCTCCTGCCTTTGGGAATGGCTGATGCCTTGAGTTTTGGACAGCAGCCTAGTATCTTCAAGGCCTTGTGGCAGGGAAAAGTTAGATGGGTGCCAATCTGACCCCCCTTTCACAGAGTTGTTAGGATGCTACAAAAATGGAGACAAAAACTATTCCATATCTACATCCTGCCGTCTTCCCCAACTTGTTGCCATCCAGAAATTTTGGACAACTGCCACCAGCTGTAGCCAGGTTGGGAAAGTCTGTGCTACAGTATATTAGATGTGGGGGATGATATAGGAAGCAGATGGAAAGCTACAGCAGTGCAATGAAGCAGGGAGTTAACTTAAAACAGGGCTGGAGGACCTGTGGCTGTTGGACTTAAACTCTCATTGGCCTCAGCCACATGACCAATGAGCATCCCCATCCATGTCTCCTTCGCAAACACTAGTTAGTGGTTTCCCAGCTTTGGGAAGGAGGTGTGAGGGCTCTAGGACCCCTCCCCTTCCCCAAAAAGGCAGTGCAAGAGCTGAGGGGGGCATTTAATTTTTACCTCTCTCCCCTCACCCCCCAACAAGGCAGAGAGTGTGTGGTCCATGGGTTCCGTGTCGAAGTACTCTTGTGGCCCACTTGGTATGAAAAGTTGGGCCACCCTGCCTTACAGGGTACCCAGGTCTCATCTAGGATAGGATGTGACCATCCCAGATAAGAGGCAGCAGCCAAGCTAGTTTTAATTTTGCTTTTTTACAAAAAAAGAAAAAGAAAAAAGACAGGATCAATTCCAAGGTGCTTGCAGATGCTGAGAGCATTAGGATTTTTCTTCACTGTGTGCTAGACTCTTCAGCATAAACACACCCATCACTGAAACAGACATTTTCTAAATGAAATCAGATGCTGATGGATTTTTTTCACCTCTATTCTGCACTCTGTTTTTAAAACATGGGAGCTCTTTTGCCAACTTTGGGTTTCAAACTTCAATTTCAAAAGGGCTCCTAAACCAGACACTAGTCTTTCAACATTCTGAAAGCAGAGGAATTTTCCATAGTTCAAACTCTTATCCGCTCATTATTATTTTTTCTAAATGCTTCTAGTTATTTGCTCAACAAGTTTACCAACTCTGCCACTTTTGTCACGCAGCTGCCAGAAATATAAACCAGGGTGCAAAAATCCCTCCCTGATGGTGATCATAAGTGATAGCTCTACTTAGCTAAAAAGGGCAGGCTAAGGAGAAAATCTTATTGTTCCCCTGCTATGAAACCTGAAGAATGGAGCATGTGACACCTGTCATAAATCAGAGACTGGCACAACTGTAGAGGAAAAGTTTTCACACTGTGCCATAGTGGGTTGTCCTGGGGTCAAGAAAACAACTGTTCTAGCCTCCTCAAGCATAACTATGAATCTACAAGAACATACAGTTTGCAACAAGTACAGTATGTGGCTGCACTCATGTTCTTAAGAACTGACTTGCTGGCTGAGAGGAAAAGCCTTTCTGATCTAGCCACAAAAATGTTTGCCCCTGACACTCAATTAAGGAACATTGCGCCTTTAACCATGGGGGCTCCATTTGGCTTAACCTACCTACTGTTCACTGATAAATTCTCCATTCATTTAATTTGTTTTAAAACAAACAATCAACAGCTATCTCCATATATCAAGGCTTACAAATTCCATTACTGTGGTTGTTATTAATTCATTTCACATCTATACCATTTTATATTTTTAAGAAGAAAAATCTCAAGGTGGTTTACAACCTACATTAAAACATAAAATCGTGTATTCTTGTAAAAGGGAAGTTGAAAGGCCCCACATCACTTCAAAATTATTGGGAGTTGTCTAAAACACATTATTAGAAGCTCAACTGGAGTGCATACCACAGATCAGGAAAGGCCCCACAAGGACCAAGAGGATGCCAGCGTGGTTAAGGAGCAGAGTCAAAGAAGTTACTAGCGGCAAGAAGGCTTCCTTTGAAAAATGGAAGTCTTTCCAAATGAGCAGAACAAAAAAAGGAACACAAACCTTGGGGGGGGGGGATGCAGGCAGACAAGAAGGAATGCTAAAAAAAAAATTGAGCACATTGCTAAAAATATAAAGGCAGGCAACAAAAATTAATTTAGATATTTTAGTAGCAAGAGACCCTAGGAAGGGTTGGGAAGGGGGTCGAAGGTAAGCTAAAGAAAGAAAAGAAGAAGTTAAGCTAAAGAAAGAAAAGGGAGATTTCCGAGAAGCTGAATGAATTGCCTCCACAGCTGAATATGTAAGTCAGAACTCAGTGCCAAAACTAACTTCCGAGGGACTGAGGCAAATAGTGGCAATGAGAGAAAAGGTCTAGGCCAAACTGCCAAAATGGAAACTGACAAATCCCTGGGTCTACTGTCAATTTAATTCTCTTTTCAATGTAGGATGATTAGTTTTTAACTGTTTTTACTGAAAATCTCAACATTTCTTGTAAACTGCTTAGAAGTTTTATTACAATCAAGTGGCATATAAAAAAAATTAAAAGTTTAAAGGGTTTTGCGGATCTCTGTTCTCTCCTACTGTGCCACATCAAATCAATAGCGTCACTTGTAAGAGGGGGAAAAGGGACATGTTTAATACACAGAAGTCAACCTTTTCTCAATTCTGTGTCCTACTATTTTGAAAACCTTTTGCTTTTCATAAATTTATTTTCACTTTTAGTCTGCATTGAGTCCTCTTTCATTCTTTATTAACTGTGATCTCTCTCACTCTCGCTCTCTCTCAGGTACCACAGGACACATATGCCTTAATGTTTTAAAAAGACAAACAGAATTAAGGCAATGACTAACTCGTTTGTGAATACTGAATAATGAAATGCGCCAAGGTGCAAAGTGATGTTAATTGGCTTCATTTTTTAAAGGTTGGGGGAGCAGAGTAATGTGTTCAGAGAGTGCCAAAATGTCTGAAAGGGAGATCCATACAAAAAAGTTTATTATTTATTTATTAGTTTCATTGATATCCCACCTTTATGTTCAAGTTGCTCAAGGTGGTGTACTTGATTCTTCACCTCCTTGCTTAACTAGCACAACAACCCTGAAAGGCACCCAGTAAGATTAATGACCAAGTAGGGATTTGAACCCTGGTCCCCCAGGTCCTAGTCTGACACTCTAACCATTGACAAGTTTAAGAGAACACAATGGAATTATTTCCCTTACAACCAGAGGAAGAATCAGGCAAAAAAGAAAGAGATCTGACAGAAAACAAGGCTTTCACATTCAGCGCTTTCTTAGCCGGTGGAACTTGCTAACTGCAGTGTCTGTCACTGAAGTAAAATGCTTAGTGGGATTAAAGGATTACACATTAGTATAGTTAATACATCCGCAGCCAAACTGAAGCATTTCAGTACTTCAGCCACCCTTTACTGATTGGCTTTTGGGAAGCTCTTTCAACTGTGGCCAGATTCCTCACAAATATACATGAAATCACCCTTTAAACTTACTTTGGTCCTCAAGAACATTCCTAAATAAGGATACTGGATCAAGTGGGCTACTGGTCCAATCAGCTGCCCTTCTCAGCCAGCCTTAACACTTTTTGTTGGTGTGCCAAGGATCTGTAGAGCTAATGTGGTACAGTGGTTACAGAGTTGGCCCAGGACTGGGAAGGCCCTGGTCAAATCCCGACTCAGCCGTGAAGCCCACCTGTTAGGCCACTCACCATCCTTCAGCCTAACCTATCTCACAGGGTTGTCGTGAGGATAAAATGGAGGGGAGAACCAAGTACACTGCCATAAGCTCCTTGGGCATAAAGCAGGGTAACAAATAGAGTGGTACCTTGGTTCTCAAACTTAAGCCGTTCTGGAAGTCCGTTCCAAAACCAAAGCACTCCAAAACCAAGGCACACTTTCCCATAGAAAGTAATGCAAAATAGATTAATCTGTTCCAGACTTTTAAAAACAACCCCCAAAACAGCAATTTAGCATGAATTTTCCTATCTAACGAGATAATTGATCCATAAAATGAAAGCAATAAACAATGTACTGCAGTCACACAATCAATTAGTAGCTGAACTGGGTTCCACACAGTCACACACCAAAGAAAAAGAGCCACAAAAATGCAAAATAAATAGCAAAAACAGACAGACCTCAGCGTAACACTCAAAACGGAAGTGTGGCATTCAAAACAGAAGTGTGGCACTCAAGTTGGAAGCATAACACTCAAAATGGAGCACATTTGACTTCCGAAAAAAGTTCGCAAACTGGAACACTTACTTCGAGGTTTGCAGTGTTTGGGTTCCAAGTTGTTTGAGAACCAAGGCGTTTGAGAACCAAGGAACCACTGTAGCTACAAGTTGTAACACCATGAGGCCTTTGTACTAGCCTATGAAATGGGTATGAGTGACTGTGCCAGGAGTTGGGGTGAGGCAGCGGGGAGAGGGATGTGGTGCAAACACACCAGCAGAAACAATCTGGTGCTCCTGCTGGTGTGTTTACATTACTTCTAGAAGGATCAACAATTTGCGTCCATATAAGGCAGCTGCTTATGTTCATTGACTTACCTAAGTGTGCTCTGTCACGTAAGACATTTTTCTTCCTAGTTCAGCTCATTTCTGGTAATGGAACAGGACTGAGGACACCCAAAATGACTCAAGAGCAGTAAGAAAATAGGCTTCAGCTCCACTTGTCCTTGCACAACTTCTGCTGTAAAAATTAGAGCACCCCCATATCCCACTTTAAGAGTGAATGGAGCAAATATATGAATTACAGACATGGCTGTCCCCATTATGCCATCTTAGTGGGTCTTAAGCTTCATTTGTTAAGTTTCAGAATATCCCAAATACGTCTTATTTCATGCTGTCGGTACTGTTTCTCAAACTCATTGTCTGCTAAGGAAAATCTCTATGTACTCACAAACAATACTGTTTGGATTATATGAAGGTCAATGTCCTAAGCTGCTTAGCATGGAGCCTGCTTTCTTCCCCTCTTGTTTAAAAACAACAACAACAAAGGCAGTAAAACACAATTCCTTGCCATTTTCCAAAGGAAAGGTTCTCACGAGCTCAGGGACTAATAGTTGAGATATAGGAATTCATTATAAATATTAACTACATGGCCTTGTATTTGAACCACCATGCGTCATTGAAAAGGTGAAATACTGTATTTAGTAAATTCTCGGTTTAGAGTGCGACCATTGGACCAGAGAAGAGCTATAAACACAGAATGGAAGTTGTATAGATTTTTGATGTTAAATTTCCAGTTTATTGGCTGGGTTTCCCCGGTCACTTCTGAGTGGCTCCCAACAGAATATTAAAAACACGATAAAACATCAAACATTAAACAGGGCTGCCTTCAGATATGCATGCTATGTATTTCCTTAGTGTAATAATGTTATCGTAACTTGTCTTTTTGATAAGTAATTTTTGAATGTATTAGTTTTAAAAATTTATAAGGTTTTGCATTATTAAGTATTAATATTGTCCTTGTATATTATCTTTATTTTCACTGTTTTTGCTTATTGCTCCTGATGAATGACATTTATCTCCAAAACACGTCAGCCTCAAATTATAGCTGAGCAAAATAAGCAGCCTATTACAACAAGCACTGGAGCCTGTCTCCTCTCTTTTCTGCTGACCTTGGTCCCCTACCCTTCTTGCTCACCTTAGGGTGTGACCATGACTACCTATCTATCTATCCATCCATCCATATATATTCCATGCATAATCCTAGCCATTGGAAGGGAACAGTGTCTCCCCTGCTTCAGAGAGATGGGAACAAAGTGTTCAAAGTTGTGCTCTTCAGGGCAGCTCTTCACAGTTTGTGCTGTGGAATATGGGAATGGTGTTGGTGAAATCCATGACACTTTCGTAACAGGAGAAGGACACACAGAGACCTATCTCCAACACAGCCTCCTCAGCACATCAGCTTATACTGCAAGATAACTGACAAGAGAGACACTGTGTCTGATGTAGCCATCGTTGCACTAACTGTGGGAAGAGAAGGGGCAAATATCTCTAAACTTTGATCAGCAGACCAACACATGGCACCAAGCAAAAAGGGATTAATGACACTAATGGCATACCATTGGCATGGTTAACCAATGTTTATGTGACCACTTATATCTGATGAAGAATCTCTTTAAAGTTCACAATCTGTTGTCTCTTATTCTAAACAAATCCTCTCTTCAGGTTCATTGGGTGGCCAACTCAAACTTTCAAAGAGGCAGTAAGGTGGATTTGATGCCCCCAATCAATTGTTATTCTATTTATTTATTGCTGGCATTATCATTATTTCTCCATTTTTAATGTTTTTAAGCCACATCATATATCAATGGAAAGTTGGTTTATGGAAGCCTAAAATGAACAACAACAAAAAGCATATTAGCCCCTATATTACAGCATAAGGCTATTTAATACCTTCTGTCAGGGGACCATCCCCTCCTCCTAGATCCCTCTGTCTAATATATATTTTGGGAAGCATGGGAAGGGTGGGGAGGGAAAAGGGAGCAGGTGGGTCCCCTCCCTCCTCCTAATATCATTGCATACAGAGAGGTAAGTGGGTGGGGAACCAGCATGCAAAGAACATTTTTGCCAGGTTGTTGGCATCCTGTATCATCAACTTGCTGGAAATAAAAAAAGGAAGATTTGTACAAAAAATACAGAAAGCTAAAAAAAAAAAAGGCACAATAACTTTCCCTCCTCTGGATAGGAGGCATTTGTTTGACTAAATAAATTGAAAATTGGAGAGGTTAATCAGGGCAACATACATGAATCGCATCTCTGAAGGAGGATCAAGGCTATGTGTACTTCATGCTGATTTTCATACAAAAAGACTGGCAGAAGACTGAGGAGTGGATGCTGCCAATTTGGGTAGGAGGCGGCAAATTCGTGAGCGTGCTGGAGATGTATTTCAGCAACAATACAAATTTAGAAACAGAACACCAAATTGCACGAAAGGAATTGAAGTTCCTTGTAAGGTGGAGAAGCTGCCTTGCTCTGTGAAGATGATTTAGTGTAGTGAACCTTGTGGGAGAGACACCTACTAAGAGAGAGCCCAGGGAAAGGGTAAGGCTATTGGCTAGCTGTGATTGCCATGGAAACTAAAGAACATGGAGGGCCTGAGCACATACTGCTAGCCAGAGATGCTGCCAAAATAGCCTCCCCTTGCAAGCTGATCCAAATGTTAACAGTGTGAGACAGGGGGAGTGTTTACCAAATGGATCAGGATTGTCCTGCTGTGAATCTTCATGCCCTCATGGGGAACATAGAAGCACATGTGATGGCCAATCCAGGAAATGAGCAATGGGATACATTATTGTGGAAGGAAGAAGAAGAGAGTTTGGATTTGATATCCCGCTTTATCACTATCCGAAGGAGTCTCAAAGCGGCTAACATTCTCCATTCCCTTCCTCCCCCACAACAAACACTCTGTGAGGTGAATGAGGCTGAGAGACTTCAGAGAAGTGTGACTGGCCCAAGGTCACCCAGCAGCTGCATGTGGAGCAGCGGAGATGCGAACCCGGTTCACCAGATTACGAGTCCACTGCTCTTAACCACTACACCACACTGGCTCATCAGTCTGAAGTTTGGGGATAAAGTTGCGGGGGGGGGGGGGATGCTACTGGCAATAGGTTTAAACAGATTTACTGGAGCCAGGTGCTAAGAGAGCACCTAAAATTAACTGCAGCAGAGGGCTCAACAGATGTGAGGTGACTGGCAGAGAGGGGAAGACCCCCCAACTGAACTCTGGGGTGCCACAAACAGCAGACAAGTTTCTGAACCAGCTTCCAGATTATGCTATCTCCCATATCCCAAATGTATGAGAGCACCAGTCCCCATATGGATCCAGAGGGTGACATGCTTATTTCAGCCAGAAGCAGTTTAGTCATGCTGGCCACATGACCCGGAAAGCTGTCTGTGGACAAACACCAGCTCCCTCAGCCTGAAGCAAGATGAGCACAGCACCCCATAGTCACCTTTGATTGGACTTAACCATCCAGGGGTCCTTTACCTTTTTACCCATGCTTATTTCAGCATATCCCTCAAACTATGATGCAATCCTTGCTTTCAAGGAATTAGAAACCTGGTGGGCAAGCAGGTGTGTGCCAGCCTGAGATACACTCCCTGTTTTTCAAATTGGATAGAAAAGTGACTTGGGCAGGGCAGAATAGGCCCCAAACTAAAAATGCTAAAATGGTACTATGGAGGAGGTTTGAGTGCAAGCGAAAAGTCATCGCAGTCAGTCCTGTATCCAAGAGACAGAGGTAACCTTGAGCATGTAAACATTCCCAGCACCTTGACAACCCGACACCATAGCAGCTGTGTGACAGTCTAATCAACACGCAGATGAACTTCACAGAGAGCCTCCATTCGCTCCTATTACTAAGTGCTTTTTTGCAGGTATAAATCTTAAATTCAGGTTAGCAAGATGGACTGGGCATATTCACAGCATTTCTGCATTCCACAGAAGTCACACGAAGTCTAAAACCTTCCTGATTTGCAGCAGGGCTTCCATCTAAAGACAACTGGCAATTATTATGCCAGGGCAACTGAAATATGCAGAAGCTCTCACAGCTAGAAGAATTACCCTTTCAGTAAATGTCTAATGTGAGCAACCTTTTGTCTTCTGCTGCCAATACCATTTGAGCGCAAGAAACAGGAATGGCCTTCAAAAGAGGGCAGGAACATTAAGGGCATGGAAGATTTATGTTTCTTAGAACTGGGTCTAACAAAGTGGGAGTAATCATGGCATCACCCTGCAAAGTTATTGTGCCAGCATCTGTACTATTTTCCTGCAGCCACAGATGGGAAGAATTCTCCTGTCCTTAGCAGTGCCTTGACTGAAAGTACTTCTGCTGCTCCAGAGGGATAGGAGTTTAACGCTTACAGAGAACCATAAAAGGTTCAGGGGAGTTTCGCTTCAGTACAAGGCAGTGCAAGGCAAACAAAGACTCCAATGGGCTATATATGGGGAGCAGCAGCTAAGAAGCATATCAGCAGGGAGTATCGAGCTGGTACAAACTGGCTTAGGGGGTGAGGTGAGGAGTGGCATTAAAGAAAGCCAAGCAAGCTACACAACTATGTAGAATTGGTATGTGCAAGTGGCCAGCCCAGGTACGATACAGAGCAGGATAAGGATGTGTTAGTGTTGTTGTTGAATGGATTTCTTTCCCACCCTTCACCATAAGGTCCATGGGCAGGTTGCAACACCACAGTAATACAGGACTAATGATGAAAGCTATAAATGAAGGTGGCAGTTGCACCTCTGTGGACATGGGCATCTGCAGAATTTTATTTTATTTTAGTGGAGGAGGGAGTAAAATATAGAAAGGCAAGGGGCAGGCTATATAGTGTGTGTACAGTATCTATACATTTTGTCTCATACCTCAGGTGGTTTATCCAGGGGGGGACAACTGCCCACACCTATGGACATCCATGTATGTGTGAAGGAAATTCCACAGCTTGTGGCTTCTACCCCCACAAATGTCTCAAGAGTGGTGTGATCTTAACACTTCAGAGGGTCTGTAGGGAATAAGATAGACTTGCAGATATTTGGGGCCTAAGTCCTTTCACAGTGAACGCCAGAAGGACATAAAGCAGTCCTGTCTCAAGTACCAACTAATTTGAGGAAACATTTAAAACACTCTCTAGTCCTGCAGAAGTGGACCTCGGGTTTCTCAGAAAAGGGCAACCAAAATTACCAAGGTGATGGAGCAGCTCCCCTATGAGGAAAGGTTTCAGTATTTGGGAGTAGAAGGCAAGATGTCAGAAGTGTATAAAATGGTGCACGGTATGAAGAAAGGGGTAGAGGAAAGTTTTTGGCCCTCTCTCATAACATTAGAAACTCGTGAACATCCAAGGAACCTGAATGTTGGAAGATTCAGGGCAGACAAAAAGATCTTCACAGAGTGCTTGGTTGAACTATGGAATCTGCTCCCATACGGGGCAGTGCTAGCCACTAACTCAGATGGCTTTAATAGAGAATTAGTCAATTCCATGGGCTACCAGTGACTACTTGCCACACTGGCTATGTTCAACCTTCCCAGTCAGCTGAGTAGTATGCCTCTAAATATCAGTGGCTGGCAATCACAGATGGGAGAGAGTGCTTCTGCATTTAAGTCCTGCTTGAAGGCTTCCTATGGGCATCTGGTTGGTCACAGTGAGCGCAGGATTCCAGACCAGATGTTTCATTGGTCTGGTCCAGCAGGCTCTTCTTGTGTCCTTATTCCCAGATGCAAATGCTGGATTTCTCAGAATCTTGCTACAGCCCTCAGAGTCTGCACTTTGTCTCAGTATTCCTGGTACAAAATTTCTATCTCCTGCTATAAATAGTCAAGATACAGTGGGGTAGAAAAAAAGGATGCAGGGAGCAAGGACAGACACGCTTGTTCAAGCAGAATCCATACTTACTTGGCAGCTCAAACTAGGTATGCATACTATTGTGATTAATACTTCTGATTTTAAAGATGCATGCCAAACAAAGCAGGAATTAGCTATCCTCATATTCAAAATACTTTCTCTCTCACCTCACCTCCTTACATATAGTAGGCAGTAGCAATGCTGTACTCCACTTAAAAAGAGAGAGAGAGAGAAACCTAGCCAACTGAATTGAGTCACAGATATGAAGAACTTAAGACACATAAAGCTGAGATCAGCTGCCATGGTAACCAAGTAACATGGTAACTAATCTAGATTGTCCCAATTTGGAGCAGGGTGAAAAGGAGAAAGTGGCTGCAGATGAGAAACAAGTCAAATTTAAACATAACGCCTAATCTGTTTGCATTAAGAACTACGTAACATCCATTTAAAAAGAAAAAAATGCTAAGATTACAAAAGGCTGGATATGCCACACACAAAGATGAAGATGACGGTGTGTATTTAAGTATGTTAAAACTACATTGACACTGATCTGTTATGATTTGGGACACCTGGTGCCACTCCAGGTTCACTCCAGGTGGAGGTGTAGACGGCAGTGTGGCGGGGGAAAGTCCAGAGGGCCGGATATTGAAGCCTGGGGGGCCACATACACCCCCAGGGCCTGAGACTCCCCACTTCTATTCTGGAGGTACTCAGCTGCAAGATCATGAGAAAAAACCATTTTGCTTAAACAAAACAAAACAAAGAAGTATGCTTGTGCTTTAGCTGCTTAAAACCATAATTTTAAACAGGAGCTATTCAAAGTTATTTCCCCCTCTCTTCAAAAACTGAGGCATCCACTTAATACTAGCACCCAACATGTGTTCTAACCCAAGGAAAGTCTATAAAGTATGGCTGTGAAAAAGCAGTAAGAAAAGATGTCATCATTTAAACAAACTTAGTCTCTATTTTCAGCATGTTTCTAAGTTTAATCCCCAATAGCTGTGTCCCATTAAATATCATCTCTTGCCTGTAGGAATATTATGCATTTATGATAAATGAATTGGACACATGTGGGTGTAGGTGTGTTACAGTCGCTTTTTACAAATATTAGTTCTATTGTTTCATGAGATAATCACTGAGGACAACTGTAATATAAGTAGTTGTAGACTGTAACTATTCTAGTTTATAACTTGAAACATAATAAAAGAGAGGAAGTGTGCCATTTTTAAAATGTATTACTATATGTATGCATGTCAATGATGAAGAATCTCATTAGCGCACACACCTTGACATTAAAACTGATTATCCACGCTGCTTAGGCCTGGTTTGCACAACACAGGAAGCCAAATTCTTTCTTACTAAGAGTTCACAAACAAGCAGGTTCCCAGAAAGGAGTTTAGAACAGCTTTGACCCCAACACTTTTAAGCCAATGTTTGTTCCTTATATGCTCTGCTGTGAAATTTCTTACAGACCAGCATGGCTACATTTGGTTTTTTGGGGAAAACAAAGAGTCAAATACCACACCAGCAGCTAGAAATGCATGCTGTTTGATTAAACTTCATTTAATACGTAACCAAAATACATTTTTCCAACCCTGCACAGCCCATTTTCTGTCTTTCACTCAGTGAGTGAATAAGTTAAAGCATTAGTAATATATTTGAAGCATGGAACCTTCCGAGTGTAAATTAATATTAACATGAGAATGCAGCAAGCTCTGTTTGTCTTGCTATCATACAGATTATTCCCTGGCAACAGTTGCTAAGCAAAACATTTAGAGTTTACTATCCTAAAAGGTTCTGGGCTCCAATTTAGATTATTAGCCAAGTGTAATGTTTCCATGTCAAATCTGGCTCACTTTCCAGGCCTCCTTCTCGGCTGTCTCCTCCTTGCCAGTTAATCAAATGTTGAGTGCAAAAATAATAATAAAACTGACGTGTGGGTAACAGGAAAATGAGGAAGAAGGGAATCTGCAAACAGTCTACTCTACCTCACAAGAAGAAGAGCAGCTAAAAGAAACAGACAATCCAGACTATACTGTGTGCAGCTGACCCATTAGAAGAGATTGGGGCGGAATCTGTGGCCTTCCAGATTTTGTTGTACTCCAACTCCCATCAGCCCCAGCCAGCAGACCCAATGATCAGAGATAGTAGGAGTTGTACTCCCCATACCAGAACTAGTGGAAGACACCATGATGTGTCTGGCTGACAGCAGACTATGAATGGCCAGAGGTTCTAGCCTGCTGGGAGTTAGCTGTCAGTGACAGAGAAAGGGAGTTGAGACTTGAAGGACTTGAAAGAAGCTCTGAAGGAGTCTCTCTGCCCCATGTATGTCTGAGCCCTCTTTTTACTTCTCCTCAAGCTACACCCCGATTGTCTTCAGTTTGTTATCAGTAAGTAAGTTATCATTTTCTTTTCTCTCTGGACCCTGTCCTTGCTTTAGAGGAACCTAGTCTATTTAAAGAGTTGTCAAATGCTTCTTTTGAGATCACAATTTCATCAATACATCCTTAACTGATCATATAAACTGGGATTAATTTCTGACTATCTAATTTCAGATTCAATCCATTGTTAAACCTGATACCCCAGCCCATGCCATGTCTCTAAAATTCAATCTCCACCACCTGTATTTTCACTGGTTCCAATAATATCTGTCCATATTAATTGGTTTATTATATCCATTTCATACTAATAAGGTCCTGCCTTTTAAAGTTCACCACTCTTGCCGCTTTATGCTCTGCTTTTTGCATCTATATTCCTTCCTGTTCCTTTCATTCTCCTTATTCCAATCTTAATAACCCCAGCCTCTCTCAGTTCTTTCCTCTGTCTATTCATACTGTAGGGCAGCACCTTATTGCCAGAAACCCCTTGCTCTATATACCCATGATATTTCATCTTTAGCTACCGTAAAGAACTGCTCAAAGCTCACATCTTTCCCCATGATTTTTCTAACCAATTCTCTTTCTCCTTCCACCCTCTTCAGCTTGGTACCTCCTCTCTGGTTTCCAGTTACATTTCATCCCTTGCTTCTCTCATACATTATGTCTACCTTAGATTGCAAGAAAAAAAACAAAACAAAAGGGAGTATCCCTAAGTGGTTATAAATAAGATTATATTAACCTCTCTTTAAATGTGATATGACCCACTGTGCACCCTTCTACATTTCTACAAAGAGACACAGAATATTATAGGACAAAAGGAAGCTGAGAGAAGAGCATTCAGAAGGTTAGAAATAACAAGAAAAATAGTTCTTAGATTATAAATCTGTGGGTAGATGCAAAGACAATTTAATAATTCTTTGAACAGCATCTAATTGCTTTAAGTGTTTGAGAAATGTTAATAATTACTAGTTGCAGGAGGCAAAACCTGGGGTGAAGCTACCCATTCACAAACACCTGAATAGAGCTTCCTCACCTGGTCATTTGGAGAAGACTTTTCCTTACTCAGAAGACACAAATGAGCGTATATTTACAGGGTTGACATTTTGCAATGATGGCTTTCCTTCTGGTAGGAGGTTGAATCATGCGGCCTTTTGATCCCTTCCAATGTTATAGTTTTAAGACTACAATACTTACCATATCTTTTGCACCATAACACTCACTTTTTTCCTCCTAGAAAGTAAGGGGAAATGTCTGTGCGTGTTATGGAGGGAATATCTAAGGGTGGCATGCCTACGGATTTTCCTCCTCTAAAAACTACGTGCGTGTTATGGTCAGGTGCGTGTTATAGAGCGAAAAATACGGTAATCCTAGCTAGTGATGGAAGATTTAAAAAGCAGGGTCAGGCATTCTGGATTCCTGACAATAAATTTGTCATGATAAATCCTACATATTTTAGGCATGATTTATTACTTCAGAAGCCCAAACAGTTAGCATAACCTCATCAGCTGGAACTAAAGTGTACTACTGCAGGAAAACTTACGAGCACTATTGTGAGACAATAAAAATATATTGCTTCCAGGTGTGCTAAAGAAAGGATCAGGGAGGAGCACTGTAGGTCTTTTGAGTAGTATGCCAAATGCTTTGCTCGTACACTTTAAACCATAGCTTAAATTTAAACTATAGTTTAAAGTGATGTGCAAACCGGGCCGCTGAAATTGAAAACAAGGAGACAGGCTGCAAATTCTGGGATTAAGGCCCATTGAACTCAGTGGTATTCACTTCCAAGTAGACATGCATAGGTTTACACCTTGTGACTTTACTGTGGAGATTTGATTTTTTTTTTAGGATATGTGGAACAAAATGTCTCATGTATGCTACCACCATCAACCTCCTTGCTCACTGCAATGATGGAAATGCATGGCTGAGCCACCAACAGTTTCAAATGCTTCAGAATCTCTGTTTGTTATCTTAGGCTCAAGAACCACCCTTCCTTCTACTTAGGTCTGTTTACATACAGCCTGTTTTAGGCTCCATACAGCACACAGAGTTCTAGAGAAAGGACTGTGGCATTCCCTATAAGAGACTGTTCCTGAATGCACTCTTTAAACTACCTTCCCATAATCCAGTTATGCCATACATGAAAGAAAATGAACAAATGGCATGGGTGGCAAGTATTAGTCAGCCACCAGGGAGAGGAGGTGAGTTTTCTTTCTTCTTCCCAGAATGGCACAATTGGGGCACTATACAAAAAGCAGAAACTGGAGGTAACAGCCGATCTTTTATCGACAGTAGCATTGCTTCCTACTACTTCCCTTCCATGGCCATATCCATTCATGAATATACTGGAAAGCAGAAGCCGGGGCAGCTTGAAAGGGGAAGGTAAACTCCCCAAAGCACTGAGAACAGCAACACATTAAACAGTGAGTACAACAGCCAAGGTTAATGGTGGCAGAAGCGTTTAATGTTTAATGGTAGCAGCAACTAATACAGTGGGTGGGAAGGGGCTGCATAAGCCAATCTAACAGGAAATGAATTTGTACTAAACCAAAATGTCTAGTGATAGTTTCACTGTCCAATTGTTGTTAAGCAGCAGAGATCAACTGAAGGCCATATATCAAGGTGTGTGCATGGCTAGGTAAGCTAGGACAGCAGACTGTGTGCAAGGGAACATTTACACGCTGTTGTGTCTTCTACTAGTTCAGAGGTGGGGATTTGGGGCCTCCGCACATTGCTAGACTACAACTTCCTTTGTCCCTGACCACTGGCCATGCTGGTTGAGGCTGATGGGAGCTGGAATGCAATGACATCTGGAAAGCCACAGGTTAGCCACCTCTGCATTAGTTCTCAGAAAAAGGGATGAGAGGGCACATGGATATTTACAACTCTGCTCTCTAAAGATGCTTAGCTTTAATGATGCACTACAGGGGGCAGCAGGGACAGCCCACCCATGAGGTAAGGGGAGGCAATTGCTTCAGGCAGCAGGATCCACAGGGGCAGAAGATCTCATTGTAGATCTTTATTCCCAGCTTGTTCCAAATATCTTCACTCAACCCTTCTTTCCTACCGGGGAGGGGAAAGTCATTTGGTGGTTTGCCTCACGTGCAAAAATGTCTTAGGCCAGCCCCTGAGCGACTGACTTGGGTACTGGGAAAAATTAGGATTCCATCCATTTCTTAGCAAGCCACTTGCCTTTGTCCTTCAGATCGTCCAATCTGGTTCATACAAAACTGAGCTGCAGAAACTCAAGAGAAATGCTATTAGGCATGTGATGAAATTAATATCAAAACCACCATCAACAATTGTCTCCTCAGTTCTCCAAGACAACTCCAACAAGAATCAGGGTTTCAGGTGTAGAGAAGAACAGCATAGCGTCTTTTCCACAAATGGTGTGTGTGTGTGTGTGTGTGTGTGTGTGTGTGTATATATATATATATATATATATATATATGTTCTCCAGTCTGTCGTCAACATTTCAGAAGCGCATTTGATGCAGTAGGAGATGCAAGCCTGTAAACACAGTGAATTAAGATCAGATCTGCTCACCTTCCATTAATAGGGACACTTTGTACAGGATTTAATTTCTGGAACAAAACTGGAATTCCTGATAATCTGAAATTTTAACTAAAAACAAAATAAAACAGAGATGACTAAGTAACACTGGGTTCAGGGAATTTAAGCGGCGCTTCCGTGTCCTTTGCGGTTTTTTGGTGCATGCTGTGCTTCTATGTCATATCCTCTTCCTACAAACAACTTTTCGGCTCTCCGGTCTCTCACATTTCTTCTCTCATCTCTGGGCATAATATCCCCACTCTGCACAGCACCTATGGCTCTGCAAGCACAGCATGCAGATTAAACAGGAGTAACCAAGCATGCAAATTAAGCGTGTTTATGCAAAATTAACTAAAACTGCATATTTTGTGGGCAATGCTTTTGTTTGTTTGTTTCCTCCCCAAGGAAGAATGAACGGCTTTGACTCCTAAAATATGCCAAGATCATAACAAAGTCTACAGCAATAAATGTTTCTTCTTCTCCTCCTTTAATGAATCCCAGCTGGGTTTTCCTGTTGCTTCCCCAGTCGCACCATAGGTCAAAACACACACAAGAACAAGGCACTTCAATCTCACAGCACATCTAGTCTGAAAACTGACAGAGCTTTGGCAGCACGACACACCACTGTTTCAACACTGTCACATCTTTCTTTTTTTGTTCCTCTCTAAGCTACCTTCCTCTGCTACCCACAACCCAAGTTACTTCAAGCCACAATACTGTGGGCTTTTTGAAGAGGCTTGAAATCGATATTCTTCATGATGCTTCCTCTCCTACACAGGAATCAATTTAAGCTTTGTGTTGTTTTTGCTAGCTGTTGTCCATAATGTGATACTTAGCAATAGAAGACAATGAATCTAGAGCAGTACAATGACGATTAGAGGAGGTGGGTGCATGTGAAGTCATTATTAAAGTAGCCAGACAGATAGAGGAAGGGGTAACAGAAGGGCAATAGATTTTAGGTTTGCCACTACTTGCCCCAACAATGGAAGAGACAAAAGGAGAAAGTCAGGATCCAGCCATGAATGAATCAGCAGAGACAGAAGATTGACTCACTGAGACGTATTTAGAAAAATAAAGTTGTGCTTCAGGGCTTGGAAGCATATTTAACCTCTAAGCAGGAAAAGAAATACTGTATTTAATTTTAAAGCATTATTTCCCCTTTACTTTCCTCTAGCTATATCGCTTCACGATTCTATTCCTTTATTGTGAGCTCTCAAAAGAGAGGAAAGCACTGTGAAGAAAATGCAGGAGAACAATAAATTCACAACTACATTTTCCAGATGCTCTGTAAAAAGCGAGTGGCAATTGTCAAGTAAACACCTGGTATGGAAACACCCTCTCAGTACAACTGTTTGTGGACCATGCATCCATGAATAAGCAAGACTCCCAAAATCCCAGTTCAGGATCCGGCTTGGAAGCCATCTTCGAGCATAAGGCAGGATAGTACACAGCAATCAACACCAGAGGTCTCAGATAAAGACACATTATTTTGGGACAGAATCTGCTTAAAATATTCAATAAAAAAATTGAAACCTAGAAGAGTTATCCAGCAGTCAAAGATATTAAAACAATTTTTTAAAGTCCCCACTGCAACAACATGTGGATTTTAGGAGACAGCTCAAAAGGAATGATCTTGGTAGTCCTTGTGAAGTACCGTACACAAACTGGGAGCACAAATACTTGAAACACACACTTAAAGGTACCGTATTTTTCTGTGTATAAGACTAAGTTTTTTTCCTAAAAAATAATGTCAAAAATTAGGGGGCGTCTTATACACAGATACATCTCCCCCATTTTCTTAAATCTGAGTCCCTCAAAATAGAGGGCATCTTATACATGGAAAAATACGGTATTTTAGCCCCAAATGCCTTCCAGTTTTGATGTCCAGTATCTTGTTTGTCAGCCTTTCCCTCCTGCCAAGTTTCAGATTTTCCATACTAGTCCATGGCAGAGGTTTTTCCAGCTGTTTACAAAGACGGTATCAGTTTTAACGTTCTTACAGCACCATAGTAATGAATAGAATATAGCCCGTAAACAGCAAAACCATCAATCAATCTTTATTACGGTCAAAGACCAGACAACAGAAATAGCAATAGCAATAATAACACATATATCTGCATCAGTACCAAGGAGCAGAAGCAGTTGACAAAACTGAAAACTCATTAAGAGGAATTCCTGAAAAGCAATTGCAAAGGCCTCACTAGTAATGTGCCAGAGAATGGGTACATCAATTCAGGCAGCAGAATAGGTGCTTCTACGTATATTGCTTACAAATCAAAAGTTACCTTCTGTATTTACAGAGTTCATAGACTGTAATGTCTACATTATTAAAACATTAAGGCAGTTGGTAGGCTAATATGTTAACCTTATTCTATCATACTTTAAACATTGTTACGTGCCACAGAAGGGTGTAACTATGAGCATTGCAAAATAGTCACTATAAGGTCATCTGTACATATATTTCAGAGGAAATGTTGAGAAATAAGAATTCCCTAAACTGTTGCCTTTTATGCAACTATTTAAATATCCCCCCAACTACCAATGGCTGTTCAGACAAGCACAGAGAAGGACCAGTCAAGGCTGAAGGCAACTGATTGCATGATACTATATATGCCTACATAGTGTAGGATTGAAGCATGAATCAGGGACACTGAACAAAACCTCAGCCTTTACATTAAACCACATCTCAGGTTTCCAGGCCTTGAGGCAGAAAATGCCCACTCACACATATAAAATAGCAAAAAACAAACCCTCTCACATTTGCCAACACTATGATATCAGCACTTGGTTTCATACCACGCTGAGCCTGATTCGCTTCATCCCATCCCTCAGCATTCCAAGAACAGGAAACAACCAACCCAGCCACATCCTCATAATAGGCTGCATCCAAGTGAGGGAGGAAAAAACGCCTAGTTTCCTTTTGCATATTGCTGCTTTGCAGCAACTTGAGCGCATTCCCGACTAGCAGATTTACTCCCAAGGAAGCTGTTCAAGCTTCCATTGTGAGCAGCAGCCTGCGCCCTCTCCCCACCAAGCAAGGAGGGTAAAGGTGAGGGGCTGGGAGTGTCAGAAAGCAGATGGTTGGGCACTGGGTGCATGTGAGAGGGGAGAAACTGAGCTGAGAAATTTGGAGAAATCAAAATGGAATGAAAGTGTGAGAGAGAAACAGAAGAGAAAGAGAGAGAGTAGAGGACAGAGGGAATGGATAATGTGCGGCATTTGTAAAGTGCCACAGATTTTCCACTTTCAGCCTCTCATTGCTAATGTAAATTAGGTTGTGCCTGTAACACAGCTTGGATTGATTTTGAGTGGCTTCTTTGTACCCTGCCAGTTTGCCATTTGTTGAGGAGGGGATAGGTAAATCATGGTCAGGAAAGGCTTCTCTGCATCTCTCCCCCCAGATAACAAAGTCACATGCTTTAATTCTTGGTTATACCATGGTGTAATTACACTCACACATAAATAGTTTTGCTATTTCTTTAATCAATTTAATTGTTTTTACAAATGAGATTAATTTAAGCATGCTAAGGGGTGATTAATGCACATTAAGTGATCTTCAATGTGCAGCCCAGGAGATTTTCTGCTGAAAAGTAGAAATATATTGGCAAACTGTCTTGGACCTGCCACTGCTCACCACCGTGATGTGAAAAACCTCTGAAAGCAAAGGGAAGCAATGTTTGCTTTTATTTCTCTGAACCAAGCCCACAATAGTTTCTCAGCTCCATAATAACAAGCCTCTTCATTAGGTCCTCTTGTTTCCCTCCCACCCAAAAATCACTTATTGGTTAGATATATTATTGCAGTCTCCCCACTTTTCACCTGGCCCCTGGAATCAAGCAGCCATGCCAAATCTGCAGATTGGATCCCCTATTAGGGTGCAAAGGAAAATCTAGCGGTAGTGAACCTGCCTTAAGAGCTTGTGCCAAGGAGATGTTTGACAGGCCCTGAAATTTGGAACTTCTGCCAGGAATGAACTCAGATTTGGCTCCCTGCATATGGATCGCAGTCATTCTTCAGACATAAGTCCTATAAAATTTTCTGGGGGCTTGCTCCCAGGTTAGGATTGCAGTTCTGCTTGCTAAGGTGTGATAAATACTGTAAATATAAACTGAAGAGTGCCCTCCACACACTTTTCTGTTTAGAGAAGCAGAAAAACTTTAGGAAAAGTCATGTGTTTTAAATGTATGGTTTATAAGATACGTATAGGGAAACAGAGCAATAGCCCCGCCACCAAGTGCCAGGTGTCAGGAATATCAGTACAGTGGTACCTCGGGTTACATACGCTTCAGGTTACATACGCTTTAGGTTACATACTCCGCTAACCCAGAAATAGTGCTTCAGGTTAAGAACTTTGCTTCAGGATGAGAATAGAAATCGTGCTCCGGCAGCGCAGCGGCAGCAGGAGGCCCCATTAGCTAAAGTGGTGCTTCAGGTTAAGAACAGTTTCAGGCTAAGCACGGACCTCTGGAACAAATTAAAATACTTAACCCGAGGTACCACTGTACAGCAGTATGGTAGGAAATGGATACCAAAGAGGAAAACTTTACAGCACAATAGGGAGATAACTCCTTGGCTCCAAACCCTGTCGCAAACATGCTATTGCCCTTCACTGTTAAAATACAACAAAAGAATCAGAAACAGGAAAATGAGTCTTTCCTAATTTTACTAAAACTTCCAGTTAGTTGCAAGGCCATTTGTTGGCAACCTTTGGGTTGCTTCAACATTCTGTCCTTCCTCTCCCCGCCCCCCATGCAGCCTTTATTGCTGCAGACATTGCCAAACAACCCACTGCCCTTATTACGTCTATTCATTCCTGCCCAAGACTTCATTTTGAGGCCTTGATCTTATCAGCTCAACGTTCTGTTGCTTGGTGCAGTTTCTGAGACAGGTATGATAAGACTTAACTCACTAAGTAAAAAAAAATCTGTTGCTGCTTTATTAGGTCATGTCTAGCTATGAAGAGTTCAGTCACAAAGCAATCCCCACAAGTGGAGTGGGGTGAGGTGGGGTTCCTCAGGCCTGGGTGTTCTCTATCAAACCCTCAGGACTGCTTTCGGAGTTCCAAAGGCGGTGGTTGGATGGTGCCTTCCATGCCTTCTTCTGGCAACTGCAGCAGCCAAGCTGGTGCCAAACATATTGCTTTGCTTTCCTTTGGACCACATCAACGAGGTCAAGAGGAAGGTCTTGTCGTCTGGGCAGCCCAGGAACTCCATACACACTGCCCAGGCTTGTTCTCTGGGGAGGTCACTTTGGTAATAATAACAACAACAATAATAATAATAATTTATTATTTATACCTCGCTCATCAGGCTGTGTTTCCCCAGCCACTCTGGGAGGCTTCCAACAAAAGATTAAAATACAAAAATTCATCAAATATTAAAAGCTTCCCTAAACAGGGCTGCCTTCAGATGTCTTCTAAAAGTCAGATAGTTGTTTATTTATTTGACATCTGATGGAAGGGAGTTCCACAGGGCGGGTGCCACCACCAAGAAGGCCCTCTGCCTGGTTCCCTGTAAATTCGCTTCTCGCAGTGAGGGAACCACCAGAAGGCCCTCAGCGCTGGACCTCAGTGTCTGGGCAGAACAACAGGGTTGGAGATGCTCCTTCAGGTATACTGGGCCAAGGCCATTGAGGGCTTTAAAGGTCAGCACCAACACTGAATTGTGCTCAGAAACATACTGGGAGCAACTTTGGTGCTGCTAAGCAGTGGTTTGACTTCACCCTCAGAAAAGCACTCCATTGTCTCTTGAGACAGATGGATGCCTACAGTCTGTTCATAGTGGAAAACATCCAAGTGGAAACTGGAAAACATCCACATGGAAAGTCTCATCGTATGTCCACCTACTCTGCTGAGATGTGCTCAGTAAAGCTCAAAGACAACCACTCTCTACACAGTGGCAGTGCAAAGAGTTGCTTCATGATGAGAAATGTGTTGTGTAAATTAACCACTGTGCGGAAGATTTCACAAGCCAGCTGTTTATGGGCTTGTTGGACCTAAGCCCATGGTGGAAACTAAGCTTTGGGATTTCCCTGCCTGGCAAGTATCTGTTCCAGGCCTGACATTGATCTCATGCTACTGTAATTAATTTGTAAAATCTGACTGACAGGTAAAGTTGCAAAGCCACTGTGGACTCTGCCACCTCACAAACAACAATCTGTGGTCCATAGAGGGGTTGACTGAGAGCTAGTGAAGTCAGAGATGGGTAATGTATGGCCTGTAGGCTAGATGCATCCCAGAGCTATTATTTCAGAATCCTTCTGGCCCTAACAAAAATGTTTGCAATCTGTAATAGGAATGGAGATTCCACACTTTAATGTTAAATCTTTAATGTTAAAGGTTTTGAATGTATCACTGTACATATCTATGCATTATGTTATGGCCGGGCAAATGTGCCTTACAACTATGAAGCCCTGATAGCTACATGGTGCCACATTTATGGCAAATATATTTAAGGCATCAGTGAGCATTAGAGAGTTGCTTTCATGCTGCAGAGCAGCCTTCCTCAACCTGCTGCCCTCCTGTTATTTACTGAACTTCAGTTCCCATAATTCCCGACCATTAGCCATGCTGGTTGGCACTGATGGGTGTTTCAGTCCAAAACAGCTGGAGGGCACCAGGTTGGGGAGGACTGTTCTAGTGCAAGTAAAGATGCAATGATAGCCAGTGTTAAATCTTTCTCAATACATTGCACAGATCTGCACACCCAAAACTGTGGTTGATATTACTTCATCTTCATATCAGTAGCTGCTGTAGTCTAGCAGATATTGTGTGGGGCTGGGAAGAGGAACAGAGTTTCAAAACCCTAATTAGTCATCAGAACTTCAAGCAGACGTGCACAAATTAGGACTCAGCCGATTGTAACATCACAACTGACCAATTTACCCAAATGCAGCTTCATACATGGATTGCACAGCTCACTGCACCACCATACTGATAAAGGGCAAAATATTAGGGATCACTCCCTAAGCGTCATTAGGGGCCAAGCTTGATGATGTGGGAGGAGGATAAGTTAGGCTGCAACATCATAGTAGGTGTATTTCTCTCCTGTGCTAACCTTTGGGACCCAGTTGTGGAAAGGAAGCATCATACACACACACAAACAAGTGGGAATTATTTGGTGGGCATCTGGGAGGGAAGTAATAATCTGTAGGGGAAACCTGGATGGGAAATGAATCTGCAGAGAGAGAAACATCTCAGTCAGGTCATGCAGGCTAAGGAGTAGTTGCTTAACAACTTCAGAAAACCCCTGCTTGGTCAGACAAATCTTCATATTGCCTAGCATTCTGTTTCTAACAGCAGTGAGTCAGGTGCCTCTGGGAACCACAGAAGCAGGGTGTTTCAAGAGCAGTTTTCCATGCAGAACCAGCCCATAATAAGCAACATATTGTTATGACTTTGCAAGTGTTTGCCATGCCTAAAGAAGTGTAGTTTACCAGTCCAGGTCCTAATGGCCTTGCAGCCCCTATCAGTTTTGAGAGTGCATGGCAGAGGTGGGCAGAATGAAGATCAGCATCTACTGGTATGCTCTGGGAGATTTGCAGTTGATCGGCAAAGATTTCCGACTCCCAACTGCTTAATAATTGCAGCAACAAAATTATTTATTCTACTTAAATCAGGCAGTTAAAACAAAGTAACCAGGACTTTGTACAATTTCGATCACAGCCAATATTCTTACCAGCTGCAGTAAGAAAAGTGGGAGAATCATAACTGCTGTTGCAAAGGATGGGCTTTATTATTTACCATGTAGCATCTAGGAGGTGGCTCAGGCATTTTCCTTTGAGTAATAACCATATTCACTAGCATCTTAATGCAGACTTTATGGTTTCTGCTATGGCTTGTTTATCCATACATCAGCTTGTCTCAAAGGAAGGGGTGGGGGAGGAAATTAAGAACATTGTGGCATGCTTTGAAAAGGAACACATGAAAGCTTCTCGAGGGAGAAATACAAATGTGCTGAGAAACCCAACCAAGAGAGGTTATTTTATAGAGTATGAGTTATGGCCTTTTTTTTTTTACTCTAAGGGTGGGGTCAGCAATTTAAGGGGGGGAAATGGGCCCTTGGATGACCCTAAGTAGCACTTTAGATCCCAGATGAATTGTCCAGAAGTTTCCTAGAACAAATGGCTGATGTTTACTGGGCATTATGTGTGAATTGAGCTAGTAAGTTCATGGCAGAATCATAGTTGGCAGCGACACAGTCATGGGTCATCTAGTCCAAACCTCTGCAATGGAGGAGACAGATTACACCGCATCTTGTGCTTATATTATCTGAATTTCCTGCTTTCTCTTATAACCAAACAGTTGTAATAACAGAAAATTTGTGAAGGAAATGTTAATGCTTTCTACTCTAAATAAACCATTTTTCTATACTGTGAAAAACAAATCAGTTCTAATTTGATTCTTCCCTCTGTGTGTGTGAGAGAGAGAGGCAGGAGAATCGTCCTTTCTCCATCCTCCATCCTCGCCTCAATAAACCACCCCAATAAATGCCATGCCAGCCCTGTAATCAAGGCATTCAAAAGGGAAATAAAGAGAGTCAGATGATGGTTGGGGTTACTATAGTGTGTGACTCTCTTGCAAGAGGCCATTGGTAGAAGAAGAAGAAGAAGAGTTTGGATTTGATATCCCGCCTTTCACTCCCCTTCAGGAGTCTCAAAGCGGCTAACATTCTCCTTTCCCTTCCTCCCCCACAACAAACACTCTGTGAGGTGAGTGGGGCTGAGAGACTTCAAAGAAGTGTGACTGGCCCAGGGTCACCCAGCAGCTGCATGTGGAGGAGCGGGGAAGCGAACCCGGTTCCCCAGATTACGAGACTACCGCTCTTAACCACTACACCACACTGGCTCTCAGTGTGGACAATAATTTGGATACTGAAAGCTACTGTCACAGGATGTTTACCCTTTGAGAAGGGGAAATGATTTGGAGGTTAAAGGTAGGGACTGAACTACAGAACAAACCACAGCTTATTCTTCACATGTTCTGTTTCTTTCCCAACGGCTGTTGTCTCAAGCCTTTTTACTGGGATGAACATCTGGGATGGGGGTCAAACAAACCATGGTTAAGGAAAGGTGCTGGGTTCACATGTAAATTACAAGTCATAGCTTAAACAAAAGGTTTATAAGCCAACAACTGAGCAGGGTTTCATATCAAGGTGGTTTTTTTGCAGTCAAATCATAGTTAAAGCGCTTTGCAGGGTTTCCTTCTATTCCCTTTTGAGTCCTTCTATCCAAGAAAATTGGCTCCGAACAGGAGATTCAGTATACCTTCGGATACTAGCTCTTGGAGACAAAATAATGTGATTTCTTTCTTGCCTTGCTTTAGAAATGCGATTTGTTCTGTGATTTGTTCTGTAGTTCAGTCCCTACCTCTAACCTCCAAATCATTTCCCCTTCTCAAAGGGTAAAAATCCTGTGACAGTAGCTTTCAGTATCCAAATTATTGTCCTACCAATGGCCTCTTGCAAGAGAGTCACACGCTATAGTAACCCCAACCATCACCTGACTCTATTTCTCTTTTGAGTCCTTCTATCCCTTTTGAGGCTTGCATGGGGTGGAGCAAAGGGGAGGAGCTTTGGGTGGGTGGAGCCAAGAGAAAGTGCCAGTCCAAGTAGCTTGGCAGGGTGGGAGGGACTTGCGTCATCCCCACCTTTTGCAGGCACTGGTGTCCAGGTGTAGGCCTTCGGTCCTCACTAATCCAACAGTCCCTTCACCTGTCCTTTCTGTCTGCTTGCCTTCATTGCTGACTGAAACCTCAATACACATCCAGAAAAGAGCATTCTACCAGAGGCACAGGTGCTTTTCATGTATCACCTTCTACAACCCAGCCAGCTTGCATTCACGAAACAGCTACTACAACCCAGAATAGTGCATGTGGCAAATCAAGGTTTACAGCCAGCCTTTGTTTGATTTAAGGCACAGCCGTCACCCTCCCTCCTTACCCTCCCTCCAAGCCTAATGGAAAGCAGTTTGTGAAAGTTGGATGGCTTTCAAAATCAGCTTTCAATTGCGCCCAATTTCTTGTGTGAATTAGTAACATACTCAGCAGACTCTGACACACCCCGTGAAATGTAAAACTCAATAAAACAGTTCCACAGGGCACATATCTGGGGTGTATGAATTAGTAATACAAGAGACACTATTTGTCCGTGTCTACAAACTCAGGAAAACCTCCCACATCAGTAACACAAGCAGCTACCTTTACTCTAGAACAATTTGACTCTTTTGTTGGGATCCTTCTGGGAATTCACAACACAGTGCAAATAGTGTTTGTGAGGTGACAGCTAGGGCACCATGCATTAAAAACATCCTGTATAATGTGTGACTCCTGCAGAGTTGTTTGTGAGACCTCTAAACATAACCTTCCTACTAATAGCTATTCTCTCTCTCTCTCACACACACACACACACACACACCATATTCCTTTGCAAATTAGATTTCAGATTGCTTACGCTTTCCATGTGCTCTTAGAGGCCTCTCCTTTAAAGTCAAGGTTGGGTTATTATTCTGTTTAACTGGTTTGCTTTCCAACCTGGGCTAGCTAAGTAGAAACATTCTTCTTGTCAACCCGTAAGTTAATGTTAACAGCCTTGTGGGCAATGTATGCTAGTATAATTTGACACCCAGAGGACTTATGAGAACACAAAATTAGCTACTTTAACCTGGTGAGTTGCCTTCCTTTTTAGGACTAGTTTACTGTAACAATTTTAAATATAAAAGAACACAAGAATGTATTCTTGATCCTAATGAGAAAATAGGTTTAGTCAGTGCAAAGAACAGCTTGGGGTTGATAGGGTGGCTGAGTGCATCATTTTCTGAGTCAGGCTTGCTGTTTACCTTTGCAAAGATTACAAAGCACATTTTAAAGCCAACTTATAAAGGGGACTGCCATAGAAGTAGCTGAAATGTTTCCCAAATAAGGGACATATACTATTGTCCACCGAGATGCCATGTTTGGAAACACTGGGCATTGTGAGCAAGTTTTTCAAACAAGGGCCATGTAGCAACCTGACTTCCTTTGGTTATGAAACCAGAAGAATCTCACTGGTTGCAAAATTAGCAGTTAGTTGCATGAGGTTTCAGGAACTGTTCGATTCTGCCAACTTTACAACAGAAAACTCTAACCTGCCTGCAACATGCCACAACTGAATGAGCCCAAGTTTCATTGAGTATCAATAGGAAACAGTGGTTAGCCTATAAGAGCTGTGCCAGGGCTACTATAGAAAGTTATTTTTACTGGGGAATGAAAGGTCAAGGTTGGAAGTTCTATTCAAGCAATTCAACAGGAACTTCCAAAAAAAAATTGTATTAAAAGAAAAAAAGCACACTAAACCCGTAATTTAAACCTCATGTGGAAAGTGCAAAGCCTATATGGAAATGTATTTAATGTAGATGTATGTTTATCATATTTTGAATATGTTTATGAATTTTTATTATCATATTTTATTCTTGAAAATTGCATTGGGACTTGTTGTGGGAAGTGATTTGTAGATTCAAGAAACATAACCTAACCTCTTTCTTTTAAATGATTGATGCTATCATGAGCTTTTTAAAAGTTTTAAAATAGAAAACCTGCCTGCAAGACACACACTTATGCCAACACCACGCATGAGCAGAAGAGCTGCACAGTCCTTTTCAGGTTTGTGAGGTTCCAAGGCTGGCTTTTGAGAGAAGGCAAAACATAGACAGACTAACAGAACAGCACATCTATTTCCGTAGTCTCTACACTAACTGGCAAGGTTTCAGAAAGGTGAACCCTACCTGGAGGTGCCCCAAATTAAACCCAGGATCTTCTGCAAGCAAAGCACTGAGCTATGGTCCTTCCTACACACCAGATATTAAATCTGTTCACAATTCCCCTCTGCCTGGGTCAAGGCTTATTTATTTATCTATTGATTTAAACGCTCAGGCAGCTTCTCTCTGTATATCGCCGTAGACAGCAGAGACTCAATGGAAGGTGAGAAAATCTTGCTGAAATACCACCAAGGGGAGACACATTGAAATTCAGGGTCCAATCTACATGGAAGTTTTGTTGTGAAAACAGATGTGCTGTCACAGGCACTGGTGACTTTAGCCCATTTTTCTCCCTGTGGTTATGAGGCCAGCCCCCATACCAGAAGCCACACTTTCTAGCCTATGAGAAACATACTTGCTTTGTCACACTTCCTACCTGAAAGTACCAGACTGCAAGCCACAGCACAGCCAAACTCCAAGCACATTTCTTTTGCTTTTCAAACTTTATGAAATCACACCAACCACTAATATATCGCCCTTGGGTCCCTCCCTAAATCAGTAATTCCCCATACTCCTCCTTTCCAACTTCTCCAACTTGCTGATGCTATTCCTCCCCCACTGCTCATCATCTGTCATTCCCAAGAGCACATGCAGAATTATTCCTATCCCCTCCAGTTTCTTATGTCCTGCAGTTTGAGAAACATGTGGCTACCCTGCAGCCCTCCATATGCTGTTGGACTACAACTCCCATCATCCACCACCATTAGCCATTCTGGCTGGAGCTGATGGGTGTCAGAATTCAGCAATATGGAGGGCAGAAGGTTCCTCATGCTTAGTTTACAGAGAAATGCCAAGTGGTGTTGCAGATCTACTACTCCAAGTGCTGCTTTGGTCCAGAGGACAGCATTAATAATGAGACTTTGATCCAAATCCCATCTTACCTGCAGATTCACTAGATAGCTCCTATACAAGGGAAGAGTGACTTATAGGGATACTATAAGGAAATGTTGTTACACACCCTGAATGTTCACAGACTCACAGATTTGTAGAGTTGGAAGGGACCCACGAGGGTCATCTAGCTAGTGCAAAGAAGGGATGTAAGAACTTCCTAATGTTAGTTTTCCAGAGTAACTGGAAAATATTTGGAATACAAAATAATTGAAGTTTAGGTTCATTTAAAATAAGGACTAATTTGTCAGACATACTCCTTGCATCCCCAAATCAGGGGATAGCCTACAAGGAATGCCCACATGACCCATTCATCTGCAAGATTGCGTAAGTTCCATTAGCTGCCAGTTGGCTCCTTGACAAAGTTCAGGGTGCTGCTGGTTTTTAAACTATAAAACCAAACAGTGTGATCCTATGCATTTCTGTTCAAAAGTAAGTCCCAGAGTTCAACTTAATTCCCTAACAAGTGCCTTTAGGACTGGAGTCCTACAAAGCTTGAGCTCACTATGCCTTAGGGACTATATTTCTGGACTAAAACTCCCACCATACTTAGCCACAGGACATACCAGCTGGGACTGGTGAGAGGGAGTCCCAACAATACCTGAGGAGCCACAGGTTCCTGTCTCCTGCCTTACAGCAGACTGTTCACAATGGGAGCCGATCTCGTTAAGAGTGACAAATTCAGCTCTGCTTGGATTTTCCCCATGGTTAAAAGGTTAGAATAACAGGGGCGCAGAACAGGGTCTGATGAGTGCCCCCAGCACTTTGGAATTAACTACTAATACTATGAAGCCTTTTAAAGTTCTTCCAGTTGTCATGTTAAGATGCATACACTAGAAACTTCTCTTCTACCCAGTTTCAACAGTATTTGATATTTTGTCTTGAAATTATGAGCTTTAACGATACTTGATTTTTTATGAAGGATTAAAAAATGTTGTTTACTGTCTTTATATGCTGATTTCATGTAAATTCTGCTTGGCATGTAGACATTAACTGCAAAAAAGAGAGATAAAATAATTGGTCTACGATAGATGAGGGACAAATCCCTTTGTTCTACCACATACAGAATTTCTCCCTTTGCTGCACAAAGTTTACTAATCAAAGCGTCATGTTGTTCTAAGAAAAAAAGGGGGTGAGAATGAAGAATCATCTGCCCATAACTCTTCTGTGGTAATTTAAATCTCTCAGTAGCAACTTCTGCTGCATCCCATGGGCCAGCGATTTAACATTCCCACCACATGGACTGAGAATTAAATTACCATTCCTCTCCCTTTTGTTGTCATGCCAAGGTCATCCGCCCTGCACCCCATTCTTCAATGAGCACCCTTGTTTTCCGGGTTTGTTTCTCTTGTCTTTATTTTCTCTACGAACCCTTGTCAAGCCAGGATGCGTACCGCTGACGGGAGTTCTTTAATTAACTTGGCCTCCATTGAAGGCACATCATCTTAAAGTATCTATACATCTTTTCATAAACTAGGCAAGGGGAACAACAACAGGGTATTCTCCAATTAGTCAATCCCTCGGACTGATACATTCCCACCTCTATTCAGAGCTCCTTGGGAGGGGAGTCACTTGTTGCTGTTTTTAAAAAGATGCTTCTTTTACCCACCAGAGTTCCATCAAAGTCCTTTTAATGTGGCAAAATACATACAAAGCTCCAGCCAGACACGCAGAAGCCATTCCCTCTGCTGACCTCTTCTGTGTGTCACATAGCTAGGAGGCAACTTTGCCAAATGCTTCCCCTCCTCTTCATCGGGCTTTGCCGTCTGACAAATGACTAAAGGGAAATGTTTAAGGGCTTAGGATTCCAGAGTGAGCTAATACAGGATGCCTTTGGTTATTGGGGGGGTGGGGGGCAGAGAGAGAGAATGAAGAAGCTAGAACGCCTCCTAACCTCCCTCCCCCGCCTCCCTAAATTTAAAAATGGGATGAATGTTACCATTTTTGGACATGAGTTTTGCACAAGCCCAGCCCTAAACCGCACCATTCAAAACTTGAAGTGAGCCACCATCCCGCTAGCGAAGGGCAGAGAGCGAGGGAGAGCGTGGCTCTGCGCGCAGGCGGGTCACGAACACCAACCAACCCAGCCCATCGGCCTGACATAGCCCCCGCTTAGGATAACCTGGACCCCCACTTCCCCGCTCCGGATTCTCGCCCTACAAGAAAGAACTGCAGGCCGCCGGCACGAGGCCGCTGGCCAAAGAGATCTGGATTTCCCCCCGGGTTGCTCGACCTTCCCAAAGACACCTTTAGATTTCTGGCGGCTGGAAGTGGGGAGGGGACAACCCCTCCTTTTTAGCAACTTTCCTTGGCGGGTAACTGCTTCGGGAGAGGAAGTGTTGCCGTTCATAATGACACTGTGTGGCAGGGAACACGCGCTAGCTACGCGCCGCCCTCCCCTCGGGCGAAGGAGAGGGAGCCCCGCTGCTTCCACCTAGCAAGGCGGCGGCAGCAGCAGCAACAAGGCGCGCAAACTGCCCAGCCACATACTTCCCTGCTCGAAGAGCCCCTCCGGGAAGGTGGCGTTGCGAAACGCTGGAGAGGCCAGCAGAGCCAGCCTGTCTCCCGCCCGCAGGCGAGGAAAACATCTGTTGCTGGAGGAGGAGGAGGTGGAGGAAGGAAGGCAACTTCGGCGCCGAGGCATTGAGCAACGCGAACGGCTCCGTCCCTTTACCTTCCGCCACACTTTCCGCGGCCGACCGCCTTATTTCAGCAGCGTCTCCCCCTCACCCCGACCCACCTCCCCCTTCTGCACGTCACCTCCGCTGCTTTCGCTAGCAACCTCATGCTTGCCTCTGACGGTGTTTCTTTTTAAATAAAAAAGCTTTTTATTTTAGAAAAAAAGGCTACATACGGACAAAGCATGATCTGGCAAAGCTGGTCTATTCCGAACGAAATAGATCCCTAGGCAAGCCTATGGAACAACTTTAACCCCTGCCCTACTGCGCGTGTGTTTAAAAGGGAGTTCTTGGTTATTATGAGCCCTCTCCAATTATTGCGCCCTGGGAGCGAGACGCCACCGTCCACACAAGACATTATTTCCGTGTCAGATTGGCGACGGCGGAGGAGGATGCGAGCGAGCGTGCGTGAGGGAGGGAAGCGGCAAGATCTCCCTTGGAGACAAATCCTTAGCCGCGCTGGGCTGAGCGTCGCGCCCACCCCATCCCCGCCGCCCGCCCTGGCACTAGAAGACGGAGAGGAATGGAACGGCGCTGAAATTATTCCACGAGGTTCCCGAGGAGAGAGCGGCGGAGGCGCAGGAGACGGGCGCAGCAGAAGCGCCCGGTATCCTGGGCTCAGCAGCTGCTCCGGATCTACACAGCGTGGGCAAAAATCAGGGGGCAAATGGAAACTGCACAGCAGCATGTGCGGGTTGGCGGCGCCCCACGGGATGCCGATCCCACACGCTCCCTCCACGCTCCCAGATTCCGCCGCCGCCGCCGCCTCGGTTTCATCTAGACTGATGGGGCTTCTGCTCCCCTCCCCACCGCCCACCGCCGGAGGGAGGCGAGATTCAGGTTTACCTTCCTCTGTTGCTTTTCCCAAGCCGGATCCAAAAGTAGATCCCTGTCCCAGTCGTCCTCGGGCTGCATGTAGTCGTTGGTTTGCTGAGAGTCATAATGATCCATTCCTGCGAGAGGCTGCCGGGGGTCCTTCGGTGCTGCTTCGCCTCGTCGGGGCTGCTGGGCTCGACAGCTCCCTGCTGCTGCTGCTGCTGAAGGCGCAGCTCCACTTGCAGCGAGAGCCGAGAGAATAAGGCAGCTCCCCCTGCCAGATCGCAACCTAATCTTCGCACACACCGAAAGGGGTGGGGGACAAAGCGGCCCTGCCTCCCGATTGACCTTATTGGTTCAGCGGAGTTGCCCAAAGTTCATTTTCGAGGGCCACCCTAACCCCGATTGAGTCTCTCCGGTGTCAATCGCAACTTCCAGCAGCTCTTATAGGTCGGTTTAAGAGCGCTTTCCTCTCCCCCTCCCGGCTCCAGTTTCCTTTCCTCTGCACATGTGACGTCTGAATTTCATCTGCTCCGTGGGAGCGGCGTGGTGACGTCTCCCTTGAGTTCGGGGGAGATTTTACAGTTCTAGTCCCAGAAGCTGCTGAGAGGACAAATATGCGGTTTTAACCTACTGGTGCCCGTGGTCATGTGTTGCAAAGCAATGCAAGGAATGTGAGGGGACTCGGTAGGATTCAGCGCCTCCTTTCTCTTACGTGGAGCATAGAGTCAGTCCTCGTTACGAGAAGTTCGGTGTCTGTGAGAAGCTCCTGCAGCAGAAGACACTGGGAAACAAAGCTGAAATGAAGTGGGGTTTGTTCCCACCTTTGTTTTACGTGCTCTCTCCCCGCCCTCTCATAATTTAAGAGGAGATTTGCTTCTGGTTGCCTACAAACACTTCACACCTACAGCTCTTAAAAAATAAAAAGAAAGGCTTGTGATTTGTTTTATTTTTTGAGGGGAAGGAACCCAGCATATTCAGTAGATTGCCAAATTTGAACGGAATCTAGTAGCAAAATTTCGAAAGCAACATTTGAATTTACTAAATGCTTACCCACTAAAACTTCGATCTCTGCAAGGACAGAATTTCTGAAGGGCATTTCATCCTTTTCAGAATACTGTTATTTTAGGATAGCAACATATTAAAAGGGTTTGTGAGAAATACTTTGTGAGAGTTTCCAATCCAAAAGGCAAGACACTTTGAATATTGTTGGATCAAGACTAGGCCAGGGAGGAGGAACCTACAGCCATGCAGATATTGCCAGGACTCTCAGCTCCCCCCCCCCAACCATGGGCATAGCGGGGGAGGGCAGCTGCCCCCCTAGATCAAGCAAAACAATCGAAATACTTAACTAACTGACCAATCACATCAGTTCTGCCCCTCCCCTAACAAAAGTCCTGCCCCCCAAAAAAATCCTGGCTATGCACATGCACCACAACTCCAGGTGATGGAAGCTGCAGTAACTTTTTTAGCTGTGGTCCTGTGGGAATTACGAGCCCATAGGCTCCCTATCCATGCCCTGGAACCAATTTAGATGACTCTGGAAGCTCACAAACAAGGCATGAGGAGGATTACCAGAGGCCTCCTTCGTGGTATGTTCCCAAGCATCTGGATCTGTGAAATCTGCTGCACTCAACCCTGAAGGTTCTTACTCATTCTCATGCCTTGTGGCAGTAGAAAGACATATCCGACATATCCATCTAGGTGCCATTGTGACATGGTGTGGCAGCCAATTTCATATGTACTTCCTTGAGTTTGTTCTCCTGAATCCACTGCTAACCAACTGCACTGAGTGACCCCAAGTTAGTTCTAGTCTATGAGGGGGTGGAGTGCTGCTTTCTACACCAACCATGCCTAGTCATATTCTGATTTTATGCAATGCTATGGCTTATTATCAATTATTGCAAGTAACGAATTCCCTATAGGAAATTGCATATTTTATTTTGCTGCTGTTTAACTGGACAAATTGTAGAAGCTTAAAAAGATGGATTGTATCCAACTAGGTTTTACTCAGAGCAGGATTACTGAAATCAGTGGACCAAAGTCATGTCTATTAATTTCAGTTTGTCTACTCTGAGTATGACTAACACTGTGTACATTAATTTAACCAAAACTTTTATAACCAGGAGAACTTGTCACATAGAAAATTACAGAGTTTCATGTTTTGTTCATATCTACTTTGCACAAGTAAGCCTGTGAAATACAAGTCAATTGATCCTGTGTAGTTACTCTCAGGAAGACTGCACTTCAACTTCTGCAGATGTGCTTCAGAATTTATAATTTACTTATTAGTACATATATATATCCTACCCTTCCTTAAAGGAGCTGAGAAATCACAGCTGGTTCGCGGCCTACTGCCTTCACCCACAAAACAGCCCTGTGAGGTATGTCAGATTCAGATTTAATGACTCATCCAAAGTTACTCAGTGAACTTCATGGCAATTTGAACCTGAGTCTCCCGTCTCTTAAACAAGGTCATCCTTCCAGCACTGGCAGAGGAAGAGGAGTGCGGGGGGAGTGCACTGCCCCTGGCAGTGCAATCCCGGTGGGGTGCCATTGCGGCCCCCCTCGCCTGTTCTGGGCATCACGCCCCTGAAGGCGGCACGCCACGCCATGCCCCCAGGACGCACACCAGCCCCGCTCCCACCTGCTCTCCGCCCCCCCCCCCAGTGCCAGAGCATGAAGCTCCGCCACTGCCTTCCAGAAGGACAAATGTGAACTCGGAGGATAAATACCTGTCCCTTCCATAATTGCATAAGACATAAACTGAAAATACATTTCCAGGAGATGATCCAACTGCACTATACAGCTGGCTCACCTATCTCTATGTGCTAATATTTCAGCAAAATCATGTCTGTGAGATCTCACCAGAACCTGGAAGTTGTGTGACCCCAGCAAGCAACGTTTTGGTAGGGGGCAACAAAGTGGGCAGGCAGCACATGCACAGGGCAGCAGCACCTTCCTGTTTTGCCTCAGGCTGTGAAATAGGATGGACTGCCCTTCTCTGTGTGTGTTTGTGTCCCCTCCCTTCCAATGTAGCAGCTGCATGTATAGCACAGAGGAGGAAGTTTCCTTGCCTCCTATTTTGTCTTGGTGGGTTGCAGGCTGCTTCCCTCTGGCAACACCACTGGGGGAGTGCATAATTCTGCAAGAGAACTCTGCATTCCTTTAAACTAGATTTGGCAGTGCAGCGCAGTAGACATTCCTGGGGTCGCAACTGCTTGAGGTGAAAACTAAAGTAAGATGGCAGCCTTGGTGCTCCTAGTCAAGCGGGGGCTAACATGAGAGAAAAAAGGAGTGGGAGTGAAGCTGGGGTTTGTGCTTGAGAGACTCTGCGATGTGTTTTCCACACTGATCGTCTGGAAACACTGCTTCTTAACTTCCCACCCTTACTTTGGACACCGAAGGGGAGGACAGATTTATGTTCCATAAACAGGGAATTCAGTCCCTCGGCACAACTGTCTTGTTAGAACTTGCTGGAAGGAGCTTAACAAAGTGCTAAGGTGAAGCTTAACAATGAGTCTGAAAGCAACAGTATCACATTGTTGTTCTTTCTGCACAACAATTTGTTGCCTTTGTGGAACATACCCTGAATCACTCTGTATGCAATTCTCCCGCCCCCTGCAGCAGTTCTATTCTTTTCTACACTATCCTGTACTGGTATATTATAGTAGCTTAGGCAAAAGGGTGAAGCCACCGACCTATGAAGAGTAGAGCCTTGATGGATCAGGCCACCTAGTGCAAAATCCTAGTGCAACACCCATGCCCATGAGAAACCCACAAACAAGGACCTGAGCACAACAGCGCACTCCCCACTGTGATTCTCTGGGTCTTGCTGAATGACAGCTTTCATAATCACTGACCACTGGCCAGGCTATCTGGGGCTGCTGGGAGTCCAACCACATCTGGAGGGCCACAGGTTCTCCGGCCCTGATCTAGAAGCAAGTGGAGCCCCAGGAGCAATGTTCATGTTATAGATTCATACTGATAGGTTCATATTTCTCTGCACATTGTATGTATTTTTAAACTGCATCAATAGTGACCCCAAGCATTTATTTCCTAAGGCTGGTGGGGGGGGGGACTACAAGTGAGTGTGGATAATTCGTGTATTATGAAATAGAAGCATATTTGTACATGAATATGAGCTTGCGCTTATTTCAATTAAATTTGATTTTAGTAAGTGTGCCTGAGAGCAGGAGCTTAGACTAATTGCACTACTTATAATGGAAAATTAAGTAAAACTGAATTATAATGGCTTATGGATGCAGGTTCCCTAACTAGGTAAGGTAAGGTAAAAGACCCCTGGACAATTACGTCCAGTTGAAGTCAACTGTGGGGTGTGGCGCTCATCTCTGCTTTCAGGCCGAGGGAGCCAGTGTTTGTCTGCAAACAGCTTTTCTGGGTCATATGGCCAGCATGAAAATTCTGAAAGTGGTGATTATATGCATCTGCTGCCAAAAATGATACAAAATCCATTTAAGTGTTGAACAGTATATTTATTTTAGTGTTTTATCAAGCATCCATCTCAGGAACAGAGTAATTTTCCTGAATGTTACATGGTGTGTCCTGTTCTTGATGTTGAGTGGCAACCTCCACTTTGTGGTCTTAGCTTCATATTTCACTACCATAAATTGTTTAAATGATGAATCAAGTCCCAGTAACTGTGCATCAGCAGCTGCTAGATGTACATGTAACCAAGAAGGACGTTCAGGCAGCAGGTAGATGGCCACTGACAGCTGACAAGAGAGGCATATGGCTGGAGCCAATCCAATAAGAGTAGCCCTCCCACCCCGCCCCAAATTAATTTGTACACAGAAGATATTATCTCACCTGACAAAGTCTTCATTAGTTTCCACTAGTATCTTTTGGGGCTTTAAATAGCTCTGCTACTCATGAGACTACTATTGTTATAAAGGAAACACTAGTAAAGCTATAGAAGCACCCTGAGGTCACATAAACAGCAGGCCCAGTTTAGGATTTTGTGCAGTTCTACCTCATTGTTACCTTCCTATGCAATACTTTCTTCTCCATGTACAGTGGTACCTCGGGTTACATACGCTTCAGGTTAAATATGCTTCAGGTTACAGACTCCGCTAACCCAGAAATAACACCTCAGGTTAAGAACTTTGCTTCAGGATGAGAACAGAAATTGTGCTCCAGCGGCGTGGCAGCAGTGGGAGGCCACATTAGCTAAAATGGTGCTTCAGGTTATGAACAGTTTCAGGTTAAGAATGGACCTCTGGAACGAATTAAGTACATAACCAGTAGTACACTGGTTGAAGTAGTACAACACAACCATAGGCATGTGTGAGGAGTGTAGTAGTTGCTTGGAGTTTGTACTAGTTTGCAAAAATGATAATTTGTTCTAGATTAGGAATGGAAGAATTTCTCTCTCTCTCTCTCTCTCTCTCTCTCTGGGGGAACCATGCTAAATTGCATATAAAAAAGGAACATTTCACTAAGGAAGTACTTGTTAGATACAAAAACATACACATCTCAACTCCTGTAAGGCAATACATACTGTAGAGAAGACAGACTGTCTTGTTTTTAAACTTTGAGATGAAAAACATGGTATTTCTTCTGTTGAAACAGCCTCAGGAATTTTGCATTCAGCTGTGCTCATGGGGTCTCAGTCACCCTCAGTTGTTACAGAAAGGCATCAGAGATCAAGCAACTGCAGGCTGAGGCCTTTTATCCTGATAATATCAAAATTGCTACATACTGTATCAAGTGGCCCAGGGCATGAAATTCTGTATCTGCAGCCTGTCTCCTAGAGTGGCCAGGTCTTCTGCTCTCTGGCTACCAGATGATTCCAATTGCATAGAATGACGTTGACTATTACTGATGGGGAATTTCTCTCTTCTGGGAGGAAAAAAAAAAGAGGAAGTAAATTACAGCTGCTTCACATAGAAAGCTGTAGGCTGGTAAAGTAATGGGAAT